AGAATTCAGGTATAGTATGACTGGTTATTTCCCCTTTGTTCAAATCTACTCGTCGCCTTTTGAAACATCCCAAACTATCAATGAACCATGCATAGAAGTCAGTTTTCATTAAAATATGGCCCAATATATTACCATAATTGTAAATTTCTACCATTTTTTAACAGTGAAAATTACTCTCATATTACAAGTGCAAAATATGCATACTATGGCGAAGTTTACGTGTTATGTGTCCAATAATATGTTTTAGTCTGGTAATAAAGTTAATAAGTGCTAATTTACACATGTTGCCACATGTTTCTCAATGCTAATAGTAGGAAATAATACTAGGTGTCCGGGTTATCTTCGTTCGTACCTGTGGGCACGATTTCATAAATTGCAAAATATTTCTGAACTTTTTTCGAATCCTAATAATTGTTACACCATGACTAATGGTCGTTGAGTTGGAATACTATGTTTTAACCATCAGGCTACGCCAGAGACGAAAAGTACGGTATCTACTTGCAAGTTACAACATAACTTAAAATATAAAGATATATATAATATATAAAGATGCTATTCGAAAATGACAAATTTATCTATCTCTGACAACATAATTCCTTAATCAGTAATTCAATAATTTTGTATGTGAATATAATTTGAATCATATAAAAAATCACAATCATGTGACAATACAACAGTCAAAGTAAACCGAAACTTTGGTCCTGTGTGAGATACAAATAGTTGACGAAACTATCACATATAGCTGTACGTAAACTAATACATAATATCCACCGCTTTCAATTTCTTCCATCACCTAGATTAAAACGTTCCAGGTCATAGTAAATGGGTCAATATGATAATTGACAATTAAATGATGTTGTCAAGTACTCAATCTACAATAATTCGACTACGCACGCTTTTGCATTGGCTAATGAAATTTAAAAAGAAAATGGCGTCATTAAAAGTTGACAAAGTCATTGAATTATTAGTTACGAACATAATTTACTAATCAATTCATCTGAAACGAGGAAAATAATCTTCAATATTTCCATATCTGTTTTCAAGAATTCCACAAAAAGATTCGGTAATGATGATTTTACAAAGATTTATAGTTGTGAAGAAAACATTTTCATCATAAGTCATGAATCTGCGTATCCGTAGCCGTGTTTCCATAAGTAATTCGTTAAGCCTTAATATAAGCAGCTTATGATTACTTAGGATTATAAGACACGGGCCATCAAAAAGTGAAATAAAACTACCGGTTCGATTCAAAAACAAACAAATAAAAAAGGCAATGTTATTACTAACAAAATGAAAAAAAAAAGTGAGAGAAAAAGAGAGATTTTATACTAAGCCAAAATGTCATACTCAGACGATGTTTGTCAACATGGGATTATCAGGTTCAAATGGGATAAGTGACATATACGCTTCACTGGTAGGCATTGAGTATAGTAGAGATTTTTCTTAAGATGTTATATTTTGAGTTTGTTGCTGAGGTTATATTTGAGCTAAGGACAAAAGGTACAAGTTTTAAATGTAGAAAATGTTTCTCGGAAGGCAAGATTTAGTTTCAACAAAACGTTTGATTTTTAACCGAAATATTGAGTACTATTTTTACGTATATTAAAGGTATGGATTTTGCAAAAGTTGTTATATTTTAAGTATGTTTCTGAGGTTAAATTTAAGTTAAGGGCAAATAATACAAGTTTTAAATGTGAAAATGTTCCTCGGAAGGCAAAATTTAGTTTCAACAAAATGTTTGATTTAAACGGAAATTTAAACCTAATTGTACGGGAGTAAAATTTTCCTTCTATAAACGTTTTCGTTAAGAAATTAGATTTGAATGACCTGAACCCACAAAATACAGCACAACTTGAAATTTAAAATAAAATATCTTTGAACCAATAACTTGGAAAGCCGCCGGTAATCCGTTCAAAAAATTTATCATTTTCTTCATTTAGCTCAATCAAATGTTTGCCACGGTCTAACTACCCATGCCAGACGCGCTTTAACTACGATCAGGGAATAATCTACTCGTAGTTTTCCAATTCTAAATTCACCTATTCTTTGGTTTCTGTCCAAAGCCAGACTGAGTGCAAACAACACTTTTGCTTATCAAATTAACGCGTAAATTTGGCGAATTTAAACCAGTTGGGTAAATATTTAATCTAACTTCGTGCGAACGTAACTGATAGTTTAAGAAGATGAATAATTTAATGCCTCAGTCGAAATTTTGATAAATAAATTGTTAAAAATAAAATTATGACCAAGATAACAGTGAGCGGTATTGTACATCTCTGCTATAGTATTTCATGCATACGGTCAAAAAAAATTATCTCTGTTATCACAGTATTATTCATTCGTTCTAAAAAATATAAAACAACAAAAATTTGTGTATGTATAAAAATATTTCAAGTTTTATTTCAATTTATCAAATAACTGAAATCAGTATTGAAACGCACAAGCGAATTGTATTAAGTTTTGTGACAACGAGTACCGGGGGAATCAGATTAACCCGTGAAAAAATTTACAAAAGTAAATCATTTATTTAACGGTCAACTTTTCTAAGTTAAGCAACGCATTATCACGCTTTAAACTATCCTGTCCAAAATTCCGACATTCAAGAACAAAAAATAAATAAAATGTGAATGTATATATTCGATTGATCCGGCCTACTTATTTCTAATCTGGTAAATACACACGCAAGCCAAACTTGGACAACATTTAGTCAATGGGAATAGGGCAAAGTAACAGCGTGAGGTACCATTTCGAATCCCTATTATGCAACAGAAAGTCAAATGTGTCGGTCATTGGTATTTAAACAGTAAAGAGGCTTCCACCTCTGGCAAATGAGTATACTTGATGAAAAGATTTACCCATATTTTTCCTGTCATTCAAAAGTATATAGTTACGTAGTTCCGATTAGTAACTAGGTTTGTGGTCGAATCAAAATAGGTTATTTTGTTAAGTATAAATTGTGAATTTATCTGATTGGATTTTAAAAGTATATTGTATTCCACGATTGTTATATAGACTGAATGTGATTATACGCACCTGAACCACAACCTAGATCATTGAACCCCTTCGGGAGATTGTTCGACTTTCCCAAAATTTTGTAGTTTGACAGGAATGTCGATTTTACTTTCTAATCAAAATCAAAGTCAGCTTGGTCAAAGACCCGAAAGATTTTTACAATTGTATAAAGAAAGTCATCAACCACTTTCAGTATTCAGTCTATATAGACTTGGATTCGAACAAGCTACTTTATACAATTAGTGGTATAATGGTGTTACTACTAATAAAATATCAATCAGTTAGTTATTAAATAGGTATACTAATATACAGAGAGAATAGTAAATTAATCATCATCTCGATAACCATGGCACGAACTTAGAAAAGTTTGAGTCAAGGGAAAAGTAAGACAAGGAATTCTGAACTTATTCAGTACTAGTATTAAAAAACATGGTTTTCAATCAAAACTTTTCATGTTTCTTACTTGGTCAAGCATTGTTTTAGAGTCTCCGTGAAAAAGTAATAATCTTTTTAGTAGAGAGTCAGAGTAGCTGTCCCTGCTAATGAGTTAGGTCAATTTCGTTAATGGACTTCGTATTTATCATTACTTCTGAGGGCGTCATATTAGGTTTTATTGATTTTTAAGAAGAATCTCGTCATCGAAAAATGTTAATGATAGATCCTGTTACTATTAACATATAATACTTAAACGGTGAATAGATTAAGAGATGGTTTACTTGTTACGATTATAATTCAACGTTGGCCAGCTACGATTTCAAACTTCGCAAATGAAAATTGTTAACATGCCAATTTAATCCATCATTCTAAATTGTAATAGCATTGCAATAACCTGTTAACACTCTTAATTAAATTTAGATATCCGGTGGTTAGCACGTAAACAATGAACTGACTACGGTAAGTTTATTGTGCTGTATTGACAGCACGAGTAACACCAGAATGGTACGTAGTTTTGTTAATCTATTGTGGACTAATTGAATTAATTAATAGTTATCAGTTTGGCTAGAAAGGACATACAACTTAACTCTAATTAACGTTATTGAAAACTCAGCACATTGTTTCCATATTTTGGCTGAGAATATCGTATACTACTTTTATGTCTAGGTAATCTGAATATTCTATAATTCAGCAATGATGTTTAGATATACCAACCCAACTACTCGAAATTTTTAATACAAACTTTTGGTCTTATTAATTTCATTATTAAATTTGATTAATTGAAATTTCCTTTGTGCGTTCTTCTTAAACGTGTAATTTAATGAAGTACATATGTCAAAACGACAATAGTATGAACTTCGTCGCATAAGCGGTTACACCGGAATTATACGAGTTTGATAAATTGTACCGATATTGGCATAATCTGGTGATTAAGCAAGCGCCTTTGGTATAGAGACAATTAACTTTCCGGGTGTCACTTCGTTTTAATTAACTAAAACTATGCTATTTTGAGCACATATCAGTTTTATTATGACGGTTTTTTTCTTGCAATAATTTCTCTAGAATTTAGGACAAGTTTATGCTTGATACTAGCTGCAATTTTTCATCGCCATCCAAGTTCATTTCTTCCGTTTTTCGACGATTGATAAGCAAATCGTGGTATTTTTGTTTACTGACACAACGAGATGTCTCGTTCGTTCTTTTTGAATGGCGGCGTAGGGATCAAGGTGCTATCGTTTTGAAATTTCAATTTCATAAAGAGTATACACTGAGAGAGCGTGTCATCAATAGCTTCACGTTTTCTTTTATTTTTAAACCAGCGATACCATAATGTTCGCATTTGTTCTTGGTTTGTGCTTCGTGAGCGTGGTTAGAAAATGGTTTGTACTCCGGATTAGGTTTATAGGCCGTTATGGATTTTATTATTTATTTATTTTAAATATAATACCTGTAGTCTGCATTGAAGTCGGGAAATAAGTTTGCAATATAGAGCTTGATAGCAGCTGTTGTAGCATAATTAAATGAATTCTTTACCTATTTTCAATCTGAATTAGGTTATATACATAACTTTTCTTGAACTGAAACACTTTTAACTCTGGATGAGACCCTCAACTCCCACCGCCATGGACGAATCGGACACGCCCCGCTTCACTGTCCAGCAAATTATGCTTTTGCAAAAGTTGAAGCAGAGCGGACTGACCCGGGACCAGATACTAAAAGGACTTGAAGAAATTGACAAAATGGACGACATTCCTGTCAGGTAAGGCAAAAATTCGAAATGCTCGTTAAATAATCCCGTTATTACGTTAACAATATTTACGTTAAATTGGAATCCTTGCTTACCTGGCGGGTAGCACCAACATAAAATTTTAACAGTTGATTCCTACCTACGTGGACGTAGTTGCGAATTTATATCATTATATTATTACTTACCTAACACTGAAATATGTTTCATTTAGCCTTCCACTTGCAACATTTCCTTCTAAACCAATGAGAAGTCCTCCACCACTGGCTCTTGCAAAACGTCCTTTCCCAATTCTTGTCAACGCTAACGGTACAAATGGAGTCCAAAATAAGAATGCGCGGGAAGAAAGCGCGCCAAGTGACCAGAAAACACCGAGTGCTAGCCCGACCTCGCCACATGTGAGTAAAGTTTGAAGATTTCATGTAAACTGCCGTAAAATATTTTTAAGCAATACATAGTAGTACGTATATTTTGAATTAACTGCGTTTGTTAATGAAAGCAGGATTGGATTTTTGAACTGCTGTTAGTGGTGCAAGATTTTATAATCATTAGCTAACTTGTGCGATATTTCATTATGATAATCCGGGACAAAGAGGGGTCTCACATAGTGATATTTGATCCAGGGGTGGCGTTGCATAACATGGTGCAATTATTGTGTCATATCGTCTGTCGAATAACAGCTTGAGTTATTTCGACAACATCTTCCGCTTTAGTGCGTTCGAGGTTCCGTAATGAATTGGCTTGCAGGAAGCAAATTGCTAACTGTCGAAAAAGTGTCTCGTTTCGCCCTACCGTAAGAAATTACTGGCTGATACATTAATCGTATGCTACTATGAATGATGCAAAGATAATAAAAACATCTTCATTTATCATTCCAGACACTTTCCTTATCTCCAGCTGCAAACGTCCCTCTGAACAGAAGTCCAAAAATAGTTACTTCCCATCCACTCCACCCTATGCACCAAGCGACACCTTTAATGTTTGGATCACATTTACAGGTATTTATTTTTAATGTAATTGAGTTGAAATGAATTACTCACATCGGGGCGCTTAACAAGGGAGCGTAGCTTGGCCCACATAGCGTAGACTAGTTTTATTCTCAAAAAGGATAATTACATTGATAAAGACATAAAATGTGCCAAATACCGTACCACAGTATAGCATCGAAGATGATTACAGTCGGAAATTTGTTACACTAATGAAATATTGTTCCCAGAATCACAATCAGATGGCATTACTTCATCCGAGTGGAAATTGGAATGCCGGTACATCACGAGCAATGGCTGCTGCAACAGCTGTCAGCCTCTTGCAGAATGGATTTCCTCATCATAATTTACAACACCATACTTACCCAACATTGATGAACGGCAGAACTAATCCAGGTAGAAACATTTCTATATTTAGCCGTGTACCGGCACAATAAATTCCTTATATAGCCATGTAGGTCTAGGAAGAGTATAGGTGGGTATCAAAATATAGATGATCTTTTTACCATTTGACAGAAAAGCGGAAATTTTTTTTTTCATTTTTTATTTATAACTTTTCCTGGGTTTTGTTAAAAAAAAATTATTTGCATATAATAGATGAACTCTAGAAATAAACTATTTCGTTCTTCGCTTAACCATGGAAATAATACGCTTGAGTGATTTTAAAAATTAGTGATGCCTCGATGATTGAACTTTCATTATCTTATAACCAACCAAATGAAGATGACTCGAACAGAGACAGAAATCTAAATATATTAGCTTATCCATTTATTGCATCTTTGTCCCTCAAGGTTTAATTTTTCGTTAGTTCGGAGCAATAAAATGTAATTGGCATTAGAATTGTCTGTGTGATGCCTCTATGATTTATAAATTACCTAAATTTTAAATTTGATGGAATTTGGCTGACGATGGAATAATTTGTATCAAAATTCGTCAAAAATATTTCCTACTTATTATGATCTTACGTGTATTACAATAAGCGGTAAAAGTGGCATTTCGGATGGAAAAAATTGTTTTTTGAGCTTCTTACCCATCTTATTTTCGGCGTTGAATCGTATAAAAATTTTGTAACTTTAATACCCTTCGCATCTCAATTAAACGTTGATTCGGAAATTACAGGACAGCAAAGAATGATCAACCAAAATTGATGCTTTAATAATCTTTAATAAATTGGAATTTATAGAAAAGAGCTTTTAACTAAAATCTTTGCAACTATCGTTACTCCTGAAGTACCGATTAAGATTGGCAATCACTACGAACGGTGTATATGGAAACCAGTAATCCCCTCGTTAATGAAACCTCGAAGCGACTATCAAACAGATGATGAGTTTTTGATCACCGTCGATAATTTCATACGACATTTTCATACGCCTCGCTTTAGTAAACGCCCATGAGGCAAGCTCAACACTTCTAAAAACCACGATTCGAGTTTTAATTTTTATAATTTACCCTATTTATTTCGTCTAACGAATAGATAGATGATCACTCACTTAAACCAAACTAAAAGGAAAAGAATCCAAGCTAATGAGGAAACCCTACTGATTAGCGTTGTTATGAATGTGACATATATTACGTCTATATGCAACGACGATGTAATATCATTACATAGACTTCAATGGTTGAGCATTACCTAATCAGGCGTCTGAAACATGAAAATTCCGACATGGGAAGAGTCATGTAAATAGGAGTATTAGCAAAATATTAGAAAATTTGAGAAACAGTTTAATATTATTTTCTAAAAATGGGGGGGGGGGGCGTTACGCTATATATATTAAAAAGAAAGTACAATTTTCTTGGTATTTCAAAAAAGTTCTTTCTACCCTGGCCAGAATGAGAGTATTACTTCTGCCTATTGATTGTCATTTCAGATTATGTCTGTTCCGTAATATACTCGAAAAATTTACTATTAAAATGAGCATTGACCTGAAAACAAAAAATCTTAACGAAGTTGACAATTTTACCAATTATTCTATTACATTCCGCTTTCTTTTTTATTGTGCTTCAAAAACTTTGTGAACACGAAACCATTGCATGATAGGGATTAACTTGGTGCAGTCATACAAATCTTGGCTTTCATTTGTAATGGCCATGCGAACGTTTTATCACAAGCAATTTAGAGCAACAACTATATATAATCTACACATCGTTAGTAGTTCACACGTTCTTTACAATGAGCCTCTATAGTATCTTAAAATTGGTTTCGACTTTTGATGGAAACTATTTTTATTCAAGGTCTTACTAACGTGTTCGGAATGTCGAATGGAAATGCTGTTGTTGAGATCGACGGTGAAAAAGTTGACATCACGGAGGAGTTGGACGATTTATTTCGACGCGATCAGGCACAAGTCAAAGAAGACATTCGAAAATTCATAAACGAACGGCACATTTCGCAATCTGCAATAGCAAAAGCTACAGGAAATGGTAAACCATAAACATAGTATATTATCTAGTTTGATCAGTAATGGCTGGAATTGAGCGAATCTTTTTCTTGTTCGATTAAATTTGATTGCCTCCTCTAGAATCGACCCCACTTAAGCACAAGGCTGTGTTATGCTTGTAAAAACCAGATGTCTGACAGACTGCATAAAATAGGATAGTGTAATCAATTAGCGATAGGAAGGAGTATTGCAGACACACGTGTTCCTGTATTATTGTCTTGGCGCACGAACGCTCAGAAATCGTGCCCGAACGAAATTCATTAGCACGAGCTAGCGTAAACTTTCTTGTTTCCCTTATTTCAAAGCATCACGCACTTGCTTATATTATACGATATCGACATGCAAGCCTATGCTCTTGAATATCAAAGCACGTTGAAGTATTGTTTATATTGTTTTGTACAATCCAAAAATGGGTTAAATTACTTCATATTTCATAGTAATTAAATGAATAATTATTCAATTTTTTTAAAATTTTGGGTAGATACCTGTTTATTTATTGATGAACATGCAACATTTCTACAGCTTTATTTTTTCAATTACTTGAATTATTTAATCGAATTTTCAATAAACAAAAGCGGTATAAAGGGCAAATTGCTACTATTGATAACAGAACAAATAAAGGGTATCCTGATAAATTATTATATAAAACCACGTTTGCGATCATGATTACATGATATGCACATTATTTATAGAGACGAGTTCTCGTTCCTGTCTTTAGACTAATTAATTAACCAGACAGTTTGTGATCAGGCCACCTATCAAAAACGGCTGATCATGATATTTCACGAAATGTCATTATCTTTTTGGTTAACATTTTTGCACGCAACGTCAAATAATACCACATGTGGATAACAGCCAAATTGAGCTAGCATGGTAAATGCAAACAAAATTTAAATATCTTAACTGTATATATAGGGTGAAGGTATTTTATATCTAGTATTTATGCTAATCGTTGCACATATTATGTATAAAATATTATATAAAATTTTATTATGAATTCATTACCACAACTTCCCTATTAATTTAAATATCTTTTTAACAATTTGGTGTTAGTACCTATGTTTAGCATGGAATCATACAGTCTGGTAGTCAAATTGTGGTAAAATTATTCTGTGAAAAATGTCGCGGTACGAAAATTGCAACATGCAAATTTTGACAATAAACTACCGTATTTCATTAATTAAACAAATGTTTTAATCTCGAATAAAACGATTTTATTTTAATTTAACCATTTTCTTCGTATTGAACGTCATGTTCGAGTTGAATTGCCAATTATAAAATGTAGTGAATTTAAAACGTTGAAGTTCAATATCATTACTCATAACTATTGCGTTTTTATTTTGACAGCAATCAGTCAGAGTTATATATCACAATGGTTGGCTCAACCCCAAGATATTAGCGGACAAAAGAAGAAAGCCATGTATACTTGGTATCTCATTGAGAAACGAAAACCACCAGGAGTAATGAGTATGTATATTATATAATTTCATTTTAATTATTTCTAACGCTTATTTAATAAAAATGTGTAGAAACTGCATAGTTAATCCAAAAATGTACAATTTCACATCCGAAACACAAATGAATCTTCATGCAAAAGGTGTTTATGCAAGAAACTCCTGGAATTCATTGCTTCGTATCTGTTTACGTGACAGTATTGACTTAAATTACTTCAAGTCCCGCGTTAATCGGCATTTGTGTATACATAATTTTAGTAGATCTTGGCATTTCAGTTAATTTGCTCAGGGATGAGACTTTACATCTGAGTGAGTGCGCGTGACCTTACTTTGAGTGAGTGAAAGTGAATTTTCATTATGTATACTCATAAAATTAAAAAAAAATAAAAATTCAGCATCACATAATACAGTCGACATACACATATTTTTGGATCATTAGGAATTTTTACTATATAAGGAATAGTGAACGAACTTATTTATTTTCAACTACAATGATGCATCGAAACTAATTTTATATAGTAAATAACTACTTACAAGAAAACAGTTTCATTAAATACCTCTTTTTACCAATTTCGTCAGTCCCACTTCACAATTGATTCTAATTTTCTAAAGAATACTTACCTTAATTAATGATTTTGCGTTTTTTGCATTTTTCAAATACAGAATATATAATCTAAAACTAATACAATTATTAGTGACGCGATAAACTAGAACAAACTTTCAAGTTATCAGCGTGTTTTAAGCATGGGGTATGTAATAATGACCTTTCACGAAAACTCTGGACATATCGTCTATACTTGATCTACGAATAAACAACGATAAATGATCAAATTCAGACCGATACGCAGTGCGTGTGACAATCCGTCATTTTTTAACAAAGGGTATACTTAACTGGGCAGTGGTGCGATTATGTGTTGATTTTCAGAGGTTAATGACGGCTAATTACTTGTTTGCGAGCCCATGCTGAAGTCATTTATATATTTATTTAGGATATTTCGTCAAATTAGACTTTACCCTGTGTTAATTGCTATTGTTAGTTAGAATTACGATAACCACACAACATTACATTGCACCTGTTTTATAACCATCGCTCAATTAGAGTTTGGCAAATAATTGATAAATGTTGTGCGACTTTTTTCGCCGACATTCCGACCTCGCTCAAATTATGGGAAGGAATGTGACACGAGTCCAAGATATAACGCCATCGGATTTCCACATTATACTTATGCTCCAATCAGTATTACTTGAAGCAATAGAAACAAAAATGTTATATTTTCGTGGCGTAAGTTTAAAGTTCAAAATATTTTGGGTTCGAAACCAAGTGTTTTGACTTGAAAAACTATAAGAATTAGCACAAAACATATTGTTAATTCTAAATTTTCTCAAACGTCAACTAGGATTAGCGAGAGTCAGTTTTTTCCTTGTATGATCGACGTTAGTGAATCATTTCGATTCTTATCAAAAGGAAGAGATCGAAAAATACGGGATTGATTTCGCCGGAACACATTATTGCCACTTGCTATCGCTTTCTCAGATCGTCGCAAATTTTTTACGACGTGGAAATATATGAAAATCAAGCGGAGAGAATTGGAGCGATAATGAATTAGTTATGAGCTTAAATTTATTTTCGACGAACCGCGTAAATAAGGGGTCGTCGAATACATAATGTCACTCGTTTTCATTTTATTTTATATCTTTATTGTAAGTTGAAATGCATGGGAGTTGAGAGATATGGATCTAAACTCGACTTTTGCCAAACGGCGACCCGTCACAACATATTATATCACACGACAATCGATTTATAATTGTGTACTCTTACTTCTTGTATTTTGCTCTCGTTTATACATGTTTTTAACTTCTGGATTACTTTTTCTTTGTCGGAGTTGAAGGGCGTAAATAGAATTACAGTTAAGAATACATATTGAAATTCACATCGCATAATATTGTTGGTGTAACTAACGGTAATTTATAAAAATCACTCGAAAAAAATTCGCTGAGGAACCAGAACTTATTAGGTGATAAAATCACACGAATCAAATATAAAGGTTCCTGAATAATGCGATAGTTCGTGTTATTTTTCTGTTTTTTTGTTTATATACTATTTGACAGGCTATGGACATTTCGTTGAGAATTGAAACCGACCACATATCCGCCAGATGTTGCGCGACCAATCTCGTAACAGACCTTTTCCGCGCAACCCCACAAGTCCCGCAAGAATTCTGCCAAGATTTGTGCATTATTTATTCCACCAAGTACACAGCCGTCACTATGCATTGTCATTACCAATTGGATAAGTATATCATTGTAAAATTCGATGACGATACCGAGTGTATGAAACATCTCCGATCAAACATAATCTGTCGCTAAATTGAACCTCCGTAGCGTGTTTTAATATATAGTCAAGCTTGTTTGAAAAGTTTAATATAAAATAGAAAGGGTATCATTGATTTGTCGTGGCATATGTGGTATGTACCGTAGCGATGTTGACCACAAAATATTATCCGAGTAATCTTCTTTGCGTCCATAGCGGCCTCTTGGTCAGGAAAGTAACATCACAAAAAAATAGGCAAAATCAATGATAAATAATGCATCATGTATTCATTTTGATAAAAAGATATCGCACAACCCCGACACTAATATTTTGAAATTTGAAACTGTCGTCTGATATTTTCGTTCTTACGCCAGTTGACAATGCATTGAAATCCCATTGCATATTTTTTTTATATATAACAATAAATATGATATCCTAATTTAATTGCCTAAAAAACTTTAAAATGAATTCAATGTCAAATACAGTTTTTTCATATCATCCTGAAATGTAGAATCCAAGTTTAAAATCGGTCCGATCTGAAACTACAGGACATATATATCAGGTGACTCGCGTAATTTCAATTGCTCCTAAAAGATAATTTATAATGATCAATTTTACAGTCTTTATTTTTTATTATTTTGCAATGATCGCCATATTATACAGCCCATATTTTGTATATCATATATAACATTATCAATTATACACTAACGTATAAATTACGACATCGAAAGCCGTCTGCCGTGAACTCATGAATATGTTAAAATTAACACTCGAACAATAGTAATAATAAGAAAATATTCAATGTTGCATAAGTTGGTTTGTTATGTTGATTACTATCATGGTTAGCAATTTATATTAAGAGCCCCAGGTCAGATTGAAAAGACATTTGTTGAGACTGCGGCTCACCAGCTAACATACATTTTATAACCTTTTCTGATTCCATGCGTAACTTAATGTGAATACTATAAAAAATTTGTAAATTACCCTTTGATTGTCAAGTAATGCTAATCCTCTTATGAGCATATCTTATCATATATAGGGAAATACTTTACCTCAAAACAGCACAACGTTCTGTTTATTTTTCATTCTATTGCGTTCTTTCGATCAGTTCGCAATATGTATGTAAATTTGATAATTATCTCTTTGTCGTTTATTTTTATTCAAAGAATATTTGTTAAATAAACTCGTTTTTAATTCAAGATAAGCAAACAGAAACATGAAAATATACTTGGATTTGGAAGGTATTAACTTTTCAACTTTGACACGCAAACCACATTCATTACATGGTACATCCTTATATTCAACCATGTTCATTTTCCCCCATAAGAAGTTTTAAATAATAGCAAGAGTATCTCTCGCAAGTTCAAACCATCATCCAGCAAAACTTTTGCAAGTAATTTTGTAGAAAATATCGAGTAGCAATCGAAAATATGATATAACAACACTAAATGAGTAATATGTTCAAGTTATATTGTCTGAAAATTCATCAAGAAATCGGCAACATTGCATTCACTATCGTAATAATTAGTATTCGAACCGCAGGTCAATTTGTGCTAGCTCGCTGATTTTAATCAAAGTAATTTCAATTCAAGACCAATGGACGCATTATTGTACCAAACATGACTCTAAATATTTCTATTTTACAGCGATCGCCTGATATTTTATTCTAAGTGACGATTTTTATAACGACACATCACTTTCAATTCATCACCACATATCATATCGTGGCACATCGTATATGCAAACCGTTGCAAGAACCCACAAGAACGAATTCAATTAGTTGTGCGTCTAAGTCGTTCAAAGGTTATCAGTGTCAACAGTTATATAATAACATACATCGCGTGATAATTTGAACAATGTATATTTAAAATATGCATTGTTAAGTTTTCTATTTACACTTCGAAACCGCAGGAAAAGGTCATATCAATGAACTTGCCAATAACAGGAACTGGATGTCGAGGTTATAATTGTAATTGATTCATTACAATTAGATATGTTCGCGCTTAGAATGTAAAATAGGATTTTGTAATTATATCTCCTATATATATTTTAATGTTTTATGCCCATTTATTATACTTTCCGATTTGAAATCATTTGAAAATTTGTATGAAAGAGTAGAAATCTAAGTACCAAACCCTAGCTAACTACATGGCAGGCATGGTCTATCGCCCAACAAAGAACATTTTGAAAAATTAAATCGGCGCCGGAAAATCCCAACATAGTTTTTATTGACAAATATAACGTACTTTCGATGAAAAGTTCTGCCAAAAAGATATTTATCATTCGATTTGGTTTTATCATTATCAATTGAAGTCTTCGACTTTCAACTCGTAAAGATCACTCTAAAAATACTGCAAATTGATACAAGAAAATTAGATCAACTCGTACTTGTTATCATAGCAAGAATAAGTATGGGAACAAAATTTAAATTAAACATCTAATTATACAGCAAGCTTCATATCGTTTTTGCTCAATTTCTTTGAAAACCGTGTCGAATCTTTCAGTGCGTTGTTACCAGGTTCCAATTTTATCTTATGTAATCAAGTAAATGCAATTTAATAATGTAGTACTTCTATATAAAATAAACATATGCGATAATATTATACAAATACTCATTTATCAAATTGTGTTATGCTATCTCTCTTTATGGAGTGTGGGTGAACAATAGGGACGTGGGGATTTTGTTTGCTATTTGTGGTAATAAGAACGAAAAAAGTTTACGACTTATCAACATTTTGGAGTTATTAAAAATGTATTCGGATTATTTGCAATAATTCAATCATTATAGGCAATTGTAAATTTTTTATTGAATTGGTTTGTATGTCGACTTCGTGTCGCAATTTTGTAAATATCAATTGTTTATCTATATAGACTATATCCAAAGCACATAATGCAATAAAAACGTATAGCCATATGACTGATATTTTAACGTGATGTAATCAAATTTGTAATAACCCAAAACAACCCAAACAAACTACATATCAAATTAATATTACAGCGTAGATTTTTATACGTACTGGATTTTTAGTAGAATCAGAATATTAATATTGGCAAAATTTATAAACCGTATTACAGTAGCAAAAACGCTACCTGGAAATATGAGTTATTTTACTAAACATTGCTATTGAAATGCCAACCTACTAAGCATCTAAGTAACAGTTTAACTGAGAATAACGCACTAATGATCATCAGGTACAAGACAAAGAAATATGACCTATGGCGACCTACAATAATTTGTCATCGAATAATATATTAAGTGACAGCTTAATTAATGGCTATTCACGTTTCATGACAACATACACAAATATACTGCAGCCATTTTGTATATCTTCTCTTGGTCGTTATACTGTACTCGTAAATATGCCCTTACCTTAACCATTTTTATATCATCCTTACTCATATCTAGAACGCCACAAATCGCGCATTTGAACTATATAAATAAAATATAAACAGAATATTGATTCAGTAAACAAATTGTACTTTTCTACAAATGGGATTTGAATAGAACCAGAAAATCGAATTTTTAACATATTCATCTAATGGTTAACTGGCGCCACAAGCGCTCAGTAGTATTATTGCATTGTACCCAATAACAATCTAACTACTAAATTTCAACAGGCGTCACGTTAGCGAGCGGGTTAACTCACCTGGTGGCGTATTAACCACAGAATGAGCGTAATCACAGTATTTATACTGATCATACTTTGCAGTGGTTTAGATTTGAATATTTTGATGAGAGTTAGACAATAATTATAATTGAAATACATTTTCTTGTTTCAGCCATGAATTCAGGCGCACCCATAATATTTCGAAATGAGATGGAACAGGACTACGCACCTCCAATATGTCTGAAAACAAAACGTGGGGCAAGGTAAGGAGTTGAACTATAAAATGCTTTCATTTCAGTTGGATATGACATTTTTGAACTCAGACTCATTTCAATATATTGAAAGTCTAACTCGATCCAGTAATTAGTGACGTAATTAGCTGTGAAATGTAAAGTTCTAAACGATATGTCATTTAGGAAATGACGCGCTGTCTCTTGCAATCAAATTTTCATTACAAAAGAGATGCGTGATTAAGATACAAGCAGGTCCACAAGACCTCGTCTAATAGTAACCCTTGTCTAATGATACATTTTTAAATTTCAGATTCACATGGCCAAAAGAATGTTTGACAATTTTAGAAAATTACTACAATTCGAATCCATATCCAGATGAATCAAAGAGAGAAGAAATCGCAGCCGCTTGTAATTCTATAATACAAACGCATAAAGCAGGTAACTAGATGCTCAAACTAATATGTTTTATTTCTAAAAAAATAAAAGTCTAAATGGTTTTTCAAGTCCTAATACCACGGATGGACGGAAAAGCAACAACGCACGTAATCACATGCCGTAAATGCTGAATTTAGCACATAATTTGTTGGTAACAAAATGTAATAGGTGTCTTGTCAAAGACTGATGAGATAGATGGACGTCAATAATTTGAAACTTCATTATCCATGACTCAGAATAGAAATTAGCTTTAACACAGAATAGAGTGTCTTGTGAGAGTCAATGCCAAAAAGACTGAAACTAATAATACAATGACCAAATGGAATTGCATATAAATTTAGTATATATATTTTTCACCTTTATAGGTATGATGATAACCGACTTAGACAAAGTTACCACGGTTAAAGTTTACAACTGGTTTGCAAACAGAAGAAAAGATGACAAAAGAAGAAAGCATATCGGTATGCAAATTCATTATTTGGTTCCATTACATTTGAACCCACGTACATTTGAACCCACGACAATTGCACCTGCATACTATTGCACCTATGTAATTTTTTTTTTTTATGGATATTTGAACCCATACTAACCCTAACCCATAGGTTTTAGCACCCGCATATAGATTGAACCCGCGGATATACACATGGATTCAAATACACGGTCACCTTATTATTCTGATGTTTAGCATGTACTCATTATAAATTTACACAAAACTATTCTAGTTTGGAAAGGCGTTTATGGAATCAACTAGTCGAAATTACTTTATCATACTTACGTCATGTTGTAGCGAAGTAATTCAGATTATCAGTTGAAACCGAAAATATTTTAAAATACCTGATTATTTATTATAAATACATGATTTTTTTTATCTAATCTCCATATTATTAGAGTAATTCTGAAAGCAAGATTTCTTGCAGTCATGTTAAATATCTTGTTACCTAATTCAATCTTCATCCTAGAGCATATCGAAGCCTTGGATCATCATCAACAGTATATGACCAACCCTGCACACAGGAGCAACACGGTGTCACCGAGCAGCTCAAATCATTCGAGCGAGAGCCCACGTGTTCACGAAGTTACAGATCATCAAGCGATGGCAGAAAAAGTAAGTTCCTCCCAAGGTGTGGTTTATTTCATTCAAGCCTATAGAATCGCTTTCAAAATCGATATTTTGTTTATCAGTACGTTGAATTATGTTTTGCTTCGATTCGTGTTTTCTTGCGAACAATCAGCTCAATTTCCCTGATTCCATGGGTGGTTGTGGAAGTTTCACTTTTAAATAAGCCCGTTTTCATGACTTTTGAGCAAATTTTTAAAGAATAAACGCATGTTAGTAAAAGGATGATATAATTTGTACAGAGCAAAGGCAGACAACATTAAATTACATTTTTAATCACTGTTTCTCAAATAATGAAATGATATTTGATATACTTTTTTGATCAGTTGTACAAGCAGGACTGTAACTTCGTCGTTTTATACATTCGTTAAACATTCAGTGTTTAATAAAATGCACGTTTTGTCGTTTAGGTTCAGTCTGATATACTAGCTATGCGAAAGAAAGAAGAGCAGATGGCACTCGCATTGCAAATGGCAGCTGTCAACCACTCGATACTTGCACTCGTCAACCAACATCGTGAAATAGTCAATGTCAATCGAGACGACGACTCTAACACACCGCTTGGTGGCAGAGAAAGCGAGCGTGACGAAAACGAAGACAACGAAAGTGTTGGAGGCGGGAGTAGCCATGGCAACATTGAAAATCACGCTCAGGAACATCAACGCCACGAGAGCGAAGGAGACGTCAGCGAGAATAATTCAACGTCCAGTGCGATGGAAATTCATCGGGAAAACAGCAACACAGCCATGACCCAATCACCAATTCAAGCAAGGACCTAATACAAGTCGAACCCACACATACTTATTTGACTGAAAAACAAACTGCCGAACGAAAACACTGTTTGAAAATGGTAAAATTTACAGTTTTCGGTAAATAACGAATGATTTATATCATAAGCGCACCCATGGTTTACAACTAGACCGTGCCTACATCATATCATACAGCGTAATCGCTGCAAACTTTCACGAAGTCTAGCAATTTTTGTAAAGTATTGACCGACATATTATACTGATTTGAATCGAAAATCGAAAACTGGTAAATTTCACTATTTCCCAATAGCACTTTAGATAATATTTGTACATATCACCTAGCTATTTTGTTCAAAACAGTAGTAGGCTTATTTGAGACTCACGGTACAGCCCATAGTGGCATTTTACTTTTGTATCTATTACAGGGAAAATAAAAGCATTTACTAAATTTTGTAATATTGTAGCAAAATGATTTAAACAAAAGAGCTGTGTACATTTTTGTATTTCAATTTTTATATATTACGTTTGATCCTGGAATCCCAACAAGTTTCAATGTTGATTTAGATTAAATTCGTGTAAAACAGAAAATCAACCATTGCTTGACTATTTTTTTCTGCAGAATGCGCGATTGGAATTGTTGTTGTCGATCACTCTTACTCGTTTATTATAATATTAATATTGAATTGACGAAACCTAATTTTAAAAGTAAAAATATCCTATCTCCCCATGGTTTACTCACTTCTATATTACTTTTTGTCTTGCTCCCATTGTTTCTTTATTGTAGTTTTAAATATATGACCAATTAGTATTATAAAGTATAAATGCAACGCTTGCCCTCCTGCCATACATATACAATCGCACTATTCATGTTTTTGGTTAGAAAATTATTCATTTTTCCTTTATTTTAACGTTATAGTATTAACTAAGTAAATTTTTGAAATGATATACTGCCCAAATAACAATGGTTTGTTTGTCTTTAGTATATGCGCTTGTTGATATATATTCCACCAGTATATTTGCAGTAATTATTTTGTTGATGAATGATATTTAATAGGAATAAAATTTAGAAATTTTCCCGGAAACGAAAAAAGTTTTCTTTTGTCTGAGTTCATTTAATAGGTTTGAAAAATATATAATTCAAATTAATACAAAGTAATAATTTATAATCAATACCAGTTTCGTATTAAAAGGCTATTTTTATGTTAAAATCATAAAGAAGTACATTGACATATCATTTATGTCTTTTCAGAAACTCAAGTTTAATGATTTAGTTTCAAAATGACAATGTACATTATTACATTATTATTGTACAAACATGATATGTTATCAACATTTAAATATCCCGATCAATCAACAATCTATACGTGGACTCAGCAAAATCCTGTTTTATTTAGTCTTTAACAAAGAACGGGGTCGACAAGTATTTAAAAGTATTTTCATATTTGGCATAATGTACATCTCGAATACGGTCTGCCATCTATGTGCATTAAAAACCGAAAATTATTTTATATTCTTTTCATGCTCAACTCTGATTGATGAATTGAAAAGTTTTAGTGTTGTATATAAGATCAGAATTTTTTTTTGAATCTTTTTTTTCGTTCGACGCGTGCTCTTTCATTTCATACCAACAAGCATGAAATTTTCCACGAGAGATTTTTTTTTATAATTTAAAGAAAGTAAAAAACTCCAGCTCTGACGTTTGAAATCGGCCAATATAAAAATTAAAAACGATGCGCATTTTTTTGGTATACTACACACTTTTGTGGAAGTCTTTTTGGTTTTTTTTTGATTGCACTGTTTTCCGAGCTAATATCATTAAAGATAACTGCGCATTTTCAAGAATAGTGTTCTAAATGAACATATCTTTAGAAGAAGACATTTCCAACGGTGCTATTGCGGTGCCAAGCACCTATTACTTATTATCCAATAATAAATACGAACAATTTTACTTTATTATTATGTTTTCTGATTTTTTTTTCATTATAAATATCTTATGATGAATGATATGATATTATTATTCTATGGAAGATGCCTTCTGTTTTTTTTTCGTTCCTAGTTTCACGTTTTTCATTTTCATCAGATCAAGTTCGACCAAGCATATGCTATCTTCAATGGAACTTTCAATATGGATAAGAGAGATTTAATCATGAATTATGCTTGGACGTGCTTGTTATTATGATAATATTTCCTAAAGTGTTCTTGTTATCTATGATGTTGTAATAATTAATGTTGTGTTTTGCGCTTATTTTCCCCATTTATTATTTAACGTCAAGGCATCGTTATTGGGATTATCATGATAAATAGTAGTTATGTTCTTTATATTACTGATATGTTTATTTTATTTAAAATTTATGTGTTGTTGTCATTGGACATGTACGCAGAAATAAGACAGATACAGTATTGTAAGTTTGTTTGTTGAAAATAAAATTTGTGTCAAAAAATTGAAAGTTTTTGTTCCGAGTGTATATCATACGTCGCTTTATGATAATATTAGATATTAATATCACCCAAAGATAAAATGAACTGCGACTCAATTTTTGGACTTTTTTAAAATATGTGAGAAACGCTAGCAATAGTTTTTGCTAGCGTGGTACCTTTCTCGTGAAACATCAGTTTTGACAAGAATTTATGTCCTTGATTAAATCATTAGCCTAACAAAAATCATGTTTACACGCCACAAGCATGCCTCAATCCAGATAGTAGCCAAAAGTTGTATCGAAAAATCACTGCTCATTGCAAAACGAACTGACTAGAATATTTACAACTCAGCGAAGGGAAAGTTTTTCTATTATGTATTACGAGAAGTGAAAATGCAAAATGGGGCGCCACCACACATGATGTGACGTTACGGTACCAGAATCGATCGCATTAATAGCTCGATGATCATACAGCACTGCACATAAATCACGTTAAAAAATATCTACAATAACAGACCATATCATAGTGGCCACCGAAAATGAAATACAAATTTCACACAATGATTCACTGGCTTTTTTCCTCGAGCTAACATCATCTTTTGAAGTTTTCCGAATAGTGTTGAAGCGTAGAAACAATCGGGTCATATGCTGTATAGTCTCACTTTTTGAAACCAGTCTTAAGTATCACATGTCTAGCATATTGACCAGCTGGTTGTTTTGGGGTTATGGAAATTTGTTCTTCTCCGTAACTAGTGAACCAAACTATTTCAAAATTTCACTCCCAGAAGATCGAAAGTCGCTGGAATTCTATCAATTTTATATATTTTTATTTTTTTTTTGAGTTATATGTGGCTCGATATTTCAACCCAAACTTTTACGCCACTGGGTGTTATAACGTCAGGCCAACCCACCTTCTTTTTGCAAAACGGGTACTCGCTAAGACCTTATCATTACAGATATGAAAATCTAAGTCGGTGGGTAGTCGATTGCCTTTGTGTTAGTACGTTTGAGTATTATTTTCTGATACTACCCACTATTTCTCCTCAAATTTTGCTATTTTTCATATTTCACAGTCACATCCTCATATGAATTCTGGTAATATTTGGTTGACATTGCCATGGTTATTTGACATTCGTTTACGTGTATTTGAACTTTGCCATTTTGTGTCCTCAGTTTAGTTTTTTTTTTCTTCATTACTTAGAGTAAGACCAATATTTAAAAATAGCAACAATAAATAATGCTCAGAATGTAGGCCAATTTCTTCCTAACTGAAGCAGCATAATTGTGGATGAGGTATTATATAAAGGAATGCTGGATTTGTGCCCTGAAATTAATCTGATTCATAACTTTGATTACAAATAAACCGTTCTTCTAGCCACGCGAGTCCAAATATAACTTGATTTATTTAGGATGAAATTGGCGAGTTTGTCTGTTGAACTTCGATATCCTGTATTGAGAAGAAAAAAAAATGTGCTGTTAAATCATGAATCCTTAAAGCACTATGAATTTTGAGGTGTTACTTTGTGATTATCTGGCTGGTCGATATCAATATGGTGAAGTGAGTTCCCAACGTTTTTCAGTTGTTACCCGTCCACTACGGAATTGTAAAGGGTTCGGTAATTGGGCCTTTGGTATTCCTAATTTTTGTCAATTCCTCGTCAACCTTTCGAATAAAATGTTTCCATGACTTCCTTCTTTATCTCATTGCATTAATTTTTTTTAGGCTTCTTTGGCGGTGTTGCTTCTCAATAACTGTATTTGGTTCTTTCACGCCTTCTTTCATCCAGAATTTTCACTTTCGTTTTCAAACTCTCCGCGTACAGTGATCATTTTCAATATGGTAAAAAATATTGTACTGATTACCCTATTGCCAAGTACTTCACCAAGTGTTATTATTTGAATGTATTTCGAAAAAATTGACATATATATATATAGAGAATTCTCATAGTTGCTAAGCAAGATATCATCATGTCACGTTTTGTCTACTATTTTATTTTCTGCACCGATCGTAAGGGTGAACGTTACGATCGAACGCCAAACCCTAGTACCTAAAACCACAATTCCGACTGCTTTAAACCTATATTATACATTTATCTCGCTATGATGCTGCAAGTCCACATTTTAAGTATAGGCTACTTTTGTAAAATATACAGAATAAAATAAAGATTGTACTCGGACAACATTGTACCCGGAATTGGCAATTTAATTTGAAACAAAATAAAGAACACTTGCTCAAAATGCTGAACAAATAATCTTACAATTTCTATGATGCAAGTGATGGTGCCGTTCTATTTGTTAATTATTATAAAACCTAATTGCTGTGCTATGGCTTTAAAAAATGAAATTTTGAATAACCAATTATTTGTTCATATTTTTAAATATCGTGCAAGTAAATTAAAAATTTCCAACTCTATTTTGAAAACGAAGTGCAATAGGTAACATTTCTTTAATAAAAACTTTTCTGAAATCTGCCTAAATAAAATGTTGCATACTTGACTAAAACTTGCCATAGCTACTTTTCATACAATGACTAACGCTGTTCGTTCTATCACAGATAATTGAGTCAATTTCTGACCAGTATTTTTATTTGACGATTGTGTTTTTTGAAATACACATCATTTTATCATTTCACCCAACAGTAACTCCAACAATCGAATACTGGTCCATTTTTCAGACCCGAAAATCACACCTCTGTATTTATGTGATGATAGATTGAACAATGCCATCTGCGCAAAAGCTGGATGTAAGTTCATAAGATACTTCTCCGCAGCAAGCGTGCGTTGTAACATCAAAGAGGGATGTCCCACAACACTGCTGAGTTCCTCTGGCACTGTAAATAATGTAAAATTAGTATAATGATAAGCGATTGTATGTAATTTCACGTGATTAATTATTGCTACAAATAAGATTTACAGAAATTATAGGTGATACCTTTTGTTGTTTTGAACATATGAGTTATCATATAATATTATATCATTCTTTTTTACAATATATATGTTTTACTACGTCTCATTCGAAAAATTTAGTATTCACTTTATTTACGACAAATTTCCTGAGTCAGACTATTGGTAGGCTTGATAATCCCAAGATCGTAGGACTGGATAGCTTCAGCAACGGCAAAATTTTACTCACAATCGACTTAAGTTAACCAGCCTGTGGCTGATTTTATCATAGACTTCGGAATGCAGTGAAATAAGGGATTAACGGGCAATATCACATCCATAGTTGTCACAACAAACACCCATAAAGGGTGACTTACTTATAAATAACATCACCGCAGCATCCTTTCTGGTTCGAATTGTACATGAGTTTTCCGCAACATAACGCATTTTGAGTTCTCTTCATTCTTAAAATCGATATGCAATTTGCTTAGCTATGGAAAGTTATAATATAGTATCACAATAAATAGATTTGTTTGAAAAATTAATCTTATGCCTGAAAATAGGATGTTGATAATCACGTTCTGTCAATGATATTGCGTCGAAGTGAACATGAATCCAAACATATATTTGTTGAACTCCATTTTTTTAAATACTGGCCATCATAAACTTCAGGATCATTTTTGTTTAAAAGTCTAAACTCCGTTTTCAATTGCAAGTTAATTTATAAAATACCTTTTCTTTCCAGCGCAGCAAAGTTCTCTCGTCTTGTGGGCGTAGCCAGTGCCACATTTTTCAAAGTTTGGATTATTTTTCTTGTTAGCGTTATTTCGCTTACCGCCCCCTCTTTTACCACCACCTCTCTTCCCCTTCCCACGCTTTCCGCTACCACTATTCTGATTGTTATTTTGTTGACCCTGACGATTTTGCTGATTCTGTTGGTTTTTCTGATTTTGTTGATTGTGTTGGTTTTGTTGTTGGCCTTGGATTTGCTTTTGATGTTTTTTCTATCTTCTTCAATTTTTCTTATTCTTTCTTCCTCTAACTTTTTCTTGCGTTCTTCTTCCTCCTGTTTTTTGCGTTCTTCTTCTTCTCTCAATTTTTTTGACTTTCTTCGTGTCGTTGTTTTTTCTTACGTTGATCTTCAATCTTTTTCTGTTTCTCCAATTCCCTTCTTTTTTCTTCTTCTTTCTGTTTTCGCATTCTTTCTTCTTTTTGTTTCTCTTGAATTGCCTTCATTCTTTTCGCCTCTTCTTCTCTCTGCTTGAGCATCTTTTCTTTTTGCTCTTTTCTCATTTTTTCAATTTTCTCCTTTCGTTCCTTTTCTGCTTTTGCAATTCTCTCTTGTTCTTCTTTCATTTTTCTTTCGGCTTCTTCTCGTACTTGTCGTTGTTGTTCTTTAATTCTCTCCTGTCGTTCAATTTCCAGCTGCGTTTGATTAACAGGATTCATAGTCGTCTGTTGCGGCTGTGTTGGTTGTGTAGGTTGGGTAGGCTGGTTAGGATCTTGTGTGTAAGCTTGACCACTATTTAACATATTGTTTTTTTCTTGAATCATTCTGTTACGCTCTTCATTTTCTTCGATCATTTTTTGGTTCCTCTTCATAACTTCTTCATTTGTTTGATCTACAACTTCTCCATCAACGAATCCCGTAGGCGGGACAGTGCTTGGACCAAATGTAGCGGTTGTGGCTGGAACCCAAATTTATAGAAATTTATTTTACAGTTTAAGAAGTTTATTGGATTAAATAACGAAAGTATCATATTTCCTAAAATGATAAATTTTTCACCTGTTCTCGAAAGCTGGAATTTTGGGCATGATCCTGGAGTAACGGAAACATCATCAAGAGCAAGAACATTGTTATCTCCTCTTCCTTTCATAGCTTGAAATGCGAACTGAAATAGTTGAAATAATTATGCTGATATTATCGTTGTTAAACTGCACTGAATTTACATACGTGTTGCTTATTTAAACAAAGATGTAACCTGACTGTGAATGGATGTAACACGATTTTTTGAGATATGAATTTTGTGTGAATGGCGATGTGTTAGTAGCCATATATAATATTTCGTTATCTAGAAAATGATATTTAAGAATTTAATCCGAATAATAAACCACTCATCGATTAATAAAATAAAACAAGTTAAATTGACAAATCTTTTAATTATATGTCTCGTATAGTGAATAAATTCCATTTTCTTTGAATCACCTTATTAAACGTCCATGGAGATATCACTACTCATTTCAAAAAATCCAACTAAAAACCGCTGTTGATGGACAGAAGATTAGACAGAAGTTGATAAATTTAACTACAATTTCGGACAAAAAATACTACGTCGTCGACGCCAATCGGCAATAAAATTGTAAACTTCTATACATACTGATATATATATATATATATTCCAATGGTGGATGAAGTGATTTAATCATTCAGAAAAACATTACAACATTTGGTCTGTGGCTCTATGTTATATATGTTGCTTGTTTATTCTAAAGTTTCTAATCTAAACCAATCCTGTTCACCGAAAATATTACCAACAGCCCCAAGGTATTTGATAATCTACAGGGGTTCTTGCAATAGAAATTTGCAAACATCAACTTGGAAATCGTACATGATATAGACGTATTGGAATTGCTTGTTAATAAATCTTGTAATATTATGATTTCATTAATATTTACCCGAACTTTATCGAAATTCTTTCCTGTGGACCACAATGGTATTGATATGTCTTCAAAAATCCAATGTGTGTCGTTGTCGCTTTGGGGGCCTAAATACATCACAGATGAATAAATTTGAATGACGAATTTCATTACAGGTCACTAATGTTTTATCTACAATAGTTCATGAAGTTTTTAGTAATTATTACGCTAGTGAATATCGTTATGAGTACTTTGAATAAAGGTTAAACATATAAAATGCCCAATGCATTTTATTCATAAAGTGCATGAGTAATGTGCTGTAATATTCATAATGATATCAAACGCAAATAGACAATTATTTTGAGTAAAACCTCGACATTAAACTTTAATCTAAATTGAGACTTAAAAAGTAAACCTTACCGGCCCTGTTAAATATTGACAATGGTCGACCACGCATATGCGAACTATGAAAAATTCTGAATTCTCCAGGATAAGTTCCTCTTGCATAATATCTGCATGAAAGTTCAGATCAAAGAATTATAAATCAATTTGTTTAGAGGAACATTCGGGAAAATTGTATGTATGTAACATCAACAGGAAGAAAGTAGCTATTTATAGTAAAAATCTAAATTATATTTAGTAGAATATGGAAAAAGATAATTTTTATATCATATTAATTTCACAACATACACAAATCGAAGACAATGTTTTTTCTTCTGAGAGAGATCCATTACTGGTGATCGTATGATTCCTTTCCCAGATTTTTTGCCTTCATCATCCAAGTAAATATATTGTCCCTCTGAACAAAATATATCCACTCAAAACATAAGCATTGACAAGAGGTAATAAGTTGAAATGTCAAGAATGACTTATATTGTATCACTAACATCTGACAATATATGGAATATATAAAACACCATTTACAACTCAAAACAGTCACATCTATATAGACATTATTACCCCGTTGATACGGAGTGATTTTTTTGCGGATATGTACAATAAAATAAGTTTATGATAACATTTATGGTAGTTGAATAAAAAGTCTAAACAAGGAAAAGAATAATGTAGATGGGCTTGAACTCACCGTCATTTCCCCTTGTGTAATCGTATTGTGGTCCGATGTCTTTTGCAGGTCCACTTTGTAATTTCCATCTATATTCTTCGGATTCGTCATGTTCCCAGCCTGGGCATCTGTGATAGTAAAATTACTATTGATACAGAAGATATGTTGAATTAAATTGTTGATCCCGTCGGGATATATTTTGACTGTTGTATTGAAATCATATGTGATATAATTTAACTAATTTAATATAAGTTACGTTTGCAAAATTATATGCGAAGGAGGAAATGCACTATAACAAATAACAATATTGGAATGTTTTTTTATGACTGGTATGGTCGGTGAATCCAGATGCATTTACGGTGAACTGAATTTAGGAACGACAAGATTAAATTTACCAAATTTATAATGCGCAGAACATAAAATATTCAGTTTTCACTTTCCTATATACTAGCGGAAAAACCAGTTTCGAAGGTATGTGGTTGAGGTTATGTAATAACATGTGATCAGATCACGTCACCATAATCTGTGTCATGGTGGTGGAGGCTGGAAGTGATTTTGTGATATAAAGTTTCACACGTAAAAATAGCATCGAGGAACTCATATCGGGGTTGTTACATACAATGTCACTATGACTTGGATCGTAGTAAAAAACTTGTAATTAAACTTGCAATGATTGATCGGCAAAGAACTTCAGCAAAGGTCTGAAAAATCACTTTGCGCGATGGGAAAGCGTGATACTGGAAGCGGTTCAATGCAGCACAATATAGGGAATATACGACCCACATAACAGAATTCCTTGAAAACGGCCATTTTGTGAACAGAAGTATAGCTCAATCTTGTGTTGGGGATTCTGCAAAATTGAATGCACTTACAAGCCGTCGTCAAAATTGCATTCTAAGATTGGTACTTTGACTTTCTTCTCAGCTCCGTGAATTACAGAGATCGTCACAGATACAAATAAAAACACTAATTTTGCAACCCCCATATTTGCGAAATGAATCGCTTATGGCTGGATTTAACACTGCAAATATGAATTAAGATATCGTTCAAGTTGTAGAATAAAAGATATATTAGTCAGAAGAATAATGTAATAATACGTAACAACTAAATTTAAGTTATAATCCAACTTGGCACATTGAAATGTTTCAATTAACTTGTATAATCAATTAAAATGATTACTTATAATTATTTTTAAGCTATCAGTTTCCGATCTCGAGTTAAAAGCCTAGTATACGTGCAACTAGTATGGCTTAAATTGAAAAAAAAAACATTATTTGAGAATCTATATAAAATGAATGTAAAATGATATATTGCCCACATAATGTGAACTGTACCTATTTACTTTGCTAATCGTCTTATTTTAATCCCGACCACTGCGTATCTGAAAGAATATTCTACTGATCAGTCTATTTCATAATCCTGACATTATGTCTCGCGAGTCGCAACTCTTACATTTCATGTGACTAGCTTTGTAATGCAAAACTTTTAATATAAGCCTCCGACATGAAGTACTCTAAACGGCATATATTTCCTCTTAAAAGTCTATTATCTCAATTTATCACATAATTCAGAGTATTCTAAGCTAGCCAATAGACATAAAATCGTATAATTCTGCATCCAAACGAAGCAATAAACTTAAATCCGAGGAAACGCTTTCCAGTAACTTCAGCGATACGACAGAAGTATTTACGTTATTGCTATTCAGAAATCGTAAAAAGCTTTCAGAGAAACAATTTAAAAGTTTATTATTAATGGTATTTTATAACATAAATTGGTAAATTTAGATGGGGGGAAAGAATCATAGATGGTTGAATCATAGAAAATTGTTTTAAATAATGTATCAGGAAACAAAGACGATGATTACACTTGTTCACCCTACATATATCATTCGAATAAAAATAAGAATCCATGCGGAAACTATATATCTGCTTTCTAAAAGAAATTAAATAAATTTCCACAATGATAAACCACTCGAAACTTAGAACTATATCAATTTCAATATATCTCTAAATTTCTTCTATATAGATATGCTATACTGAATAAGCATATTCAAATATCTCATATTTGCATGATCCTATGATAGTCGGTGCCGAGAGTAATTCCCTAACAATTCGATAGTACCAAGTATTTAGCACGTAGTGTTTTCCTTGAGGCTATGTTGCCGATATTGATCGACCGAGATCACTTAACTCTGTTAGGAAGATTGATTGTGCCATTTCAAATTTAGCATTTGTAAAGTGTACTATTTCAAATGCAAACCCACACTGTTATAATCGTGAAAATGCAGAATAATAGCAATGTTAAAAGGTAGATTTATGAGACATAACACTTGGTGCAGACTTTCAATACGAACATCAAAAGCATAGCTTCTTAGATATTAAGTTTAGAATATTATAACTCATTTTTCTGAAGTTCCATTTTAAGATTATTCGCGCATTAAAACACCTCAATCAGAATTTTTGTACCCTATCAAAAAACCGAACTCTAAAATATTACCATGCCTGACAACACCGTTTATCTTAGTCAGTATGAGTCTAATTGGGGTACAGCGTTTTGCATCGCCGTACGGAGCAGAAACACGTATTACCAAACGACATATGCCTAATCTAAACAAGTACATAAATCGACTGGCAAAATTAATAAGCTGATTTCGCCCTTGGGCTGATCTCTAGGTTTAGATTAAAAACTGACACGTAGGGGGACCAAGTCTTGACATGAACCATACTTTTATTATGTGTGGTCATGTGTAATGTGTAACGGTAAGCGCGGGGGATATACATGGTCCACAAATGGCAAATAATATAAATACACAACGAATATATTGTTCGCTCATTTCGAAATCATTACCGAATCCGGTCTTATAATCAGATACTCGTCTGACTCACAACTCTTTGAAGAGCCACACCGATTTCCAGATTTATTTATAAAACTGTACAAACATCAACACGTTATGATGAAACATTTTGTGCGCGCTATAATTTATGAGCCCAGCGATAAACCGGTAGAACTAGCAGAGGAGATCTATGGCTAGATGGATTATCTAGTCTTGGAAATTGCGGTTAAAAGTTGTACGAGAAAGAGAGAGAGATCATCCGCTGATAATTTAGTAAAAATAAATTCCACGTAAAAAAAACAGACTGATATTGCGAGATGACACGTGGGTTTTGACGTTTGCTTGATCATATTTGCAGCAAAAAGGTGAAAAAATATCCCAAACGTGTGTTAAGTATTAGTATTATAAGACATTCTGCATTTTTCCACACATATCAAGCATGTACGCTACTTTAATACAATTGCATTTATCAGTAAAATACTTACAATCATAAAAAATAAAATTGAATAGTTTTACCATTTAGAAATTAGCTGATATTCCTGTGGACGACATGGAAGAACTACAGTGAGACAGCTGATATTGGTCGGTTGTGGGATTCGTAAGGTATTAAATATATCAGGCCAAATAATAAACGAAAATGAAATTAAGCTTCAGTTTGGCCCAGGAGTTATCTATAGCAGAGAGAATATATGCAACATACAATAAAAAAAGTTTTTTTTCGCGATCCATAAAGTCGACGAAGGTTATGGTCAACGAACTTAATGTAATACCAGTTCACTCGCCCGGGGGGCAATTCATTAAATGAAGATTTATATTTGCTTTCATTAAAAGCATAAATTGAGAAATAAGTCATACATATATATATAATAATATATATAACTGCCGAATAATTCATATTTATAAATATATATAGTTTTATTGAGCATAGCCGTGGGACGAGTTGCTAAGATCAATATTTTGTAACACTCGTTATTTGATTCAGTCAAATTATACTATTATGTAATTTACGAATATAATACTTCACATTTTTAAATAAAATTATGCTGAACGATTCAATTTTTATTGAATTGATTATTTTTTTCAAATCTGATAATATTTATACAGCTCAGTTTTATAGCCTAGAGCTAGACTCTAGACTAGAGCAGGGGTGTGCAACATTTTATGTCGGTAGGCCATATAATCAACTTCAGACATCTAACTGATTGGCCACGCAAAAAAAAAATTTCAATCACAATGACGACGGATTCTTGCGTCACAATATAATGTCGCAAACAAGTGTTATGAAAGCTTGCAGCAATGAAATACATCGGCGACACCACAAGCAACGCGGGAAAGGCAATGCGGTTATCGCTTAGCTTTACGCTAATAAATGCACCGGGCAGAACGGCGAAATATTCAACTCAGCGAAACGAGTAAAATAACATTATGTATATTTTTACCCGTGTGAGTGCCTTTTTAAACATAAACTGTCGGATTAGGATTTTATGATTGATGGGGGAAAATCTTAGTGTTGACAAAGGCCACACTAAAATGTCTAGGCGGGCCACGTCGTTTGCGGGCAATTTACTTTTAAAAAGTATCGAAGTGGTATTTATTAAAACAGCGAAGCCTGAAGTACCTTTTTGTATCTGATGTGAACTATTTAATGCGCTTGTCATAATGCTATTCAGTCAGGTGCAAGACATTAAACATTCAGAAGTAAAAGCGGTAATTGTCACCATTCAACATACATACTAATTGCCTGATCCGGAATATGCCGAAGTACCACTGCCAAATTGACCTTTCCTGTGGGCTGACCATATGGACTAGTGCTTGTGACACTGCCGAATTTCGTTTCTGAGTAAATAATATCTCGTATATATTCCGCCACATTATTCATATTAAAAACTCTGAATATATATATAGGCCCCTTTTCCGTAAAGTACAAATGTTTTACTACCATTGTCTAAAGTAAACTAATGAGCACATTTTTGGCTACAGTCTCGTTTTTTATATACACGAATCTCATAATTCTCTCTGAGTTTTCAAGGTGTGATTTTTGGTACAACCGTAGACCTCTCGAGGGATAATGGCCGATTAGTGAAATTATGAATACAAAAGGAGTGTAAATTTATGGAGCACGTTCAGATCTGCAGTCGAGAGCCTGCTTAGCTGATATAATAAGCAAAACGAGAAACACATGTAGTAATAGTTTATTGCAATATAAAGTTTGTTAGTACGAGGAAACAACATATTTCTTATCTAACGTTTATTCTCACTGTTTTAGTTTATTGGGCACGTAGTGGACATAACGATCGTTTCAAAATTTTGTTGGTATTATTGGACACGAAGTGGACATAACGATCGTTTCAATATTATGTTGTTGTTGTTGTTGTTCTTGTTCTTGTTCTTTGACACGTTTTTAAAAAGTCGCTTTCCTCTTCGAATACTGGACCAATTGCTTTGAAATTTTCAGTGGTTAAAGATTAATTTTTTCACTAGAAGGCTATTACTTTTATTTATTTCAAAATTTTGCGTGAATTCTATGAAATTTGATATTTCGTCTAAAATTTTGCTGTATTATTTTTTATCCATGGGAACACGGATTTTAGTCAGTGTCATGACTGGCTGTACGTTTTGATTCTGCAAAATTCTTGCTACTGGAAATTCAGAACTTTTTTGAGGGTACCGGTAGCGTCAAAGGTACCGGTAAGGACTGATTCGCTCTGGTCTGGCGTGTCCATATATTTGTGCGTAACTCCCTTGTTGGATACGTAGTGGACATAACGATCGTTTCAATATTATGTTGTTGTTGTTCTTGTTCTTGTTCTTTGACACGTTTTTAAAAAGTCGCTTTTCTCTTCGAATACTGGACCAATTGCTTTGAAATTTTCAGTGGTTAAAGATTAATTTTTTCGCTAGAAGGCTATTACTTTTGTTTATTCTTAAATTTTATCTGAATCCTATGAGATATGATATTTCATACAAAATTTCGCGGTATTTATTTGCACTCATGGGAACACTGTTTTACACTTATTTCAAGCGGTTTCGTCTTGCTCAGTACTACAGCTACTGTAGGTCGGTACTGGTAAGTTGCCATACCGGTACCGTAACGCAGTGAAATTGACTTATTCCTTCCGCGGTATTACTAATGCTGCAATGCAAGTTTTATAGCCTATCGTATGCGGAACGGAATATCAGACCTACAGGTTCGGTACCGGTACTGGTAGCTCAGTACGTAAGTACGATACTGGTACTGGTGCCGGTACCGGTGTCTTACCACAATGAAATTACCGTAACTTATTCTTTCACGGTCCTACCAGTGCAGTAATGCAAGCGTTGTAGCACTTGTAGCCTACTATATTTGTTTATTTTGATGAGAGTCTACTGGAAACAACATAAAATTTGAAAGGGAAGAATTGTTCTGTGATCAATTATCTGTCCCAAAGTGTAAACAACATAAAATTTGCAAGGGAACAACTGTTCTGTGATCAATTACCGTATATGGCCTACAGTGTACAGGTAAGATGCTGGCTGACTGCTAACCGGTACTGGTAGCTCAGTACGTAAGTACGATACTGGTACTGGTGCCGGTACCGGTGTCTTACCACAATGAAATTACCGTAACTTATTCTTTCACGGTCCTACCAGTGCAGTAATGCAAGCGTTGTAGCACTTGTAGCCTACTATATTTGTTTATTTTGATGAGAGTCTACTGGAAACAACATAAAATTTGAAAGGGAAGAATTGTTCTGTGATCAATTATCTGTCCTAAAGTGTAAACAACATAAAATTTGCAAGGGAACAACTGTTCTGTGATCAATTACCGTATATGGCCTACAGTGACAGGTAAGATGCTGCCTGACTGCTAACTCAGTACCGCTTGACACGTTTTTAAAAAGTCGCTTTTCTCTTCGAATACTGGACCAATTGCTTTGAAATTTTTAGTGGTTAAAGATAAAAATTTTCTCCAGAAGGCTATTACTTTTTTTTTTGCTATGACGTCATCAAAATTATGTGATTCTACGTGTCCATATATTTGAGCATAGCTCTCTTGTTATTGTTATTATTATTATTTGTCTCCGTCAACCCGTTTTGAAGAAATCGCTTTTCACTTCGAATACTGGACCAATTGCTTTAAAATTTTCAGTGGTTAAAGATAAAAATTTTCTCCGGAAGGCTATTACTTTTTTTGTTTGCTATGACTCCACGTGCCCATATATTTGAGCATAGCTCTCTTGCTTTTATTACGTATTATGACTTAGAGATCAATTCATTTCATTATATTACATTTTAATTATCAAGTATATATGCGGAATAATATAATACCACCATCTGAAATTTTTATAGCTATGCTATTCATTTTATCTCAAGACGGTTAGTGGCATGTGTGCGGATATAAAGGGATATCAGTTATTTGGCGTCAATGAAACTTCCAATTACTGCACTATTTGTTGCTAGTACTGAACTGAAAATTGTACACATACATAGAAGATAGACATAGACACATAGATAGCAAGAAATACAAAAATGATATATATATCTATTTCTATAGTTTTCATTAAGATCTCATTAAAATATCAATACAGAGAAGGTCGTTTTGGTAAATATCTCGCAAAATAGAATAAGGTAAAAACATTTCGTTGACTTGCTTCTTGTTCAATTTTCATCAAACGTATTTTAATTAAATTTTCAAAGTTTTATTTCGATCCACTGGTAGAAGGTTTGTTCTCAATCGCCGACATTTCTGTAACGTCGCCAAACCCCTGAAATTGAAATAAATTGCTCTGATACTATATGTTTCTCTGAAATCATCTATAAAACGATGTAGGTAGGTTTTGGATGCATCCAATGGGGAGATGTCACCCGATATTTTGTTATTTTTACAAATATTGCGTCATCACGTGATAGCGTTGTGACAGACTATCACTAGATACTTTCGACAAAGCTAGTGCTCACTGCTCAGCTGCGATTATACCGGTATCATTGTGAATTGCTTGGGCGGGGTCATCGCTCTTCAGTTATAATTTAAAGCTTCTGAATGATAGATAGATGATTTCAGTGCAAGTCGCATAGGCTACCGGTACTGTGATTAGTCGTTGGACTATCGTGTCAATTTATCCGAGCAATATTTTGATGCATCATTCTAACTACGCCATTGTTCCTATCTAGTTTATCTACAAAAGGCAGTGTGAGTTTGAAATAGCCAAGTAGCCACCCCATGGAATAAATTAGGTATCAGTGGCGATTAGCAATGGAGCGATGGTAAGTAAAAGGCATGAAATATTCTCGGATGAGATAAAATAAAAAATCACACTTGGACAAACGACGTGATGATGAACCTGGGAGCCATCACAATATCATGCATGCGTTTTTGACCCACACTCATTCATGGTCCCAATTGCTTTCCTTTGATGCTTTCAACGCGTTGGTATAAAATTTCTGTTTATAATATATTCGAACCTGATAGGTGATGGATGTGGAACGTGCAATGACTGATTTTCTTCTTTTTCTGGTAGAGCAGTCAATACAATCATAACAAATACCTGGAATACAGAAAAAATAAATGCAAAAGATAAATATAACGTTTTATGAAATATACATGAACGAGGTAATTTGTAGTCTTGCGGTTTCGCAATCGCCTTTCAGCGATCTCGTGGTTAGCGATTTTTTTAATAATATTAACTACCGATACTGTAAAAGATTTGATACTCTTTTGTGGTTTTTGTTGTTATTTAATTGAGCGTTTCGCTCTTGTTTATAAACATACCGCATACAAAAATTCTATTAGTCAGTAAAACTTACCAAAGACAGTTAGAATTAAAACCGTTGCGGCAAAGGCAGTTAACGCTGCAAGAGCGTAATACTGAAATTGTTTACTCAAGGGATCATCAGTCGGTGTGAAGAATTTTTGCTTTGCAGAATTCCAGTAATTATTCAAGTGTTCTTTAGGACTACCCATAATGTAAACTACAAGTAAATAATAAAAGTACTTTTGTAATTTAAACAAACAGCTGAAGGTAATACACAAATGGATATTGTAGCCAATGCGCCCATAAATACGTACCACGTACACGGCTGCGTAAAAATTAATTAGGCTGAGTTTATGGGAGCCAGAATTGGTCGTTCTTTATGGGAGCCAGAATTGGTCGTCGAATGTTTTTATCTGGCAACCGAACGCTGGTATTGTAGAGAACTCCAATGAAAGTTGAATGATGGAGTCGGGAGATCATCTAATTGAGGACGAATTCTTGACTGAGCTGTTTGGAATGCCTGACGTACCGAGTACCAACTACAGTCATGCAGTTACTACATATTAAATAAATAATAATATTTGTATATCATGTGTTTTTGTATGTCGTGGGCATGACAATTTTCTACAAATTATATTTTTCAAGAAAGTCTTTATTTATGCCTTAAAAATCTTTTTTTGCCAGAACTGACAACAATAACACTATCGCGAATTATGCTCGATTTGGGTATCTTAAATGGGTCGAAATATATGTTAACTTATACTAAAAGATAGCATTTAATCCAAGAGGACGAAAGTTTAAAATACGTCCTAAATTGCAGTTCTTGGCATATGAACTTGTTCTATCATATCTGACTGGTGATAAGGTACATCACGTCGCGGGGGCGTAGGCCCAATACCATACATCGGTAATTCTATTGTTTAATATCATATATATTGAGCCTATGTTTAACAAAAGACATTGATCTAATTGTAGAGCATTGCATATGATTTTATGGTTTCAACAACCATGCTCTATATCTAAACATTAACCGACTGTCAGTTAATAATATATATCTGACTTCACAATTTCCCTCTTTCGTGATGTGCACAGTTGACCTCTTCACCTAAAGTTCTAAACAAATAGCAATAGCGTCGGATTGCAAGGTATTCTTAGTCAAACCGTAGCACACGATGGTGCAATGAAACGAACTAAACTAAGATTTCGAAAGTAGATCTCATTTTCAAGACTTTGTACCTGAATGACCAACTGCCAGAATACTTCACTTTGCACAGAAAAGCCAATCTAGCCGCATGCCAACTATGCGCTATCTATATAACGACTCCATGAATCAGATTCGTGATACCGTCATCAATATGACTTCCGCTGATAGTTTGAATGAGGTAACGCGCACATGGATAGTATAATCAAATTTTGACTCGTTCAGATGCAAATGCAGGAATCCGGCGATATGCTAAATATCAGTATTCGTACCTATTCTGCAATGTCTAAACATCTGAAAAATGACATCATAATATGGCGCCAGTGAAGGATACATTCACATCAGAATAAAATACTGATGAAATTCAAGCAAGATGCATGAAAAAGATAACGACGTTTTACCGCGAACGATTTGTGACAGATTATACAGTTTATTTGCATCTTTATATGTGAGAAATTTTACTTCAACCGAATCTTTGTCACGTCCAAGAAATGACAAGTGTTTTTGAGAATGCCAGGTTTTTTGGTCGTTATCCGGTGGTTGTAAAATTGAAACACGACCACTAGCGAGTTACGCTCACCACCTTAGCGTTGTGTAACAAACTGGTTCGGATTGACTCCGTTTTTTTTTTCAAATAAAGTAGTTACCAAAGCATACTTAATCGCACTAAGGAACTCACGAGCATTCGACGTTGAATATCAACAATGGTTGAAAAGAATCAATCTCATGCATAAAGCGAATAATTTATTCCTTGTCGTTACGACTAACGAATTCACCTGTATACATTTTAAAATATTGATTGATGTTATTGAGTACACGTTCTCGATTGCTTCATCCCAAGGCGGTCGAATTTTTATCGACCACTGAAATAACGAATTTCGATTGGTAGACAAATTAAAATGTCCAGATATGATTGAACCGTTCTTGAATATGCAAAATAAATTGCAAAAAACAGTTACATCTGGTAGAATAACAACCAAATAAACATCCCTATTTGGTGCTAACTCAAAGTATGTTATAGATATAAAAATTGAAAAAAAAAATTAAAATCAGCATAATATAAAAGACAATTATAATTCACCATGAACATGTATACGGCACTGGAAAACAATGGAGTGAAGAGAAAATACTTGAAAACGAACCAAGTGTGGAACAAAAATGAAAAACGAGAATGAAAATCAATTTTTCAATTAAACAAATAAAACAAATTTCGATTCAGAAAACTGTTTTGACGTCACATGAGAGCAGTGATCACATAAAAAGGAAAATTTCAATATAGACAAGCGTGCATTGTTTCAGCCATAGAGGTAGAGTTCAGAAAGTTGTGCAAGCTAAGCAAAACATATTTAAAAGGTATGTCGTTTGCGAGGACATTATTCTTCGGTCGCAAAGAGGAACCAAACGATTTTATTAATTTAAATGTGGGTGGGATTAATTTTGTAGCGAACAAAAGTAAACTCGACAGATATCCACTGAGCAGATTATGTAGATTACGAGACTGCAGGTAAGTTGGTGCTTCTGTGGAAATAATAAACTTTCTAGGCTGGATTCAAAAAAGAATATCAAACATCATTGGCGACCATACTGCAAACATTTTTCATCGAAGAAATGTTGCATCGCTGTGCCCATTTTACAGATATTATGATGTTCTTCTAACTTTCGGAATTCATCAAAAAAAGGTTGGAGTCGTCAAACTCGATTGCCTGTGAGATCGCACCCGTTCACTGTCAGCATATTTACCATACAAAAAAAATATATGTCCAGAGTCTATTTTCCAAGAATTTCAATACATGAACTGCTTTACGACTCGCGTCAATTGGCATTTACTAACGCGTAATTTTGCACTATAATGATTTATAGCCTATTCTCAGTAGCTCTTTGCCCGTAACTTCGCTCAGAGATCAATCTTCTATAATTCTGAGTGAGTGCGCGTGACATTTCTTTGAACAAATTTCCTTATAAGAAAAGGATTATATCGCTATTTTATGAATGTTTCGCTGATTCGTGAAGTTTGATAAACTGACGATATTATGAAAATACCGTGTAACAATATATATATCCAGCAAAACCATTCAGGTATGTATATTCGTCTACTTTGACAAAAGCACCATATGGTTCAGCTTTGTGATAGCATACAATGAACGGAAACGGTTTCATTTCAATTTGATAATATTTATGAATCGTTCTTCATAATTTATTATTTTCAAATAACTAGCGAGCTATACGATAGTGCCCACTATACAGTCTGTTGCAAACTACTAAAACGAACATGCTCAATTTGAGAAATTTTCACTTATTTCTCCAGGAATTTCGACAAATGCATCGATTTGTTGAGTGACGGGTACGACGAGGACGACGACGTATTTTACTTTGATAGAGATCCAGATTCTTTTCGCCTTATTTTAAAATGTTACGAAGGAAGTACGTATTTATTTATTGGTTTTCATTATATGTTTTTGTTATGTTACCTCACACTTACTTGCTTTTTTTATAATGTGATTATAACGCACTAATTGAAGTAGTGCTGTGGAGAATGGATACGCTCGTCACGGGCGCTGTTGTTCAATTGGCTGGGGGTTTCTACAAAATATTATTTAGTTCTCAATTTATACAGCTAGAATGCCATTTGTCTTACTGATATATATTTCAATCAGATTTATTATGAGTGTATAAAACCGACGTAATCCTGACAACAATAAATTCAATGATATATTGGATATACGGTATATCGGGTGTGTCCACATTACAGTTCGGAATCCTATCAAAATAAATTTGATTCAAAATCCACTTGAGATTAGTACTTGAAATCTTGACTAGTTACAAACTTAGCAGGCGTATTCGAAGTATTTAAGAACGTTATGTATTATGCAAGATCGCAAAACCGGGAGCGAATATTGTGCCATATGAACAATTCACAATTTTATAAACACGAGTGTTCAACTACCACTAATCGCAGTAGCCAACGCGAAGTACACAAACTCTTTTATCTTTATCTTGAGCCATTTAAATCAAAATTATACAAATCCAGTCCCATTCCCGTAACGATCTACATCGACATCGAATGATGACGGATGAACCTGACGAAATGGCACAAGGTGGCGTATTATGCGCAAAAATAACCACATTTAGAATTGATACATCGTCCCCCGCAGGATTTGGTCGCGACAAAAATAATTCAGCAATGCGATCTATCCGAACACTTTGTGCCCAATAACTTGTAATGTCAACATAAATTCAAGCTCTATCACAGAATTGTTGCTACATGAGGAACTACAAAAACTCAACATTGTTTCTCGTTTACTATTTTTCAGAGCATCAAAATATGCTTTTCAATTTGCCATTATTTTCACAGTCAGTATCCACCTTCCACGATCATTATGTCCTTTACGATTTGCGGACGAAAAACGTTATTGGGCTGTTGAAGACGCACAGTTTGATGTATGTTGCCAGCAACGTTTTAAATCGGCCTCGACTTTTGTCGATGAGTTGGATGTTGAAGTACGAAACAAGGTTGAAGAGAAAACGTACAAAACTGAAAAAGCAGAATTGATTTTCACCCACATCAACAATTGTAAAGATGCACTGCAAAACATTTCAAAGGTAATGTATATATTAGTTGATGTAAGATGCTATATACAAATACTTGAATTCGTTGAATTTTTTAAAAAAACTTAGTCGCAGATTGAAGGAATGAGCAAATTTTCATTATCATGTTTCTGTATAAATTGGTACGCTTTTGCCTCATAGATTCCGTCGAGCTAGTGCTGAACAGAAGGCGTATTTTCTGGTAAAGATACCACGTTGATGATCATATATAAGAGCATACGTCTCTTGTTTAAAGCTGGATTGTTATAGTTCAGACCACATATGCCAAAAGGCAAGACTCCTGCAAGGAGTACTATATTGTCTATATTGACTTGTTTCTATCAATCTTCATTTCACGCTGAAAACATGAAGTCATCAATCCGTTCCACGAGCAATCAACGAGGATAAAATTGATTCTTATTTCGCATTATTGATTGAATCTATTTTACGACAAAACTTATATATATATAGCAAACGTCGTTAGCATCCTAGTGCATAATTAAAATATTTCAGAAGATCCATCCAAGAGCATTTTTGTAATAGTACTATACACCTAACTCTTTCCCACGTCCATTTGCGGGGAGTCTCAAATATGTTGCGACCACACATGTCTCAATTACATGACTATCATTTTATATGAATATATACTCTAACCTAGGGTTGCCATACCGTCCGGAAAATTCCGGACATGTCCGGAATTTAGAGTTAAATTTTGCGTCCGGGAGGAATTTTAAAAAATGCTCAAATGTCCGGAATTTTACTGCATCTGCAATCGTAATGTGCACACTGCTAATACAGAACATTGTTATTTCGTACCGCGCGCATATTTTTACGACGAGGTTGTATGAAATTTTAATATAACAGAGCGTTTTCCTTATCAATGGTGTTAAACTTGCAAACGTCTATACGAAATGCTTTTAGTACCTGTGCAAATGGATGAAACCAATGGAAGAGTTTACTTGTTTCAAATGCATAACCTTGAACGAGATACCAAGTTGGAAGGATGTAAAGCAGGGGTTGGCAACCTACGGCCCGCGGGCCGGATCCGGTCCGCGGAGCAATACAATCCGGCCCGCGACGCTTCACTGGATTATAGTAACAAAACAGCTGTTTAACGATTATATTCTTTACGTAACAGAATTAATTTTGCGACACGCGTAGGCTAAATTATGTTATAACCTAACTAGTATATAATTCACAATTGCGCGTTTATTTACCCTATAATTTAATTATAATTACACAAATGGCAACAAAACGCAGAAAGGTTGATGCTTAGCACAAATGGTTTAATGGTGCAGAAAATATTCAAATGGTCAGTCTTCGTGCGCTGCTCTAAATTTACCTTCTCGCGAGCGACAAAAGGTTGCCGACCCCTGATTTAAAGCCTTGCCTGGAACATCTGATTAGTAAACGGGTTGATGTGGACGATGATAAATGCTTTGACCAAGTCTGTAACTTGAAGCAGTTTGTGGAAAGTTACCTACAAGACGAAGAATTTATTGAACTTCCATCGCATAAGAAATGGTGCAAATATTTCGATCAGTCTACGAACATCACATGCCACTCCGAAATTTTAAGGATTGAACTGTTTTTCTTTGCTGTTACATCCCACAATGCCAATATTGTAGAGAGAGTCATTTCACTGATCAAAGTCAGTGGACTAAAGAGAGAAACAAGTTGCGACTATAAAAGGCATGTTGACTCTCCAATATAATTTCAAAGATATGCACTGTAGTGAATTGTTTTCATTTTTGAAATCAGACGAGGAGAGAATGAGATCTTCAGAAAATATGCATGGTCAGAAGAGTAAATTTGTGGTGATTGTCTTTAATTTGTTTTAAGCATGTAATTGCTGTTCTTCCGTTTCGGCACAATCTAATTCTCATTCTTGTTTTTCATTCTGAAGTTGAGATTTTTTCAGTCGACGGCCCGTAGCTATATTTAGAGTGTGCTTACCTGCCTGGTGTGAGATTCTGCTTGTGACTGAAGACAATACTTTTCATTTCGGTAGCTGGCGCTTTAGCATGAGTATCGTACAAGTTTGCAGCCTTAGCATTTCGGTAGCGCGTATATATGGTCTCATGAAAATAGGGACCTCCTGAAAGAAGTATGTGCACCAAGATGGCGCACAACCTGAACATAGTTTTTGTGTACTTGTTAGGACTAAGGTTGTGCGACATAGTCATACACTGTCCGGAATTTTGCTATTTCAAATATGGTACTCCAGTCTAACCTTCGGCTAACGTATTATCTCTATCGTAACTCAGAATATAGTATAAATTCCACTTCATTTGCTTACTTAATCATAGCATTTGCCCCACAATATATATATATATATATACCTGCCCTCTCAGAACTGTGAGACAAGTAGAATAATTGGGTCAAATGTAACAAAGTGGGAACAATAGAGCTGGGTTCAAGTAAAATGACTTAACAGGTGATGGCCTCGAATAATCGTGTGAGCATCTTGAGCAATTGGTTCCATATAGTTTTGGTATCCAAGAGCAAAGAAGTCTTTTTTTCTAAATTCCCTTTTACTTTTATACTCAGTGATTTCACTACAAACCTCATCAAATTTCACCACCCTCCCCCCACTTTTGCGATGTAACGCCACACTTTAGTAGGCTACCTATATCATCTATAAATGTATTTAAATATTCAGTATGTGGTGCATATGACAGTGCATATAGTCAGTCAAATACATCCTCCGCCCATTTTCGTGCCAAGACTAAATTGAACAGAATTCTTACCCATTCCATTTGCAATAAAAGCAAGTCAATACGTAAAAACCTTCTATTTCGAAACAAAAAAAGAAATGATAGTTTGTGTATATTGTCGTATATCTGTGTTGTTATATTTCAGTTGCACCTTCCTTGTATTTTTTACCACTGAATCTGCATAAAATCACAACGATGTTTAAATAATATTGAATCGAAAGTTTATAGAATCAATTGTAATTTATCTCAAACTTTTTATTTTGCAGATTCGATGGTATATGTGGGGTATGTTTGTCGAACCTTCTTCCTGTTTTATCGGCAAAATATGGGCTGTTGTTTCAGTCGGATTCATCGTTATTTCATTATCTACTTTTGTACTTGGAACTCTTCACTGTTTTCAATCAAAGGATTCTTATGGAAATGAAATCGAAAATCCAGTAATTGAAACGATAGAAAAGGTGACGTTATTTCAAAATAAATAAATGTATAGAAGTGAAGGAAAGCACTGAGAACGTGATAAAAACGATATCAGATTCGAATATCATATTCTGAAGTGATTTCATGTTATGAATCATTAGGAATAGTATAATAAAATGACGACTCAAAGTTCTCAAAAGTGTACAACATTTATGATGATATTTGAATTAGCTTATAACGCAAAAGATTAGTATGGATCGTTACATTTCGGCAGTGATAGAATAAAACCCAAGCTATTGAAACAACATTCTTTTTACAAAACTTGTTATATCGTATTTGCATTCACAGGTTTGCATCACTTGGTTTACATTTGAATATTTGGTCCGTCTTATTATTTCGCCGAAGAAACTTCTTTACATTCGCCAGATCATGAACTTGATTGACCTTATCACAATAATGCCGTTCTTTGTTCAGCTATACTTCACACACAGTAGTGGAAATCATCAAGAACTAGAGTCTGTCTCTCATCTTCTCCAAGTATGTATCGCAATTCAAAGTTTATAGTATTTAAATTTGGCGACTAAAGTAATTATTAGGATTGGCAATGTGTTTTTTCGTTATTTTCTTTACTGAACAGAGAACAAGAGTTGAAGCTGTAGATAAATACTGCTCTGTGTTGCAAAAAAACAATCAGAAAATTCATTCGTCTGTGACTATATATGCGACGCGGCTCTTGAAGCTTATCTCATGCCTTCACATAAGCCAACATTAAACCAAAATGAAATAAATTCTCTGCAATACCAACGAAAAAGGTTAATTTCTCTGAAGCATTGATGGGAAATTATTAAGGAATTTCATATTCTCATGAATATTCCTTGAAGGATGATATTTACATAACAACGGTGCCCGTATCAACATAAAACGCATTGCATTCGGTTGTGGATTCATATCAGCAATCTTTTGTCGATCTCTGTCATTAGTCGGTATATACACATATACAGTTAGATAAATATATTCGAATATTATCAATGCGTTATTAACTCCATGTTCCAGCCATCTATATTTCAGATTTTCCGAGTCATGCGGGTTATGAGAGTGCTCAGACTTGGTCGGCATTCAGCAGGACTCCAAGTTCTTTGCAAAACATTCGTGCGAAGTTCGACTGAACTAGCTTTATTGGGAATGTATTTCGTTATTGGAATTGTGAGTACATAGCACGAACAAGAGTAATGTATCGCTATTTACGTGAACAATAGATTAGAATTAATAAAGAAGTGCTTTCTTTCTGATGGAGCTATGTGTTTCGTAACAGTAAAGTAATGAAAAGCTTTCATTAAGTTCCAAAGTGAAAATAACTACGCCTTTTTCACATGCGTTCAGTCTCACTGAATGTCCTATGCTAAAGTGAAATTAATTTTAGATTTAACCAAGGGTGTCGCTGCTCGACAACCAGTAATGGTTTTTCGCGCCATATTTTTTCCTCATTTTGTTCGTACAAATAGTATTTTAGTATGGTAAAAAATATTCTACTGCCTGACTACTCAAAAATCGCAGTTTCCAATCATTAATTTGCTAATATGCTCACATTATATACTATAGTATTTGCATTATTGGTACAGAAACATTCTCCAAATGCTGCGGATTAATATAATATTTATATTACGTTGGTTGGCGGTATCCGTTAGCAGCTTGTCCATGTGAAATTTATCGAAATTCAAAACATATTTCTATGTATCAATATTTCTATATTTTCAGATTTTATTGGCCACATTAGAATACAGCTTTGAAGATGAAAAATTTAGACATCTTGGCGATTCATTCTGGTGGGCCACTATTACTGTCACCACCGTTGGATACGGCGACATTACTCCTGATTCAGCCACAGGTTGGTCATATACTTTGATGCACTGCAACTAACTTTACTGTTGTACAAATATTTTATGCAGATGACGACAAAAACAGATAATAATGTTCACATTCAGGTAAAATCATTGCATCAATGGCATTTTTGATCGGTGTTTTAGCAATTGGAGTCCCAATCCATCCCATAATTGCAAACTTCACGTACTTCTATACAAGAACTCAAGAAATCGAATGCGCTTATAAACGGACAATGAAACGGAAGGTAAACGTTAGTAGTAAACTCCGAAGTGAATTCATTTACTGATTTGTGGTAACTTCTGGGTATAGGAACAGGTCCCTCCGTGAGAGTTACGTAATAATGACATTTCTAATTACGTAGCCATGTGCTCTAAAATGGATAAATGATAAAGTTCAGTTATAGGAGATACAATTCCGAGCGAACTTCGTTTGATAAAAGTGCGAAACGTAATCATAATGTTAAAAGTCACTGATCTAGATTCTAGAAGACAATAGCCGTGTATAGATATATATATACACCACATATACGAATACTTGTTCCAAATGGTTGGAGTACACGAATTGAAAATTATTTTGGTTTTAGGAACTGGATTTGTCTTTTGAAGAAAATGGCAGAACTTCTATTATGGGAATCAAACAAGAACATAAGGTTTCAATAAGTAGCACTACAAGAAAAATGAGCGTAACTCAGAGAGCAAGAAATATATTATTTAACGAGTCAAAATCTTCGGATACTCGACGTATTCTAAAAACCGATTCCCGACGTTCCTCGGCAACATCGATTTTTCCTGATTCTGAAAATACCGTTAGATTGCATAATCAATGTCGTTGTACACTTTGCGAAGAATCTATTGCGTGATTTTTTTCCGTGTTGAAAATATTGATATCCAAACTCATTTTGTACACCATGTATTATTCATTGTGTTTATTTAGTTATTGATATTATATTTAATTATAATTGATTTATTTTATGAGTGCGTGCTTTCTTAAATTTGAGATATATACTGTTTTCGACCTGTCGCAATTTATTGACACCATTATCAGTCGTGTTGAAAACTGTAGAATTGAAGATGGATTTTTGACATAGCTGCTTATACAGCAGAAACAGAGTTCCCAAAACACATCTTAACATCAAAGACAAACATCTAATCACAAAGCAATGTTCTTCGCTCCTTGAGGCTGACCTTGTAACGGCGTGGATGGCCAAGCCACCTTCAAATCTTCCCAAACATATTTTCATGGAAGAATCACTTTTGCTACGAGTGAAGAGGAGACTCCATTTCATTTGATGATTCTTTAATTATTAATACAATCGCTACTAATTATCTATTTCTAGTGAGAGATGTCATATAGTTCGACAGAAGCATACGGCATTCACCGATAGTGACATTAAATTATTTTCAATCAAATATTCTAACCTTGGTAGTCCCTGCACGATAACCGGCTTAGAACGTAGGGGGGTCAGTTCACTTGATTTTGTTGTAAGTTTTTTTTTCGACCTTTTCTGTTGTAGACACAATCTTCTGAATATTGACGTAAAATATTTCAGATAAATACGATGAAATCCATTATGCCGACCATATATGGGTGGTTTGAGGGTCGGAACCCCTGCCTAACTGTTGCGTTCTAACTTGGCTCTTCATCGAAAATTCCTGCCAATGCTTCTATTTCTATATTTTCCGATATTTTTAAAGAATATACAATCAATATGTCGTACAAAACATTTTGATCTTTGATAATTCACTATTTTCTTGCAATGAATTTTATGCCATTTGCAAATTAAAATCCATCTGAACTGGGGCCAGACTCAGCCCGTGGTTAGCCATTCCTTTGGGAAAATGCAGATGCTTTTTCGTCGTAAGATCTGCTCAACTAAAGCGACCTTATCGCACAACAAGTCAGCAACTCTCTCGCTCCTTTATTTTTAGCTACAAAATAAGCTAGAATGGGGCAACGGGCTTGTTTGAGTCACAGTTCCCGCGTTATTGTGCATAACACTTGATTCTTTTCTTGATTCTTCACCAAGCACACGAGAGAAAATACAGACGATAAACCAACAAAAAGCCCGAAAACTCATCCAAGCGTAAATACTCACTACGCGAGCGTCTTGTAAACTTTTGAAATCAGTTTGTGAATGCTCAACTTTTGAAGTTGTTTTCTGCTTGGGTCGTGAACTATTTTTAGATAGATTATCTCCCCCAGTTATCAGGACGTTACCTCTATAATATAGCTGAAAGTAATGCTTACATCTATAATAATCTGAGGTTTAGTTTAGCGCCCAAAACGAATTATGTTGCTATGCTGCGGAACGCTGGTTTTTCTCGCGCTACATACAGATTAGGGTGACTACTGCACTGTATCGAGATATATGAGATGCTTCGCTAAAAGCATTGATTGGACCAGTAATTAGATCCTGATGCTCGGCTTTGTCATATCACTTATGGTGAGCATAAGTTGCGCGACTAAGTAAAATATAATATTTAAGAGTTAGGGTAGGGAATGCGATTGATAAAGTGAAGTTCGCGCAAATGACACCAAAAGGTTAGTGCAGTAGGGAGTTGGATATACCTATGTAGTCGGGATACTCGGCAATCACGCAATGATACTCTGAGGGGTGGCGCGATATATCTGCGGTCCCTGAAAATAGTTAGTTCATCTTGCTCCTTAAGAATAAGCTGAGACACAGTATTTTCTTCCTCGACAATAGGAGAACCTTCATCAGTTTGAGTTAGTTGCATAGATTTTCATTGGTGCTAGAAAGTAACTGATAATTAATCTGATACAGATAGTACCATACATCGGTGATAAAAAACCTCTTGGATCATCGTATGAAAACTGTACATTTAATTCTAGGACTCATCGATATCAGTGTAAGAATATACTGTGTCACGCGGAATTGGTATTTTTCTCGTATTTCTCCGGTTTTGTCAATATAATTTTAGTGTGTCTATTTGAAGTTGGTTGAACCATGAAAAATTAAAAAAGTGTCATGTTCCAACCTATACTCGTAATTCTGATGAACAAGATAAATTCAACATTTCGACCCTTTCCTTTTGAATTAATGATAGAATTATTATTGGTATTTTCAAAAACGTGATATTTATACACTATCTTTATATCTACGACTAGTTTGAGAGCCGCACGCTATAGGCTTATCTGTAGCTCCGAAATCTTCCAAAATAAGCTTGTTTGTTGCATCAAGTGGCTAAACATAGCCGAGGGCGTTATATCCTCGTTTCATCGTAAAGTTGTGCCAATAAAACTTTGATATAACAGCCAAACATCGACTGTTGTTGTAAAACAGATGAAGTTAGACCGTCCATAATCCATATCTGCTTTTGACCAAGTCAAAGAGACGATATTAAATAAAGTTTTATAAGCGGGAGAGAATGTGACCCGATGAAAGTAGTCAATGGAGGTTATTGTGCCGTGTTGTTTTACACTGCTGATTCACCTTAGCATGAGTCAACTCGGACTAATTTTGATAAATTGAAATTTTCAATAAAAATCAGTTTGAACAATTTCCATGACCATACTTGTTTATACAATTATTGGTTAATCTCCCAGTACAGTCTTGTCGAATATTTGGATATGTAATGGATGGCATATTAGAAATTGGATATTGCTGTTTTTAAATAATCTTCCTTACAAAAAGAAACTTTGATTATTATGTGTCAAATTTGTGCGTGAAGGAATAAATGTTCAATTCTGAAATGCTACATAAAATTTTAATTGAATATGCAGCTGATTCCTCATCAGAAAATATTTCAAATTTTCTAAATTTTATTACACCATTTGGTGGGTGATAAACTGTTTTTTTTTTGAAGAAATCCATCAAAGTGTTAGAATGTTTTTGTCAAATCTCTTTCTTTTATTGACATATATATGTAATATAAAAACAAAGAACCTCCCTATCGTAGAAAACTATGCGTTCAAAAATATAAAATTTATTTATATATATATATATTGAGATAATCGAAATAAATAAAATGCCTAAATCATCCTTTTATTAACTTTAAGTTCATTTCCAAACAACGGATATCAGGATTACGCTAGAAATGAAATGCATTTGCGTCACTGGGGTAAAATCGCGGTTTTAAAAATCATTTATAAATTGCTGGATGTGATTTTGAATAAATACTGAGGTCGAGAGGTTGGTTTTGCGCCGTTAAACTTGGAGCGAAGATAATAATAATTTGAGGAACTATTTGGATTTGGACGGCTGTCAAACAATCCTACTCGACTTCATTATTTACTTGCAAGATTGAAGTTTCTAGGATCGTGTGGCGTCTGCCCCACAGAGCTGTTAAAAGCGATTCACTGGACCATGGCGTCTTAGGAGGGCATGCTAAAATTATAGGGGTGGGTGTCCGTTTCTAAAACAGGTTAGTATGGATTTTGATATTTTAGGAAGCATTCATTTAGTACTTTGATTGACTCGTTATAATTCTTAATCTTCTACACAAAGTTTATTCTTTCTTTTAATGTATTTCATCATGGCTCACAACTTGTTTCAAATTTTGCTTTTCCCTACCAAAAAATTTTTTTGAAATCATAAATGCATATTAGATGCAATATTTGTGTTACCCGAGCAACTTTTATTTCCCAAATTTTGTTTAACTACGTAGTAGGATTGTGTCACTCTTTCGACGTAATAAGTGTTGGCATAAAATAAAAACAGTTATTTATTTAATTAATACAAAAACTTGTTTATTGTTATAAAAAATATGAAAACGTTTTATGCCTGATTGACTTCGATGAATCTCAAAATCAACGCTAAAAGCGAAGTACGTTACGCCCATCAGTTAGTCATTTAAAGTATTTTGGCGAACTTAGTATATAATAATATTAATTACAGCCGATATTGACTACCCATACCCTCTCACAACTTAACCTTTATGGGTATCAAGTTTAATTTAAACCGTCTGGCCTTGAACAAATATTAGAAGGTTACAGTATAAACTTCAATAAATTTAACACGAAAATCTAGAAGATGTTTTCATATTTGAGCCAAAACCGAGAAAACAAACTTTCTCCGCCGTCTGCGGTTTTTTGCACTGATCGCTGACTAACCTAATGAAGCATAATACCGTCTTTTATATTTTTAAAGTCACTTTCTGGTGTACTCGGTACAGAGATCGTTTGTGGAGATTCGAACTACCGTAAAAGATTATTAATAGGTATGCCCTGATATTTTGGGTAAGGCGGCCGTTATGTCAAAAATTTTTTATGAGCAGCCTACTACCTGATATACATTTCTTGTGCCTGGAATTTTTAATCAAAGGATAAAAGTACTCAAAATACGACGTCAAAACTAGTTCAACTACACTATGTTGTGTTGTGACAAGCTGTCACATGTGGCGTGTAAGCATTTTGCTACAAACACGCACCTTACGAACTCAGGATCAAATCCCCGAATTTTGTATGTGTATCTCGGAGGAAATATTGTTAATAAATTAATATTTAAGCTTCGTATAAACAAATTTTGTGGTCAGTGGAAATCCAATGATTTACAGTAGGGGTGTGCAACCTGCCGACCGCGGACCAAATGCGGCCAACAAGGAAAAATTATGCGGCCCGCCGGGAAGTGCAAATTTTAGATGGTGTGCGGCCTGCGAGAAGTTTTTAACTTGGTTTAATCTGATACGTGAGTAATTCCTTTGCGTTGCAAAGCCGATATCGGAGTCCAATTTATTATCTATGTCTGTGACGTTACAATGCCCTAAACGCTAGTTTGTGCAAACAACGCATGCCACAAGATCAACAACCAAAATTTTTGTTTCTGGAACTACTAGAAAGCGTAAATGAAGGTCCGGCCCTCATGTATTAAAAGGGTTGCACACCCCTGATTTACAGTATAATAATAACAACAATAAACGCGCATTAATTTAGTCGATGTCGCTATCCTTCTGTGTATAAATCTTAGCAGAGAAATTCGTTTTCTGGGAAATGATATAAAGACCAAGAATATTACCCTTTCGATAAAGTATAGCAGTCATTATGAAATTCATAAACATACTATTGGCGAATGTCAAGAAAGGGAACTCATTGCACAGCTGTTGCTGAATTTCTCAAGAACATCTACTTGACTGATATAGACAAGTAAAAATGCAAAGACGATATTGACAATTCTAAGAAACCACTTGACAAATGAAGTTTTGTACACGGTTGAGTAGTTTTTAAGAATCCTACTTTACCAATGACCCATCCGCAAGTGTCGTATTATAATTTTGATTAGTGCGCTGTGCAAATATCATTTATAAGCAAATTCGTCAATGCTGAGTCTTGTGATGCCGCTCAAGTCAAGCTTTCGTTTCAATATATCGGTATAACAAAGCCAAGTAACTTAAACACATTTTGGTTTAATCTAATATTTTTTGTAAAATTTCATAAAATGGACTTAAATATGTGCTTTAATATTAGCCACTTAACATACTTCATGAATTTAATATATTTTGTAAAATTCAATTGTTTTGTATGGCAGATTCATACACTGTACAATGTGGCTAAATAGTTACAGCATTCATATATACATACTTCTAGTTCACGTTGTTATATTTGACTAAAGTTGCCGTTTTTTGTTTATTTTTTATGCTTATATTTTCAGATCATGTAAATTTAAATCTTTGCAGCCAAAGTAGGGATGGGAGGCTAACATGTACAATATTAGATCAAACTAATTCACCACTCGAGCCTCTGCAAACTTTGAGAGGGCATTTACAATTCGCAAATAATGTTCAAGACGTTTTGTTTGCTTTGCCTGATCCTTTGCTGCCGCTTCGTTATCGGACGCCTTCCCGTCGATGTTTTACCCATAAACACATTTACACAATCAGGTAAGATGAATTTTCAATCTTATAATACCCACTGTTTTGATTCTAGTATTCTTACACAAGTTTGGTTAAAATCTTGTCATTGAATCACAAAAGATCGTATTTTTAGTTTGACAGTTTGTATATTCTGTTACACGTTAGCAAGAAATACAAAAATCCCGATATAGATATCAAGAACAATGAATGACCATGAACCATGACCACAGGGATAAAAAGCGAAGCGCGTTCTTCTGAATGCTAAGCAAAGAGTTGACAAACATTTGCTATGCTATAACACTCCAAATATATTTTAATGAACAAGCAAGCAGACACCCGATCTTACTTTGCGCTCATTCGAAAGCTGTTTTCCAGTTTGACGTTGTCTGCCTCGTTTGCCTTGGTGTAGGTTGGCAAGGTTAAAGCGGCAAAACCCTTTCCATCGCCCTTTAGGCATCTATGTGCGCTATTTCTGTGGATTGCTTGAAAGAATGTACAAGTTAAACTGGGCAAGTCAATTACAAGTGCTTAATAATAATCGGTTGCTGAAGTAGAGATTTCATGTTTCAGGCCGATTTGAAATGTTTTGATGTGAACTGTGGGCTGAAAGTAATTTCTTTACTTGTCTTCCAAGTTCCAACTATTCATCGAAATAGCATTTGCATACTCATATGCGGTATATAATCTGTAGTCCAAATTCTAGTCGAAACAAAATGGGCTATTATCATTTTGGAAGCGTGAATTTGATGGATAATGTTTATATTGTTCATTGCCATTATTAATACCCTAACAATAAATTAATCGCACGGTTTTCAGACTTGATTTTTCTTATCTTAAAATTGTTAGCTCCTAAATTCTTTAAGTGCATCTGGATACTCGCCTGAGTCATCGTAAAATTTTTCGAGCTTTATGAATAATTACCATGAGTGAGTGAATAATAGCGAGTAGTATATTTTGAAAACATAGCGATGAGTGACGGTATTCATTGTTCACCGACCACTTCCTTTCATGCCCGAGAGCGTGAATCGAAATTTAGTTTTCAAGCAAAGATGGAATCGCGTAAGGGCCGTTTATAAAGCGCACCTCATGTTCTGTGTTTGGGCGGGGGTGCATTAGGAGTGCCCGTTTATTCGCTGTAGCCAAATCACTGGATTACCGCGCGTGTTGGCGGGACTGATAAGAGCTTTGTTGTATTGGCCTCTCTCATATCGAGTTACTGGAACGAAAGCCTTCAAGAGTTGGCTTACATGTTAAGTTTTTGTCTAGCGTACTAACATGAAACTACTAAAAACGAGCATGTTGAATTTGCTGTATATTCCCGTTTCTGCGAGCCGTCTCTATAATGTTTATTTGAAGGGCGTAACGACTCATCACTTGACAATTTATTTGGCTTCAGCCCGTATAAAAATACAATATTAAACACATCCTGCCTGTATTTTTGCAAAAATGACAACGAGCACAAGACCCTGACGATTTTAGGTGATGATATATTGGGCATGTTGAATGTAATAAAACAGACTATCCCTTCGCGTAATCGGGTTGTTGACAACTCCGCTTTCCGTTAATTCTGTTTCTTCAAATTTAGCAGATGTTAACCACGAATGCGGTTTGTGTAATAGAATAAAGATTATATACACCAAATTCATTTGAGGAAAAATTATATTCAGATAACGTATAATTTTTGATTTTTCGCTTCATTTTATTTCCACACTTGCTAGAATCCGTATGCGTTTGGTGCTTGGTAAGTGCTTGCAATTTTTCCATTTGTTTGTCTTTGGGAAAATGGAAAATTTGTTTGCATTGTTTATCAAAATATTTAGTAAATATTTGAATCAAACATGAATATCGTAAAGTTTATATATAAAATAAATTTACTGAAATTTCATGATATCTCATACTCAAATTAAATTCCTCTGTGAATAATGAATATTTCTGTTCATCACCCTCCCGAATAGCTTTATGATTAATGACGAATTACACACAGTCGAATATGAGATTTTCCATTTGGCAAACAATGTATTTTTTGTGCAACGGCTTTTACAAAATTTTAAAGTTACGTTTGTGAATTAATTATATGGAAAGTATGCGTGGTAATCATATTGAGGACTTGTATGAAAATTTGCCTGACCCTATTCGAAGCAATATAATTTAATTTCGAACTCAGTGAAGTATTTTACCTAAAGTCTTGAAAATCTTTTTCGGGACTTTCGTGATTTATTCTTTATCTGTCTATTTCATGCTTCAAATCTCCACCAAAATCCAGCCTGAATTATAACTTCGATTCCAATTGATGTTTTGATCGGAGTTGTATACAGTCTCCATCGATACAGCAAATTGTATGATAAGTCTGAGTATGAAGATGTCTCATAACGGAATGTCTTTAAAACTTTTTATTAAACCTATCTTCATTATGAGGTTTTCTGCATTTTCCTTACAATCGTGCAAAACCCATAACGGATTAATGGCATTTCGATACCGCAACATATATGGTCTGTAACTAGATAACTTATCGCGCGTCAGGTCCGTCGAATTGATGGATGTAATGTCAAAAAGGTCGACACAATTACTGTTGTGATGAAACATGTGCAATGATAAAATAGGTAATATTTCATTATAGTTGTCTGGGTGGTGGTTTGGTAGGGTTTTGTTTTATGATCACGGTAGTTCTGCAAAGGCCTTGGGGGAGTCAAAATAAATCATTGTGCCTATCTATGAATTTTATGCTTTATATGCTAAGTATCCCAATATGGTTAAGTTAAAACGCTTTTTCTGTTTTTTTATTCATTTGAATTATATCACTCGAACAGGCTCACTCGAAAGTAAGATTCATTAAACGCACTTTTTTCCCCTTAGGTTCAATAATTGTAACTAATCTTATCTGATTCATTCTTAATTTTGTCCACACACTTGTTTTGGTGGCACACTTCCAAATACCATATTTTGTGCTCACCAAAAGTTAAAGTTATTTTTCGATACTTCGTCACTAAAGAATAATCCTTCATTAAATTAAGTGAATTATTGCAATTAGCTATATTGAAATTGAGTTGAAAATTTATCGGTTAACTTAAAACCCCCGTTAAGAAGTAACAATGACATTCATTGGTAAGCTATTTAATATGAACTTTCAGACAAAAACAAAAATGATTGATTGATACCATCTGATTTATTATATTATATTTACGTTTCACCTATAGTTTATGTTTTCCACACAGAAACATGTGGCCAAAACTTTTCTTAATATTTTATTACAGTAATTAAAGACGTTAAAATAATACTAGTAATATTTATATAAGGCTACTTATGTAAATAAACAGTATATTATAATATAAACATATTATAACAAGTCGAATGGTTTCGTGCCAACAGATTATTTTGATAGTGGGGATATCAGTCATCAAGACTCTTTTCACAGTAATATTGTAAAGGCTGAACACAATTTTATTTTATATGTAACCCAAATACGGCTGCTTCCTTTTTCAAAACAATAATGAAGTAAAGTGTAGATTTTCTTCTAACTATAGTCATATCAGGTATTCATATCTGTGAGATTGGATCAATTATTCGGATATGTTCTGTCAGTTTTTACTCGTACAAAGTTTTCACGATTTTAGTATCTGGCAATTGGATTAGATGAGTGAAGTCTTGTGACTGAAAGAATCACGTAAAATGGAAAACATTTCGTTATCGCTATCGACACTGTCGAATCTTATTATCTTCTATTTATTTATGTTTGTCTGAAGTACTAGTACATATTAACGCTTCCAAAACACGTATAAACAAGATTTTTTGAAGTAAACAACAACATAAATGCCGCATGTTTTCATCTTGTGGGCAGTCACAAACATCCATATTTCAGTTCCTCTTTACGTATTTTAAGTATACACAAAGAAGTGAAATTGAAAGTGTTTTAACTACGAATCCGCCGATGGACGAACAAAACAAAACATTGGCATCCATTTTTGACTGCGTTGCATAATCATTATACATGCCATCAGTAATCAGGATTTAATTTTCAAGTGTGTTCTGTTTTTCCACTGAAACACTAAGTTTGAACGAAAATTATATTTCCATCTAAACGCAATTGGCTGTATTATGCCACCGATGAACTAGGTCGATTTTCTATGAAATTCGTTTATTGTTAGTCGATAATGATCGCTTAAATCAGATATAAAACCAACAGACGAATAAAAATACAAAACAAACCATCCTGTATCAGGTCCTGATGAAAATCGCTGACATCTCTTGTTTTTTCGATGTTTTGCAAATTTGTATATATTTAGGTTTTATTTTCGAATTATTTTTTTTGATAAAATTAATAACATTATTATTTGAGGAAGACATTCCATTATAATTTAAAAATACGAATTCAGGAATTTTTGTGAAAACATTGTTATTAGTCTATTTCAACAACATTTTCATTATCATAATAACTTTTTCAATTGCTAGTGTTGTCTTGAACGGGTGTCTTAAAAATGTCGTGTGCACAAGTAAGGGTCAAGTGAATGACACGACATTTTCTGACCCACCTTTTAAGTTGGGTGACGGGAATGACCAAGACATATTTTGAAATATATATTGCAGAATGTTTTGTTACGAATTTTAATCGTACGAGTAAAAATGCATTGCTATATGTTGAAAGGAATTTACACCATTAGTGGGTCTTCATTATCGAGAGGTGCGATTTAGGTTATACAAGAAGCTGTCTGAGATTTCTTAATTACTGAAATAATGGGCTGCATGCAATGTCAACATGGCCGGGTTACCATGATACGTGCTTGATCCCAGTACACCCATAATTGTGTTAGAATACTTCTTATAAAACTAAGATTCCTCAGTAATGAACGAAAATGTTATCCATAGAACGTATGTTGAACGTAATAACATATCGTTATAAACGGTTTCGTTTTTACCGCAATGAAATGCAGTTTTCAATCCTTCAGTCTGACCAAAAAAGGTTGTTGCCAAAACACAAAAGATATTACCAAATTACATCTTTAAACTGTTTTTGTATTTTCAGATTCGCTTCCCGTGTCTCTATTCTCCAGAGTTTATGGAATTGTACAAGTGGATCAAAATTACTATGTTTTGTCAAAGTAAGTAGACCAAGAAAAACTCAGTGTTGGTAATTTTAGGCAATATTACTAACATTTTAACCGACTTCGTCGGCTAAACACAAACCGCATATGAGACGCAGGGTGTAATAGAGGTTCATATTTACCAAAATTTCATCATACATAAAATTTAATTGAAATTACGATTTTTCCGAAGAGTAATACACCAATATTATAGGCTCAAAATAATGCCATAAATTGTCACCGTTTAAAGTAATATGAAAATGATGAACCACATTTAGAAAGTAAAAGTGGATAAAAACGAAATGTCTTTGGCGTCATTATCTATAAAGAATGCTGCATTTACTTTTGCAAATCAAATTGCGGGAACAAAAGTGGATTGGAGAGTATGGACATGTAGGGGCGATGGCCATGGTGCCCTTTTTGTGATAATACAAATTTTATTTAAAATTTAAAAGTCATTAGTTTATTAAAATGAGCAAATATTACTCTCTATGCGTTTTGACACAATATTTTTTGTAGACATAATTCTGCCATTTATGTCCAGAAATCTCAATTAATGTCACATATTCATATCCCGTGTGCTTTTAATATTGGTTAATCCTCTAATTATTAGAGATTTCCCCTAATACCTTCCCATGGATACTGCGATATGTCTAAGGGCGGTAGGCTTAATAACGGTAATAGTCTATAAGGCGCAAAATTCAAATCTATGATTTATTTTAGATATGTGCTTGCAAAATTGTTTCGACATTTAGGAATTTTCTTCGGGCAGCATTATCGACAGGCAAGGTCTTGCGATGCTGCAACTCTTAGAGCCTTCACTCCTTACGTTATTGTGTCAAACGTTCACGAGGCAAGGGCTTTAATAAACTTCCTTGCTTAAATCGTTGCATCAAAGTTTTTCGCTATTTTTACGCCAACACTACTATAGTATATCCACGCTCCACAATCCACGCACAAAAGCAACCTTGTAGACTTTATTTTTGGTGAAGATTTAATCACAATCATTGTTCATCTATAAACTCAATGAACAACTATTTTGGTATTTGTATTTGTAGTCTTGCTATTTGTTGTGATTTGTATCACCAAACCTCTATAGCAATACTCATTTTGTGATAATATTATTATGTAGTTCTAAACTTGAAGTCTAACAAATGAAAAGATACAGAATTTACCTGGTTATTAGCCTGTGGTTGGGTATCCAACTATCGCACGTTTAGGCTTTTCTCTTCATTGACGTTGTATAGGAGTGTTTACTATCATAAATGACTAGACTTGTATGTATGGGAGCGGTTAAACCATTCTTAGGTTTAAATAGGAAAATGTCAAATTAAAATACTCTTAACTGCAGGAGAATCGCTCTTTGGGCCTGAATTACATGATGTTCTTCGCACTTATAAACTTTATTATATGCTATGTATAATCTTGTCTAAAAATTTACATATAATGTCTTCAAAGAATTCGGGTTAGGTCAAACCCCCATTTTCATTTTACTCTCTAAAAATGTTTTAGTATATTATTTCACATCAATAAATATGATCTACCAAAACGCTAGATATATATGTCACAGTAACCACAAAATACTGGTTTGTAAGTATTTCATAGTGAATTTGCATGTATGCAACCCCACACTCAGTTGAAGGCTTATATCGTTAACTCGGGTAGCGGTTATAACGACGTTTATGATTAACCAAACTCCCAAGTTTTTGTCCTTGAGTGCATCTCGGAGGTAAATTTTAAAGTTTTAAACCAGCCTTACAAGTGAATGTGCACCCTACAATTAGTCAATAGCTTAACCGGCTTATTAGAAATAAAAATGTCGTTAATTACCACTTTCTTAAATTAACTTTTTCATTATGTAACATTTAATAGCCTTCCTAAATCTTTTGTTGGTTAATCTTGCACGGATTAAGACGTTGAACAGGTAATTAATTGACGTAAGGAGAATTCGTTTCAATTTGATAAGTGCTGAGAACACCATGTGCACACATCAATGCTACGTTATATAGAATAATGAGAAGTCTAGATATTACAACGTAGGTTGCATAAAAATTTATCTTCGTTTTAATCAAACACAAACACGAAGCCTATCCGAAAAGTTTGATCATGCATTTTGTTTTTGGCCCAGCCGGATTCAGTTATTCAAAAACGTATTACATAACCGATCAAAAACATATTTGTAATGGCGTGTAATGCATTTATGCCCGCAAAATCTAACTACTAATACTTTCAGAAATGCCACACACAGCTTGTCAAACCAAGTTTTAGACAAGCTTCATCATACGATCGTTTAATTACAGACCAGGCTGCATTTTTCTTCTGTAAAAAAGCATGACTGCGTTTTGTAAAGAATAAATTTTATGATAATTCTCATACCAATATCGGTATAATTTCCAGCACTAAGCAGCATTATTACTCGCACAGCATTCTTAATCAAAGCTGAAATAACTATTTGCGACGTCACAAACAAAAACCCAAGATGCTGCCAAGTTTTCACGCCTTTATTCTTTCCATTTATTATTAAGCAACGGTTCAATACTAAATACAAAATAAAAAATAATTTTTTTTTTTTTTGTTTTGTTAAAATAAAGTCACCTAATCAAGAGGATTTTCGGACGATTTAACACGTTTGAAACACTGGTCCATGATCAACAATCAACATAACCAAAATGTAACTTGAAGCGAAAAAAGTTTTGCATTTTGGCTATCTCAGTAAGATCCCAAAACAGCTAATTTCATAATTTTGACAATATCACAGTTCTATCTTGATAAATATTAATCCAGTGAACAAAAGAACGTTGTGATCCTCGTAAAACTAAACCTTGTGGTGTAGACATATAAAAATATAAAAAGCCCTGTTCGTGCGTAATTCCTCATAGTTTAGTCACAGTGGGTATAAAAATGCTGTAAATTCGCTGTAGTTTATACAAGTATTTCAAAAATTGAAGTGTTGAAAAAATTTATTGTAATTTTGCTGCAAAATGTTATAAGTATACTATATTGGTGAAAATCGTAACTTTTATGAGTTATGATTCATATCATAAATTACCTGTTATAGTATTAAATTTTGACGTTTTCGTTGAATCATGAAATAATTTGTTATTTCTAATCATATTATTCTGAATAGTTATCATTTGAAGTAATTTATTCCGGCGCATTATTATTATTCATAAAACAAATCAAAGCTTTACAACTAAAAAAATGTTTGAAGCCTCCAGCACGATGTTTCAACTGTAAAATGATTATCTAAAATACACTTAATCAGTGCTAGTTTGAAAAGCACGAGTCATATCTTTCGTGTCGTCTTTCTTACCTTAATTTGATGGAACCTTAGCTCTTATTTGTAAAAAAAAAGCACGGTCGTATTATCTTTGGGGTTAAACATTGTTTGAAGTAAAAGCGTGGAAACACTATAATATTTTTGAATCATATTATCAGCATAAAAAATCACAAATATTATCACCAAATGACTTGTCAACTTTTAGGCAGCACGTTCCACCAGCATCTTTTGCGTACGGACAAAGTTAGTAGATAAAGAGTTTACTGTTTATATCTTAAAAAATTATCTTTTGGATATTTATGCACGCCGTTTGCTGGATTTTACATTGCGCTGAAAGATTTTATAATTTTGTGAACTTGCTTTATGCTCATAGTACGCGCGTGGCCTATATTTATTTGGGCTTCTTAATTAAAAACATTGCACAACAATTCAATTATGAAGCTGTTCACTGTCACCATTTGGGTTGACTTACATTGATACAAGAACTCTGGGTTCAAAGTTTAAACCATCGTCTATTTGCAAGTGTGATCATGTCACGCTAGTCAAAATTAGATCATACCTCAAAATTTAAAAAAATGTTTTTTTTTCGATACATTTTTTAGTATTTCTAAATATTGCCATCGCATGATTTATATCAATTGTCGCGGTTTTAACTGCAATATAGATCCCATTTGACATTTCCATCGAAATTTTCAGCCAAGCAGAAATTTGGAATATACGAGATCCTTATCTAAAACGGTAAATATTAATATGTTTTCTCGCGCTTGGTGATAAGATTTAAATAGGAAAAAAGCATATCCAATGCAACATTATACAGCTCAACAGGGTAAAAGCTTAATTTAGTTTAGATGTTATCGATTGCAGCTCGGATTATAAAACATACGAAAAAAGATATAATTTCTTCGCTCAACGCCAGCGTAGCTAATTTGTAGGCATTTGAGTTTATTTGCAGCAGACTTTTAAAAATTATGAAAATTCAATTGACATTTTACTATTATTCAATTTCATACACAAGAGCAACACCAAAATATACTCGCTTATTTTATCATTCTTTTTTCGATCATATCATAATATCTGTTGTTTTATCTGTATTTCAAGATTGTCAATAAATCAGTGTTTCATTTATACCATACCGTATGCACGTACCTATGCACGCGCATCAAATCAACTGAAATTTTTAATTGTTTGTATTTAAATATTGCATAAAAGCGCCTCAAGGCAAGCTAAACCTGCAAAATCAAATGATAAATATAGAATACAGAGGTATCATATTTTGTGTATACGACGATCCGCTTTGTATAAATACGTGCACAGTTTGCATTTGGGTATACTGCGAGAGGAAACATGTAAATCTTACTAGCATTTTATACTCGTCACATCATATCACAGGATTACTTCGTGCGAATAAAAACCGTGGCAATTCGGTCGCACATTCATCGTATAGAATCGTAAGACTTTACGTTACGACTTTACGTTATTAGGCTTTACTTACTGCTTTGAAAATATAGCCATGTTTTTTTTTTAATATGGGACAGGTTCTTACCACATTGCATATCGATATTACCAACAAAAGTTATATTATGCGATTAAGTACTCATACAGCTACATTGTACAGTAGCATTTGCCCATTCCTCGCACAGTTTCCATCGTATTTATATCAAATCAGTTCGAAGTATCTCACGAAAACTGCGTAAAATGCGGTGAAGATAACTACAATTTCAGTACAGATACCAATTCAGTGTATATTCCTACGATCAAGTGGGAACTGAAGTTTTATTGTGCCTTTGTCGATTTTCACCACCAGCTTCAAGCTTTATTGACATATGATGTTCTTATCCATAAAAGATTTACGTCACTTAACTATAAAATTTGTCAATCCCGTGCGATTTTCCAAAAGTATTTGACAATACGACTACCTCTTTGTACTTTGTCTGTTTACAGGAATCAAGTTTCTTCATTGAAAGTGTCATCAGATCAAAATGGAAAAGCAGAACACAGAATACAAAAGGTGTTTTTGTCTTTTAAGTTTCAAATAAATTGTTGTTAATTCAGGGAAATTGAAAGAAGCAATGGTGCAATGATGTGTGTGGATGGGGGAATATCTGGAACACCAATTGAAGATTTAGATGTAACGTGTGATCCCATGACTTGCTGACGTTGAAGATTACGTTTGCTCGAAATATCAATATCACAACTCGTAAATGCACGGCGAACCTAACATTTATTTGGAAAATTGAAGCTCACCATTGGAGTTGGCAATTCAACTAAATGCACTAATTAGCTTTTGCGTCGTTGAACTAGCTGTCTATCTACAAATGTAATCACACGAAAACGTAGTAGAAAAAAGTTCAAATTGCCAACTCCAGCTCCATTCAGAGTAAACCACAGACTTCCAAATTACATTTAACCATTCGTTGATTACCGGTTGATAAATTAATTATGATAATGTATTTCTGATGCTTATAACGAATTTACAAGGCGTTTCCCCCACGCAGTTGCATTACATTCGTTCATTTTTCTAGCTTTACTTCAATTGAGTCAAAGATGCATTTTCCTGTAGAATTTCGCATGAGCTCAAGCAAGTAATGATGAAATATATTGACACGAATTTCAACCGTGTTCTCATGAATTAAAATGAAATAATAATTTTTCTTGGTGAAGCATCCGGTCCCATAAGATTTAGGGGGGAAATGAAAAATATATAAATAATAGCAATCTTGCCGCTTTAGCCATCTTTGACTACTTGAAATGAATTGATACACTAATTGCGGATAAAAGCTTCTAGTCTATTTCAAAAAACAACAATAACAATTTAGTCAGATGTACAGTCCAGTCCATATGTACACTCCATGTCCAATAACAATATTAAAACTTGTGGTAATTTTAATAAAATTGTCTCGAGGTGATATTTGCTGCAAAAAAAATGATTTTCTCCTGCGCTTTGTTGAATGCCGAATAGAATTTGGAGGCATACGCTGCTCTGTCGTCTACTTGAGCTTCGAATTCAGTGACGCGGGCCAAGCATTAAAGCCGGCGTTTTTCGGATCAACCTAACCGCTAGTTTAGCGACCCGCACCATTGTACCATGTAATCTTAAAGAACAAAATATCCCATAATCACGATTTCCAAGTCCGATCTTAAGGTTTTTCGAAATCATTTGTGGCAGTGTCTTTACCAGAAACGCAATGTGCTTTTTATAGCCTATTCTATACAGTTCATACCGAATGTAATGTGTGCAAATGTATTGGTTTATGTCTGCTAGTAGATACAGTAAAAACGCCAGTGAACTTGAATTAAGTTTACCACGTTGGTTGATAGATGATGAAAACTAGTTCATTTCAAATAATACTTACTTATACGTATAGTAAACCATACTTTAAGCACTCCATAACACTAAATACATTTTCATCAGTTTATGGTTTGTAAGCACTTTCAATATTAACAAGGCTTTGTACTCTGTAAGTAATGACAACGTAAGCGGCTACTTAATTAATGTAACTTCAGCATTCTAGTAAACTTGATGAAATTGCACGAATGAGCCAACCCTAAACTGTAATTGTGAATAACCCAACCAACTAGATTGGATGCTTCAATGGCAGATTTAGATTGATTGATATGTGAAATTCCAGAAAATATTAAATTTGTAGAAATTTCAGTAATTCTTGGGCTCTTTTTGTTTTCTATAATATCAGTCTCACTCCTTTATTTTATCAAAAATATTATTCATTAGAAGTAAGTATTATTATCGAGAAGGAAAGTCAATAAGGCTATAGACATAGTTCTATAGTTCATATAGGTATAGTATTATTTTTCATTATTTGAATTGAGCTAAATAATAGTCAGAACTCATCTGACACCGCCAATAAATTTTATCGCTTTCCTGGTGCCGTTTAGAAGTGATTCACAAACATGTCATCTACAACTGTCGAAATCAGGTTTCGAAATACATGATATCTGATTATTATTATTCACCACACTGGGTGTTTGGGCTATTTGGGGCGTGATTCAAGCAAATTTTAAAAATGCAGCCAACTCCTATAGGTAAGGGTAGGTAACTAACAATTTCCCTACACCCAACGTGGTATTGTGAAATTTAAACGTACTCAATGAGCGATCTCTAGGTAAAATAAACAGACATTATCCGCTTCATTTTTCTTTTTGTGACTCATCACTTATCAACGAAAATTTCGTTCCAGGTAATTGAATGGACGTCTTCAACATCAGCCGATAATCTGTGCCAACATAAAACGAGAGATGTAGACACATGCAATAATTTTGTTCGCATTTTCGCGCCAAAAGATGAATCGGCGACACAATTTATCGTGTGTGGAACTCATTCATCCCAACCGAAGTGCAGGATTTATAAAGTAAGTCTGCAACACTAAAAAAACTATTACGTAGTCACTTTATTTCCGATGATTTGAGATAAGAATTTTGGATGGATTGAAAGGGTTGATGGGAAAATCCCTATTTCTTTGCAACAATTAGTTCAATGAGCATTCAAATCTATCAGTAAAACGTTATTCTCGTGTAACTTCTACTATTTTGTGTGTCGATCATTTGCTGTTAGTATGCGAAAGTTGACATACGTTAGGCAAATATGATTATTAAGCCTCTGAGATGCTTATCAATAACTAATTTAATGAAAATTCCGTATTCCTGATGAAATAGGGAGTGGGTGTATTGTTGCTAAGGTATTCGCAGATAGAAATCTCGTTAAAATACCGACATCATAAATCATTGTGTACAACACTAACAACTGGAAATTGCGCAAACTTGTACTAAGCTATGCATATGTACATCTCTCATACATTGTAAGACGGAAAATATATCAAGTTGTGAAATATGGCGTGACATTGATTTACAAAAAAACGTCCCCATTAAAGTTAAAATGTCCAACTAAACTTTTGCGCATTTCAAGTATTTAGTTTTTCATTTTTTCCAATCGGATTATTCTATTGATGCCTATTTTTCGTTCTCGTTACAGAAACAAAAAGACTCATTTGTATCAATTGAGGAATTTTCAGGAAGTTCAATCTGCCCGTTTGATCCAAAACAAACCGGAGCTTCTATTTATACAGGTTACAACATAAAGACATTTGTTGAATTGATCATGTCGCGAAATGTATTATAGTCTGTCCCTAATATGGCATAGTATTATTTACAAAATTTCGAACCTACGCAAAATTTAAGTAAGATCTTCAAGACTGATTTAGCGCGTTCTTATTCGAACATATCCACAAATAATTCCTTTTCTATATACTTGTGTAGGAGGCAACATATATTCTGCGACTGTAAAAGATTTTCTCGGAAGAAAACCTGTTATATATCGCCATGGTGTCAACAGTGATAGCCAAGATTTAGAGAGGACTAAGAGAGATGAAACGTGGCTACTGGGTATGTATGTTTATTAGGATCGAATGTTGTGCACAGCTGAACTTCTGCCTAGATTTTGAAGCCATCTTGGAACTTTTATAAAATAATTAATTATTGGGTAGCAATTGAGAACCAAACTGTCATTGTCAAGCTATATGCAACGTTATAACAAAAATGGAATGATGCTCTTGCTGAATGTTTTAAAACATGTTAATTTTGTTTCATTCCAAGTATAACTCGCCAGGGGCTTTTACAAAGATTCTGTTTACTGGACTGAAGCAAGCAGTGTTCTTCATGAAGTCATTAAACCACCTTAGTCAGTTTCTCCTATGCCTCCGTGGATTGATTTGAAGTACGCAGTGTGTATTCAACTGTAAAATATGTGTCCTGTATTTTATGATGTATAAATTGCAACAAAGATAATCAAAATTGTTACCTTTTTCCAGACCCATCCTTTGTCAAATTTGTTGAGACCAGTGCCAAAGTGTACATATTTTTCAAGGAGGAAGCCGTAGAAGGAAACAATGGGGTAAAGATTTGTCAATAACTATAGGCATAAAATAGTAACTTCGAAACTATATGAGATATGCTTGTATACACAACAAGTTTATATAGAAGTCTAAAAACAAATCAATACCAATAGAAAGAACGATTCATCAGCAATGTTTACTCTGTTTTGCCCCCAAACTTGCTCCGGTGGAGTCTGCCCACTGAACGTAGTTCTAATGCATCATTAAATTACCATTACTGCATGAACGTTTGCTTATCTCAATCATAAACAATAATATAAATCTTTATCTTGCAGCTCCAATATTCTCGAGTAGCCCAGATTTGCAAGGCCGATGAAGGCGGAGATCATATATTAAGAAAGCAATTTACATCCTATCAAAAAGCGAGATTGAATTGCTCTTTTCCTGGCAACCCTCCTTTTTATTTCAACGAGCTGAAAGCTGTAACTGAGTTTGTCAATGTCCCTAACTCTCCGGGAAAGAAAATTCTTTTTGCTGCTATGAATACCCCAAGGTATTTTTTTTTTTGAAAAATCATGTTCTCTGTAGGCAAGCTAACGAGTACATTTCCGAAAGCTTGTTTAATTTTCTTTGATTGAAGATTAATTGAAGTCACGTTTTGACTGCACCCAGCGTTGGAAAAACATACAACAAGCAAGAAAACTTCGAATGCCTAAATTAAACTATTCACTTAACCATACGTTTATGTTTTTACTATTTAAACAATTGAATATTTACTTTTCAATCATCAACCATCTATTTTGGATTCACAGCAACAGTATCTGGGGTTCAGCAGTATGCGCTTTTCTGGAGGAGGACATCGAATCTACTTTTTCAAAATCATATCTTGAACAACACACAAGTACAGAAGGTGTTTCTTATTGGTCAGAAAAGGAAAGCGACCCAACTGTCAAAGAAGCATTGAGAAAGTGAGTGTCTTAATTTTATGTGAATATTTTGGCGCAACATAACGCTCCTTTCGTAAAAGAATTTCTGTCCAACATGCAGCGCCAACGCGTCGTATCAGTATAGCGAACGGTGGTGTCTTATCGTAAAAGAGAATGGGATATCAATGGATGGACATATCCCGATCTTTCCTTATTAAATAATATTCACAGTCAGTGATCAATTTCAGGAGTGTGACGGCGGCAAAATAGCACAATGATAAACTTATATTTTGGGTAATCTCGTAGTATGTGTACCAGGTTAGGATTCGGCCATAATTTTATTCCGATTTTCCTCATTTTAGTTCTACTACGAGTTCGGGGACTGTCTGTGTTAGCCAAGTTAATACCCCCTGCCCATAGGTTTCAGTCCCGTTACACAACTTGATGTAAAGTAGGCGAAAAAAATTAGTTACCTTCATATTGGTACACATACACTTCTGGAGCGCCTTTTTTGAATTCTACTATTTTAACAAGTTTGTTATAGATTAATTAGCAAAACTCAGATAAACATAACTAAATGAAAAGTATAGTATATTCGACTGCAATTGGCTCATTTAGAGCATTGGTTAAAACTATGATCGCAAGAGCTCGGTGAATGGCTAATATATTTTGCAAGTGAATTTGGAAAGAGTTGCAAACGTCTGACCTTATTACTTGCATTTTAGATGTCAGTTCGATGGTCGAGGAAAACCAATATTGACAGATGAAAATCTTTTATTTGTGAAAGATCATCCTCTCAAATCGCATTCAGTACCGACTTGGGCTCAAGATGGAAAATCGAATATTCCAATTTTTATGAAGTTGAACGCAATGTAAGTATAAAGGTTTAGTATTACTTCATATCAAGAATAAAAGTATTGAAAATGTCTATGAACGTAATAAATATTATTCTTTCTGGGCACCATTAGCTTATGCGAAGTGACTCCTAATATATATATTTTTGTTGATAATAACATTGTTCTCTTCCTTTTTCAGGTACCAGTTTACGGCCATTGCGATCGACACCAATGCTGGTTCGAATGGATTATACTTAGTGATAATACTAGGAACGACTGATGGAAAAATATTGAAGATTGTACCCCCGCTCTCACAATCCATCACAGAATCACACTTTGTAGGGGAAACAGCTGTTTACGATGAAACGAAGTGCGGCGAATCGGACAAGTAAGACTTGCTATTACTTGCAGTATATTGCAAATACTTAATTTGAATTCGTGTCACACCTATATAGTTGGTAAGAATTGCTCAATAATGGTTGATTGTTAGACTCAATTGTACTGAGAGGCTGGTTGTAGACTTTTAACGTTTTGTCTCGTTCGCTTGCAGGCCGCGTTTTGGAAATCAAAATAGATGAGGTTAAAACCATGGCCGACCTACCTATTAGAAATAAATTTTCCAATGTTTATTTTCTCTAGTGCTAATGGTATTTTTACAGGGAAGTAAAAGACATCAAGATTGATAAAGTCAATGGATTCATACTGGTTGCATTTTCAAATTGTGTCATTTCCGTTCCGTTGTGTCCGATTTCGTCACCATGTTCAAGGTATGTTAATTTATTACTTTACTAATTAACTCTAGTGGCGTTTACAGTTCTCTACCAAAAAAAGACCACATTATACGCTATAAACAATTCGGCACCAAACCACGCTAATGTAGACCAAAATGATTTTTGCGACAATTAGCACTCTACTTACAATCACGAACTTTACAGATCGTGTTTTAGTATGAAAACAAACCGACCTCTCAGTAAACCTGTGCTATGTATAATATAAAACAATATTTGTTGGAAACATTTTACAGGGATTGCATATCTGCACGAGATCCATATTGTGCTTGGGATGGAGACAACTGTGTAAATGTATTGAAACCTGAAGGTCTGGAGCAAGATATAGCAAACGGTGATGTTACAGGGCTACCTCAGTGCGCAACAAACGTTATACCTCCAGGTTTGTGATGTTCTGTTTTTTTTGTGGATTTCGGGAACTCATATGTATGCATATATGTATATACTGTTATGGACCAATAGTAACTAAGATCTTGTTTATGCCCGGAGAACTACATATATAAAACTTTCTCTAGCCAAGTTGCTAAGCCGACGATTTGAATTGACTGTTGCTAGAATTGCTGGACATTGGGGATAAACAAATAACGTTCATTGACTCTTGTCTTCATCCCATTGTAATTTGAACTGATACAGTATTCAGATTACATAAAGATAAATTCCTATTTGTCTTATGTAAATGATGCTGATTTTCATTTGAACTGGATGTTTTTGCTAAATTTCGCTAAAATCTTGATACATTGTTTAAAATATACTTATTTTTAATGTAAACTAGTTAAGTAACTATACCATTATTCATCTGACCTAACTAATGCCATTATCCCCTTCAAAATAGCATGATATACACGACTGTTCGACCGCGATGTTGTTTACCTACAATTTAAACTCTTTTGCAGAAGTGATCGGAGATTCTGGAAACGGCGTTGGAAAATCGGATAATAAATCAACTAACATGACGAATGAAGGTTCGATGAACGTAACCACAGCTATTGTACCGATTAAGGAGACCACTGCAACAGCAGGTAAAAATTTGTGATGCTATATTTCTATATTATATCATAGTTTTGGCTGGGACCGAACCTGGTGATATTATACTAGAGAAAGGCACAAAACGTTACACTATCCTCGCGGCTATTCGCGCCATTTAACAAAGAAAAGATGTGCCTAGACGCGGGAATTTATGATTTTCAAACAAGTCGTTTAATCGCAAGAAGCTATTAAATTTGAGAATTTCAATATTTTGATCGGCATAGCTTGCCCTACCTTATTCGTCATCACGTCGAAAAGATAATGGAACTTTGAACATCAGGTTGAATAAGTCAAGACCAAATTTCAAAGTTGTAAATCTTTATACAAACATAGTTAGAGATGACAATGTCACGCACTTTAGCTAGCCAGTCACCACTTCACACATATATACACAATATGATAGCAACAGTTCACATTTCTTTTTTGTATCAAAAGGTTTGAGAAATGAGGCATGTTGCATTAATTAGTTTATGGATACTAACTACACAAGTTTTTTCTTTTACTTACTTTCAGTCGCAGCGCCTATTGTAAGTTCAGCTGGATTTTCATCAATGTTGCTTCCAGGAGCGATTGGCTTCATTATTGGTGCTCTCGTGATTTCGATCTCAATATATGTATTATATCTTTATCGTGAGAAAAAAAGAAAGAAATTAGCTAGCAATCGACAAGATGGTGGAATCGTAACTCCAAGGGTATGTGTCCAAAACAAAGTCCCTTTATGCCTCCCAATGTCAGAGTTTGTAGATAAAGACACCCAATCAACTTTCACTTTATGAGTTGCGAAGTGTAGAGAATTTATCTATACAATAATGAATAATCACATTTTGCAGTATTTTCTCAAACGCAATTCAATGTTTAATAATTTTAGATGAAAGACAGCGGAAAAAATGCTAATAGTGCTAAAAGAAACTCGCAAGGATCGGCACAAGGCAAACAAGATAGAATAAATACAAACAGTACAAGAAGACAACACAGCAAAAGAAGTGAGAGTAGTTTAGAAGATGACCCATTCTTAGATGGAAATCAATCAGAAGGAAATGCAAACTCTCTTGAAAAGGTATGTGATGAGTCAATAATGAAATACGTAAGTAACGAGTAATTTTTAATTCAGTATAAGCAATTTATGTCTCTGTTGATAGCTATCAGATTAAATTGTATTGTTTGACAAGTAAAAATTAGATAGATAACACCTTTCCAGCTCTATTTTATAGTACTCTTAATTGCACTATCAATATGCTTTGAGTTTAAACGATTAATATGCCATGTGCATATAGAACATGCCATATTAATTCGGTTCAAAAATCAATTTTTCCCATTCATACTTTCAAAGAACAATTGAGATGTAGATGTAAAAAGTAGTAAAAATTTTGCTTCAATTCCGTTTTATCATTTTTTTCAGTCCAAGCGGAAACGAGAAAAAAGTGCGAATCGAAAATCAAATGCATCATCATATCGACGAGAAGAGAGTTTGGAAAAAGCACACAATATATCTGTCAACAGACAGGTCTCTAGAGAAAGCAATCACGATCCAGGTCCTAATAACGAAGATCCGGAGGGGGAACTATTGTTTTCATCAACAGAGTACGTACAACAACAACCACCTTCGCCCCCTCAAAACGCTGCTTTCCGCAGGACGTTTAGTACTGGCAATGGTCGACAAGATGGAGTGGTACCACGCCAAAACGGTCGACAGCAAATTAAACGCCAACTTTCGTTGCAAATGCCGATGAACACTGCTCCGGCAAAGTTTTATCCGGCATTGACTCCAGTCAGGGTCGGAACCCAGAATCCATTAGAAATATATAACCAACAACAGCAGCAATTGCAAGGGAATTTCGACCCCGCGCAGGCGCCCGGTTGGCACCCCTCTCCCATGAAAGCTCCTCATGGCTTAGCGAGACAATATCAGACAACAAGTCTTGATCGCAAGATGTTAAAAGCTGGAGGTATGGCTCATCCACAGCAACACCATGACACACAACAACAACCAAGAAATTATTCGGATACTTTGCCGGCATCTGGCATGGACGACATGAAAGGTAAATTGCATTATCCTAAGTTTCTTTTTAAAAATACTTGTAAGTACACTACACTGACTTTGTTCTTAAAATCAAGTGTTACGGTCGCGAAAACTAACATTATGATCCAACAAATTCGGGTTTTTTAGATAGCCTACTTTATCATAAAAGGGGCGATTTAGAGAGAATTTAATAAAAATTGAGTCCAGGGCAGTCACTCAACTTGATTCATCTCTTTATAGAACTTGCTTTATCATTACTTGTACACCTTGGATAAATTGCCTGCCATCACCTTTATTAGCATATAACTTCACTTGGACTCGACTCAAGTGTCAACCCTTTTAAACATATACAAGCTTTGCAATGGGTTTTACCAATCCAATTTTACTACAGCAAGTATATATGAACTATGCTGGAAAACAATGAAAACAAATTAAAAATAATTCACGATTGTAAAATCATTCAAAAACAGTATCTTCAGTGAGTGACAAATACTATACTGTATAATCCGCCTATTTATATTTCTTATTCATAAATATTATTTTTGTACACAGTTCAAGGACGCCGTCGATATCCAAGTGAATCGGTTGTGATTGGGGGAAGTGGTGGACGCCCACCTCCACTTTTCTTTGCCTCAAAGCAGCCTGTGTATCAGTCTATCGAAGAAGAAACGTCACCACAGCCAGAACAACATTCACCAACAAAATACCCCACGAACAACATGCCACAGCGTAACACCGCCAGGATGCGGCCCAATCATTTACCTATTGGTAACAATTCAGACCCATCAGGTGGGGACCCACGTTCACCTTACACGATGATACCCTATTCTAACCCAGGAACACCCATGACAGAACAAATTCCTCGTTTTGCTATGTCACCCCATCAAACTTCGGGGTACACTCTCCCTACTCAATTGAGAAGACAGTATACAGTTGATGCACCGACTACGAGGTATAATAATGCCCCACCAAATCACCATGATTTTAACAAACAATTTCCTCACCCTCAATCAGTCCCCACTATGAAATCTTATCCAAACAATGAAAGGCAAGCACGAAGTAATCCTGCAACCCCAGAATGGGACGGAAATCATAATAACTTCTTTCCTGGACCGGTGATAACATCTGATATGAGGCATAGAAATCCAAGTGGTAAATCACAGGTATGAATATACTAATGTAACTTTAGATATTAGGCTAAAATAACCGTGCACGTCATGTATTTTTTTCAGTCTGTGTTTATTATTTTGATTAATTTTTGTTTGGTACTCATATATACCGAAGACTTTATATTGTTCATTCGTTAATTCGTTAATTCAAAGATAAAAATAGCGCTCCTATTGTGTAAAATGCTTTGCTAATATGTCTTAAACATGGATTTCTAATAGTAATTAGTTATAACAATATGATGTGGGTGGGTCTATACTTTATTGAGTCGTATACTGGAGATGAAATTTTATTAGTTCTATACTTTAATAAACTTACACTTAATACAAGCGCCAATATAAAATTAATTCAACCACTTATATTCAGGGTACTCCAACCACCCCACCAGTTAAACAAATACAGAATTTTGTACATCCTGACGTCATTCCAACAAACAATAAAAGAGATGGACGAGGCCCTGCTGATGGAATTGCCGATCCAGTATACATGCTAAACAGCGAAAACAAGCCAATGCAAAGTCATGCATAAAAGTTGCCTTGCCAATATCGGAAGAGATTTCTATGCGAGAAACGGTCAAACGTTCGCCAATATGCTGCTTGAAGAAAACTTGCCTTTTGAAGCTGCAGGTGACCTTATTCGCAACTAGGCAGCATACAATCTAATAGACATTTTTGTTCTAAAAAGCATTTTCAATTTTTCAATTACGGATTCAGTTAATATGAAAACTTAAGTAAGTGCACAATGTTTAACATTTGAATGAAATATCGGGCAATAATGATGAAAAGCCCTCGGGTTCCAGTAGTATTCAAAGCGATATAGTTTTATTCTTTTTCTAACCGATAATAAATTAAAATTTTAGCTTCGGACAGGCACAAATAATTTTGAGTTAAATTTTACTTCTGATATTATACACAAGTGTCTAACCTCAGTTTCATTTTATAATGCGAGCGCACAAATTTTCATTTTCCATATTATAGTATATTAATTAGTACTGCCTGCTAACTAACATCTGAGTTTTTTGTGTTTTATATTCTTTTTGATGCGAATTTATATTTTGTTTTGCTTAATTTTTATGAAAATACGGTTTAAATCTCTGAATGGATTGATATTATTAATATGATAATTTGAATTGCTTTAATTGGCCATAGAGGTAAGTGACCTAATAACCTTGTTTTAACTCTCAAAATTATCGATATAAATATCTCATATATAGCCGTATTATCGATATTATTGCCTTATTAGGAAAACTGAATATATCATTTGTTTTAGAGATTTATTTGTCTAATGATGTCAGTTATATTATACATGAAACTCCTACCAATATGTTGATAAGAAAAATATACTCCAAATAACTAGCTATGCGAGGTTCCTTGAAAATTATGCTTTTTTCAGTATCTACTCAAATTTGTGCAATTTCAATCCGTCAAAAAACGATTTAAAAGTGAAATTAGGCATTGAAATTTATATCATTTTTTCTTAAATTTCTACTATCATGTTGGTGCTCCGCATCAGCCAAACGTTGAATTTTAACGAATGATAAACATCATTGAATTCCAATGTTCCAGTTAAAGAATTACCTTCAGTCGGTTGTCTCAAAAATGTCTTGTATTACTTGTCCCAATTATATGAATCTCACTTCATTTGAATAGTTGATCTTTCGGTGCTCCCGTACCAAGATGGCGCACAACCTGAGCATAGTAAGTGTACCAGATTAGGGTTGTTCAGGTTGTGCGTCATCTTTGTACGGATACTTACGGAGCGCCGAACTTTCTGCCAAAGTATAATATCTATCACGGAACACAGCATGAATTCCATTTCATATGCTTACTCTAACCATTCGCCCCAAAATATATATCTATCATAATTCAGAAGTGTGGGACAAGTGTGAGATGACATTTTTAAGTTATCACCTTCAGTCGACACGCCTAAAAGAAAATATTATTTCCCACATACCTCTCACTTACTTTTAGATTTATTTTAAATACGTTATTTTCCTTGTTGACATTTTAGCATCTACATCTGGTGTCTACAAATATCCGAAGTTTTATCCCTTAAATAAATCGGAATTGTTGATATTCGAAACAGATATTCGTAGAAATTAAGATTCGATTAAATCTTTTTTCCCGTGGCAATTTTGAGGTAATCTATATCATTTTGTTGCAAAAATACAAATTTCAATTTGATATAAAATCATAGTTGTGATAATATACATCACCGATAGAAACTCGGATGATTATTTATTTTATTCGGACTCGTAATTTCTTTTATGTATTAAGAGCCATATTTTCATAACAATATTAATATCTGTAATTCCATGTATATTTTATTAAACGCATAAAATCCGAATTACATTTCAAATTTTATTGAACCCGATAAAGAGTTAAATGTTTATAATTACACATCGAAGTGCCTTATATTTTTTTTGATCGATCCAATTGGGGTTTAATGCTTTTAACGCTTCCACTACTTGTTACATTTTGAACACAACTTTAGGCATTTTCAACAACAATTATGCATCGATCCAATATTTTTGAATTATTTTTCCAGTCCCGTTTTTCGCTGTTTTTTTTTATACTATACAATATTTTGTTCGCTTTATCGTTTAATTTCTTGTTACTTTTTACTTTTACAAAAGGAGCCGACCATGGTTGCCAATAAATGAACAAAACGTCCGCCCAACATCAAATTTTTTTACCAAAAAGTGAAAGAAATTTCAAATTTATAGAAGGTCATACTTGGGCTTGGCACCAAGTTTGATCTAAATGTTATTGAAATATTTTGTATGTGATGTCGTTTATGTTAATGCCGTTCCAATTTTACACTGCCAAAATATTTTTCTATATTTTTCATGATACCTTTTTGAAAATTTCTAACATTTAATAATTAAAACTGCGATACAACCTTATTCTATTATGCTCTAAAGTTCCCTCTTACAAATGAAATAAACTATATACTTGTCTCCGAGTACTTTTTCAAGTTTCAATTAGATTTATTACATCAATCTAAGAAGGGGAATAATTTCCAACTTGGTAATGTACAAGGCCATTTGCGATTAGCGTAAGTTATTTCAACATAAGACAAAGAAGAAAGTAAGAGCCGACATCTTATCAACTCAGATGTAGATATAGATGTTTTTTGACTTCTCCAATTCAATATGTTTATTGAGAGATTCATATTAAATAAACCATTTTTCTGTGATTAACAAAATAGATGGACATTTCAGTCCTAGATCAGATGCCGGTGACTTTTTCATACTGTGCTAGTGTGCTTTTATATTCCGAGTTCTGCTTAAGGTTGTGGGAAAAGGACATCGAGCGCCTGTATACCATTCAGTATTTTGAATGTATAGACACGGCATTCGAGTATTCGGTTCATTTTTGATTCATGCTTTGGGTTTTAGGAATATCGTTTGAAAAATGAACAACATTCGTTTTCTATTTGAATTTGTTTTTATTTTCTGTTGAAGTGAATAAACCTATGTTATTTAAAATATTCATTTGCAAGCGCCACAATATTTCGTAAATTAAATTTAGCGGATGGAAATGTTATCAATGACTTGAACAAAAGCACAAAAAATCATATTCAATTGGTAGGTTATGGGAAGAACTGCTTGAGTGCTTGTACATTCGAAAATCTGAAATTGAGATTTTCATTTTGTGTGCACTCGTAATAAGTCTACTAACACGCTGATATCGAGTACACATTGCTACCATTACAGTATGATTTACGATTGCGCAATGAAATCATCTACGCAATATCCGCGCAATTAATTAGATTCCAAATCAATTACCAATGTTTTCTCTATAGTATTTACGAGGTGCTCACTTGTAATAAGTCTTTAAACAAGCAGATATCCGAGCATATATTGCAACTATGATGTAGAAACATTACGGTATGATTTACGATTGCACACTAAAATTATCCACGAAATATCCGCTCAATTAATTAGATTTAAAAGCAATTAGAATTGTTTTCTCTACAGTATTTACGACTTGATTAATAAATTTGAGTTGTATAAAAAGAAGGCGTTCTGTTAAAACATTCTGCACTGATATTCCGAATTTGGAAGTCAGCCAACCACAAATTTTCTCGCCAAAAAGTATAATATATATTTAATTATAGTTCATGGAACCAAAATTTACTACGTGTTAAACTAATAACAACCTTAACTACAAAACATGGTTCCGATGCCCGGATATAGGTAAAATTATGTTATATTTATAGTTATAAAAAACATTAAAAATAACTTGAATATTGACTGTTGTCTTTGTAATAACATGTCTATTGCTTTTATTCTATGAGTTGCATTTTTATCTACCATAATATATTCTCTTCACCACTTATGATCGAGCAAGTAAGTGTAAGTTAACTAACTGGCTGTGCCTTTACCAATAACAAAAGACAATGATGCATCCCAGGCTCTTACCGATGTAAGCTTTATATTTTACACTCCTCGTAACGGGGTTGTTCAGTCACTCGTCAGTGAAAGTATAGTCAACATAACCTTCCCAAAGCATTCAACACCATTAGCAAACGGTAGCCAGTAAGCAACACGGTTACGCTATCTTGTCGACATTCCCTTCCCCGTGGGTATGTATATATATATATATATGAAAAACCTACATTATATGAACGCAGTACTTCTTGCATTCATTTTAATGTGCTTACAGTGAGCACAAACTTCTCAGAATTTTTTCGTAAACCAAATTAAGTTTGACTAGCAATGGTTCAGAATCGAAATTTTTGTTTACCCTAATGGTTTAATTATAGTTGAATAGGAAGAAGGCGTCAGTAGGCCGCAAGTTTATAAATAGCCTATAATTTACCGCTTCTTGTAATTGTCCCTAATCCGAAGAAGTAGTGAAAATATTCGTATTCATATCCGCCCTATAAAATGATTGTCTTTTCTTAGCATATGGTCATTTCATTCAAATTGCTACAGAGTGCTGATCAAATTTAGTAAACAGCTCGCGAAGACACCAAAATGGAATCCAGCGGCGAGGGTTTCACTCATTACTTTACGGAGTTCGAGACAACGTTGAGTACTACTACAACCAAGATAGTCGTTATTGAGTGAGTACTTTTTACTTTCTATATATGATCTTGCATTGGAATTTGATAATTGGGGTACGCCATAGTAAAAACATGTGGAGTCATATTGAGACTATAGTTGACCATGTGGCCTACGTCTTAAAATCAAGAAGTCCTGAAATATAATTTATATATTTACATCACTGATGGTACAACCGATATGAATAGTTCAAAATAGTAGTTGGTTAAGATTTACAGAATCTTATTAGATTGAAAAAAGGGACCGCCAGAAGTATGTGCACCAAGATGGCGCACAACCTGAACATAGTATGTGTACCAGGTTAGGGTTCAGGTTGTGCGCCATCTTGGTGCACATACTTCGGGAGCGCCAAAAATGTGGGCTCGCGCCCTTTTTCATTGATTTCTATCACGTATTTCATAAATACTATAACTGTTAATAGGAATTGTTTAAATCGTAGTTTACTAATGACTCTGAGAAATACTACCGAAAAACTATTATTGTGACAAAATCAAAAATGACTTTTCCGTGTATTTTATAATCGGAAAACAAAGCGTAAAGGCGATGTGTTTAAAAAATATCTGACTACAAATTCAAATTTTCTTCTTACAAGTATTAAAGTTACTTGACTATACTGCACCCCCGAGTATGAGTCGTTAACATTTGAAATATGATATGAAAATCGACCGAAGAAGCGTAATTTTCTATAGTAAATTTTGAGTCAGAAAAAAAAAGCCCATAAACATATGTCAATTCTAGAAGTAAGAATGGTTGATATTTCAGATTTCTGGTATTATTATTTAACTCAAACCTACCAAATCTAGTATTTCAATAAATGAAACTCTTAAAAGAATAAGACTTTTCATTTAATAAAAAAGACCCACGCAAAGTATATGGAGAAAATATACAGGTATAAAATAATCACGGACACACTAGATATATATTTACACATAATTATGACACTATTTTTAACAAAAATCATGTAACTTCGTGTTATCAATGTGGAATTCAAACTAAATTAATTTATCCAAATTGCATGTTATCTATATTTGATGAAACTTATAATTAATAATTATCGTAATTATGTCGAAATTGACAATTATATTATTGTCAAAAAACGCAATAACAAGTCTGGCCTAATAAAAGTTATTATGATGAACAACTATCAGATGAATTACGACATAGTTTTTGACCTATTTTAGCTTCGTACACACCTGGTTTGTCCCTCAATAAAGTGAATTATTTTCGGTAATTAAAATATATTTTCATTTTGCGTTGTCATTTAAGTGTTCTTTTTCTAAGCAGAGGATCTAAGAATTTTCGATGGTAATTAAAAAAACCTTACTATTTACAATTTTAAATTCATAATCAACACATATGCTGTCACTTAATTTTATTGTTTTTCGTTTTAATATATATATATATTCATAGCGTGGCGCATAAACTTGTTCGAAAGAAATTCCGGTATATGAAAGGAATCGGAATTCACAACGCTGCAATTTTTCTTATCACCATACTTTCATCAAATGAAACAAGCAAGCAAAGTGATGAATAAACTTGAAATCTCAGAATATTCATGACAAATTGACATTTTACTTGAGTTTCGGACACTGCTATAAAAACGAACACAAATTGTAACGTTTTCTATACTTTATAAGCAGTTATGTGTCTTGCTGCACTCTACACAATTGTATTTTTTAGCGTTCTGCGTCCGACCTCGGTCAGAAATACATTTGTGCAGCAATACCATTTAATCAAATAGAAGAGTCATCTCTATTCTTGTTACAGTACCCTTGCTTTATACGCATACCGACCGATACACCACCGCAAAGGCTTAGAGGGGAATGATAGGTAGTTAGTTTCGCGTAAGGTTTGAAGTAACTTGTCTACTTTTTGGTATTAAATTAATATTTTTCGGTTCAGGAAGAATCTAACCAGACTCAGGTATGATTATTTCAATAAATACGACTTATTTATGCAGCTTTAATGTACATTTCTTTATAGTAATTCTGATAAAGAAAAAAAACATTTTGCAGGCCTCACGAGAAGCTTTTTCATACATGGGAAGGATTACTTGTCACGATTTTACTTGGAATTCTATGTGTTTTCGGACTGGTCGCAAATGCACTGACATTTTTTGTCATATGTTCATCGAGAAAATTGAGAACGTAAGTCATCACCTTTACACAAAATCTCTAATCCACAAAAAATAAATACGAAGTATTAATAATCGACCAACACAAAATTCACGAAGGCGACACACTTGTCGTCTTCTTCTATCTGTTCATGCCCAATCATGTTTGAAGCGGCTAACCTACATAATTTTACACTACACTATATTTATCAAGAACCTAATCTAAATTTCAGGTCTCCATTCAACATTCTGATACTTAGTTTGTGTATGTCGGACTTCCTTTCAGCACTAAACAGTCCTTTTCAAATATACAGACGGATATGGGGCTACTTGGAGTTTGATTTGCCACTTGGATTTTGCAAGGTACTTTTGAAGTATTTTCAAAATATCATCTTAGCACTATATATTGCAGCCGTTCATATTTCCAAAAGCGCGATGGATTTGCTTAAAGTCAACGGTTTACTCAAATTATGTCTTCCTCGCCAAATGACAACGATTGCCATCAACTATTTTATCATTGATGCCACATTTTTTTCAGTTTACCGTCGGACTTAGTCAATGGACAATGTTTGTTACAGTTCAACATATTCTCGTGTTTGGCGTTTTCCGACTACTCGCTATACAATTCCCAAACAAAATTAAGAAATTCTCAGCGAGGTGGGCAAAGGTATGTGATATGCTAAATATTTTTCCGTCTTTATTGATGTGTGAATAATCTGGCATGTACGATATTTGTTCATTACAGATAACAGCAATCTTCATATGGGTCGAAGTATTTTTTGTTAGCGCGCTATTTTATTTGATGGCATCAACCGTCATTCCATACAAACCTGGAAGATACAAGACGGCCTGTACGTCGGTTAGCAAAGACTGGTAAGTATTTTAAGTGTTTTATAGGTACAGGCTTGTCATACCTATGAAACGAATAACCGGGACTATGCAGATGGGGCAAACTTCGATCCGATTCCGGGGACTAGTAATATATATTTAACTAATATGAGTATGAGTAATAATCAAATCATGAAAATTGCACTCCTTTCGGCATTTGGGATAATTTAACGGAAGTACAACATACGGTAGATGTTAAATTGACGTAATGACGTATTCAACATATAGCCTACTAATTATGAAATAACAATATAGTACGGTAGTTATCTCTCTCCCTCTCATCACCAACTTAATGACCTTTGATCGATGCTGCCAGTAACGTTTTTCCTCGTTTTAGAGGGAACCCTCGCCTCCGCTTCAGAACAGAATTAGTCGTTCCCTTTCTCATCTGTCGTGCTGTACTTGCTTTGTAGAGTGCGCTGTGTATAAGTGCTATTTTAACAGTATATTTGATATTATAGGTTAAATACAGACTTTATTACCGCTAAGTATGCCGGAACATTGGAACTGCTTTGTGCTGCACTGGTACCGCTATGTGACCGGACATCGTGTCAAATTTAGTCAGCATCTAGTATTCTAGTCTATGGTGTACCGTAAAACTCAAACACTGACATATTTCGGCAAAACCATTCTAGTACAGTATTGGGACTAAGCGAAACTACTATCCCTCAGATCATCCACCGCCCAACCACTTGCAAAATGCGAATGCACAGCAAAATCGCCGCGTTTTCCCAAATCAGGGTAAAACGCATTGAGCTATATACACCCCAATGGTAAAAAGTGGTTTCCGACACTCTCCGTTGATTCGTATGAGAGTTGGTGATTATAATAGTGAAGTGAGTCCTAAATCAGTGATAAATGGACTGCCTAACAAAAAACTTGTTTTGATATTAAAAAAAAATATATATTTATGACTGCCATATCGCATGTCCGGGATATTTAATTAGGTCTACCTCGGGACTGTCCCGTCCAAAGCGGGATGTGCGGTAATCTATGTGAAGTCCCTGTTGAAACCGCACTTTTGCACAATTTGCATTGTATACAAACTGTTATTAAAGCAGTTTCCATGGTGACATGGATGCGTGCATATGACAACTTGGAATAAAATTTTCAACATTTCTAACTTCAGGCGCACACGATGTATGTGATTGATAGTTACCGATGAAGTATTAATGTTTGTTTACAGGAGAGACATAGCAGGAAAATACACGACCTATGCATTGCCGATATTGCTATTTGCACCGTTCATTGCGATCATGATCTGTGCCTTGATCATCGTTATATCTATGATACAAGTACGAAGAAAACGAGGTATTTTAATGTATTTGTAAAACTATTTTTGAATAGAATTTTTGACAATAATGTTTTATCTATTATTTGAGTTTAGTTGCTGGCTTGATGTTCAAATAATGATTGAGAAAATTGGCCTGTCTTCTTTTCTACCTTCAATTCCACGATAACATGTCGTACATTTTGAGGGATAATACGATTGAGACAAGCAATAAATGCTGCTTTTTATCTATCACAGCTAATGCGATCGCATCTCAGAAGAAAAGCTCTTATGGAACAACTGGTCAAGAGCAAAACTGTTTACCTTCATATAAAGAGATGCAAGGTATATTTATATATAAGCCTATATCCTTCAAAAACTTCATAATTTAAGATTTTTGCGTATAGCGAGCGAAGTTATGCAATCAATCAAATCGTTTTTTATTATAGCATCTCGGCAAAGCATAACAAAATAGAAACAAGAAAGATCACAAAAATATTTGTACCAGATGGCAGGATAACCGCGAAATGACCATTCGGTGCAACCTACTTAATAAAATATTTGTTTTGTAAATCCACACAAATTATCGAAAAATCAAATCTAGTAGATACGAATATAATTTATCGAATCAATCTGGACCTACGAGTAAGATCGCCAACTTAAGTGAATACTATTTCATATTATGTGGAAAGGAGATAAATTACTCCACATTTTTCTTTACGCAGCATCTCAGCAAACGATCACCGAAAAAATACAAGAACGCGAAAACGTAGCAATGCTACAAGTCACGCTCATAGTGTTCTCATTTCTACTTGGATATTCCGCCGAAGCGGGTAAGCTGACTTTTATTTTGCTTTTACATCAACTCAAACACCAATGTTATGTCATTTTGTGATGTTCACTTTAAATAGGATTCCAACCTATTTAGGCAGTTGGATTTAAAAATACTTTCCATATCAATCAGAATGACCAACCCGAACTGATAATCTCGATTCGACATACCACTTCGAGTGTCACCGCTATTTGTGTAACAACTTTACGTATGCGTTACAACGAAAGCTTTTATACACACAATATCGCATCTAAATTTTATATGAGTGATCAAATTTATGATACGTTTTAGATTGTTCAGTGGTCAAGATTTTTATTATTTTTTTCAAATAAAAAAATTGTAAGCAATCGCTATCATTATCTCTGTTATCATTGAAATTGAATATTTCTTACATCAAAGGTCGCCTAACTAGTATTTCTTATTCATTTTTATTTATTTGTTAACTTGTCTCAGGTTCCAAGGTGAAATTGTTCATTAAATACCATAAGTTTGATTCTGCATTATTTTAGCCTACCGCATGACAAAAATATTGAATCTGAGGGACCTCTTCACTGTGCGAACGAAATGGTTGACTCTCACAGTCGCATATATTCTATTGCGAATATCAGAATGCCTTAATCCACTTTTTTACAACCTGTCATCCCGGTAAGTTTTTTCTATGCTTAAAAAATAAAGCCATTCTGTAGAGTTCGGACAGACCAGATCAAGCCTAACCTGAAATTCAAAATTTTATCGGGGTAGAACATTATGATAGACTATCTAATTCTAAAAAGTGGTTATTTCCTGCATTCCTGGTATCACCTGACAAAAAGTTGCAGATCGCAAACAGTGTTTATATTTCTTACCATCCAATTTCGGCGGTTATGAATTAGCAGAATGAAATTGAAAACTAAATTTCTTATTCATACAGCCCACTGAGAAAAAGAACTAAACGTTTTCTGAAAATACAGAAAAACTACGAATCGTCAGACAGCATCAACGTATCAGAAACAAAAGAAGAAAATGTCAGAAAAACAAGCGTTACCGTTGTGTGAATCAAACACCACCGGATATAAGCTGGGTGTCAAATATGAAATGTACACGGGAGTTACAACCAACTCATATAACCCAGATATGGCGATAAGAATGTAGCCCTTTGATGAGATAGAAATTGAATGTGAATGTATTATTCATTTTATAGCAATGTGTTGTTTATATGTCTTGTTCGTGTGTATATAATATATCTGCTTCGTCGAATTGACCCGAGTGTATATTCTTATGACTTATGAAAACACATCAGAAACTCTTAATTTCGGTGCAGGAATGAACGTACTAAAATATGATCAATACCGTAGCCAGCCAAATTCTTATTGTGGAAAAGGGGGCAAACTTTTGTCTTGTACAATGAGGTAATACGAACAATGCTTACTCGTGTCTTTTGCTCAGAACAAGGCTAGATAAAGCAGCCACTGATATCTAACGATGTTTTGACTCTGCACAACCTTACTTCGCTGTCGAAGGTATCCAAGCTAGGTAAGCGTGAGTTTCATCTATCGCGGTTGGTTCATTTGGAGAATGAAATATTGATGGTGAGGAAACGTCGGGTTTTGGCCAATCGTTCGAGATTAGAACAAACTGGTGTTGAAAAATACGTGGAATTGATGTCTCGGTGTAAATGCCACAAAATTGCGGTTCCCAAAGTAGAAGTCGCGAGCAGTAAAAATGGGTCGCATTACGGGGATTCAATCTGTCAAAACAAACTTTCTCTTTTCATTTTACAATGTATATATGTATGTATATTTGTTTGCCTCAAAAATGTAGCAATATTTGCATAATAATTAAACGTATAACAGAGACGGGGGAGAGGAAAGTCGATAAGACGACTTAATCATAGTCCGAACCACGGTCTCTCGTCCGGTTAGCATTTCAGGTCGGGTATGGGATTGGTTAGCCAGTTATTTGTTTTCGGAAGCATGGACTTGATGGTGGAGGAGGCGTAACGGACCAGCGGTTACGTGAACCACCCTACGGCGGCGAGGAGTCCAGCAATTCTCTCGCACATAATCATCCCCGCATTGGATTCGGACCTGCAAACCCACGCAAGGTAATCAGAGATGCGGTGACAAGCGTATTCCTAACGCTTAGCACGATGCCCCACATTACCGAGCCCATGTACCCCAACAAGTTCTTTCCATTTCATCATTATCGCAACATGTGGCTCCGAGCAGGTTTGAAGTTGATGGAAAAATGGCTTCTACAATACTGAAAGTTGCCGAGTGCCGACCCGTGGTTTATGCCAATAATTATTCATACCCTTCACCGGTTTTAGTCATTGACGTGTACGGCTTCAGCTAATTCTTAAGACTGTGACATTCCAAGAACTCCACAAGTCCATGCATCTGAAACAAAAAAATAACTGATTCCATAAACCACATGGACTGTTAACCGGACGAGATTCCGTGGTTCGCCATATGATTAAACGGTTTCATTACATTTGAACCCACGTACATTTGAACCCACGACAATTACACCTGCATACTACTGTATCTATGGAATTTTTTTTTTGTTTTACGGCTATTTGAACTCATACTAAATCTAACCCATGGGTTTTAGCACTCGCATATGGATTGAACCCGCGGATATACACATGGGTTCAAATGTACGGTCACCGATTAAACCGTCTTATCGGCTTTCCTCTCTCCCGGGATAAATATGTAAATCTTATCCAATCATGTACTTCCATTTGTGACATAATTTTTTTTCCCAGATGGTACATTTTGCGTCGGTTTAAACCTAACATTTAGAGACTGTGACCAGTAACTAAACTTAGGCTAGAAAGACATTGCAAATAATATTAATAAAGAAGAAGAAGACATTCGCATTCTAATAAAATGATGATGACATAATTGCGCTTTTCCACAATTCGCGATAACCCCCATAAAACCAGAAACGCCAGAAAAACTCATAACCCGCGGGCAATAAAACCACGGCTTGCTTACCTCGCCCTCGGCACGTGCTCTGTTATTATCAATCTATATTTCATTTATATAATTGTTGAATATGTAGTGATGTAATAAAGTTGCATTGTGTCGTCATTGAGGCTATGCTAAATTTGAATTTTTCGAGTTACAAACAATTTCGAGTCATAATCTCAAGTACGTTTCGTTCTTGCTCGAGAATGGTGAAGTTATTCAGCGTATGTTAATGGAAGTGTACTTGCGCAACATTCTAAACCTCGTTTACACATTGCGTTTACACCATATGATCATGCAGTTGGATACTCTTCCATTAGGTGGTGTTTTTTAGTTGGACATTCTGCTGATATTTGCCAGAAGGTTACGGAACTTCCCCCAGTTTGTCAGATTTAACGTTATCTGTTAAACTGCGACCGGTGCCTATGCGGGCAGAAACCCCTACTGAATTAGGTAGTACCGGTACCGATACAGAATTAGCCTACGCGATGTTTTTAGTAGCCTATTACTTGCGACCTGGGCATTGCAGAAGTTAACAGACAATTCTGTTCAGATAACTTAGAGACAAATGCTGAAAGGCCGTTCAGATTTAGGATTGATCCACGTCAGGCGGTGGTCAGCTCCTCCTGTCCTGTTTGTGTTCGAAAACACAGATAAACATTACCGGTATATTAGTGGTATTAGGCGCAGTACCGTACTGTACCGGTATGGGAGGAAATTGCTTGTTTATCAGTTTATAGACTATGTTTTGACATACAGACACTTCTGCACTTAGTAAACGAATCTATAAATTGATCAGCTGTCATCATCTTTAATAAGCCAATTAATATTGAAAAAATTAAACAAAAGTGCCAAAAAGATGCACACAATACCGGTACCAGTATCCTTCTCTTGCTGTCTTGATATGTATGTATGTTTATTGGGGCTTATTACTTACTGAATACAGGAATAGAGCGCAGAAGAGATGGGGAAACATTTTCTTTCATTGTTTATTAGCGTTCGTGAAATTTTAAACAATTTGATGGGAAGCAGTACCGGTATACAGTACAGCAGTAGTAGGGAATGATCACGAGTTTATATCATTAATCTTCAACATCTTTAAATAACCTCACATGACGCACCCTAACCTGGTACACATACTGCGTTCAGGTTGTTGCGCTATCTTGGTGCACATGAAAAAAATATGATTCCCTCTCTTCTGCGCTGTTTTTCATGCTCTTTCCCTCTCTTCTGCGCTGTTTCGCGCTCTACTGCGCTCTATTCAGTAAGTACGGTAGTGAGACCGATGTTTATTTGCCTCAAAAATGTAACAATATCTGCATGATAATTAAACAGTAACAGATAATAAACAGAAACAAAATCTCAATAAATATCTATCACAACAGCGAAGTTTCAGAATAGTCTATTTCCTTGAAGAAGTTGCCTAAAACTCAGAAAGTAAAGATAAAAGACACAGTTCTCCCATTACAGCATTACAAAATGTCCTATAATTTAATTATTTGGAATCCGGTACTTTATTTCAATAAAAAATAATACTCCATCAATAGTCTCTGAAATGAGGGGCGTCTGGCACGGCGGCAGATCACGGCATGTATCTATAATAATTTAACATGCTTCAGCCGCCAAAATTCTACTGTAAAATTTTTTTTCCTCCATTAAATCTGATTTTTTTTTCGAGGAATCGAATGGTAACGTTTTTAAATCACGCTTTCCTTTCATTTTATTGCGCGGTGTTTGTTTGCCAATATGGAGGCCCAGACTTCCTCATAAAGAAGAAAGTCTGCAGTCTGCACTCACTTCATTAGTACAGTAGTATAATTGATGTCTAAATGTAGAGTCATTCTTGGAATAGGAGAACTGTGTTGTACTATTACACGAACATATTACTCACAAAGCTACATGTTCAACTATCGATGGGTCTAAATTAGACCAGGTTTATTACTGGGAAAAACTAGACTGTTATTCTTTCCCATTCTGGTTATTTAAACTTCGCCATAAATTATTTCAGTAAAAATTTGAATTTGAATCAGATATATACAGATAAAACTGAAATAGTGAGGACAGTTTCTGATTGTAATGAGCAGCGTTGATGCATATGGGCCAAGTTTCCCAAACTCTGACATTTTTGGACACAGAAGATGGCGATTTGACTGTTGGAGGAGATACCCAGGTGAGAGACGCTTGTTTGAAATTATTTTAAATATATCAAAACAACCGGGAATCAACTGCACTTCACCTCTCAGGACACAGTACAACTTGAAAATTATTTTGTAATTGGTTACGGTCTGAATCAAGTGGATGGGGTGCAACTTATAACTCTGATACAGTTATAGGCATAAATATATAGATATATAATTATAGACATATTTATTCAAGTTTTAATAAAACTAATACTTTGCTACTGTGAGTTGCTCTTATCAATTCATTGATTTAATCATGATTTAACTGTGTTTTTAAATACAGAATTGCTTAAAGTAAAATTGCTAACAGTATCACAAAGTAATATTCAAAAAAATTCGGTTATTCAGGCAAGTGAATATGAGTTCACAGACTTCACAATTCCATCCCAAACCCAGACGCAAACTCAGACACAGCAAAGTCAAGCAAGCCAACTTGATATTGCGGAGAACAGTCAGAGTCAGGTAACTCTTTATTCCATTATAAGTCATATGCTAAAAGTATTTTAACATGGGTAATAAGTTGGGAGAATTATAACCAGAAATGACTGTGTTAATCTTGAAACAATGATGAAGTTTGCCTACGACTTCATACAAGAATAATTTTTCATTCAATTCTGCTCTTTTGTTATAATTTGTGATTTTGTTTAGCATTGGCTTGACAATGTGAGTGATCTCGTTTATATTTCAATTCGACAGAGTCATATGCAAACGATATGTTTGACAACTGCGTACTCGTGTTTATAATCATCAATGAGCATGAACATTATACCAATACTATCAGGACAGATCTTCTGGTAGAAGAACTCGAAATCATTTCTCAATCTTTTTTTGTGATTTCTCTCAACCACGAATTATCTAGATCAGGGTTGTCAAACCCGCAGACCAAATATCATCAAGTTTTATTTCCATTAAGGTGTGATGTAGATGGAGTCAATCACAATGAAGAAGTGGGGATGGTGAAGATATTGGTGGATTACAAGAACATATTCATGTTGCCACCCAGGGGGTTGCTGATCTGAGATTTGAGGAAGAAGATGAAGAAGATACTTATTATACTAAGGATCTTCCCGAACATGCTTGCAGGTGAATTTTTATTAACAAGCACATGATTAAAAAATAAATGCACGATAGATATTTAATAAGCAATTGTTTGAATGCTCGGAGCTTTTATTATTATTTTATCTGTTTTTGTTTCCTAATTTCAAACAGTGGGGATAATTTTATGAAAAATTTTGTTTGTCAAGCATAGGCCTCATAGCGCCTAGTAATATATTAATAAAATGATAGAAGTTTATGTTACTTACACATATTTCTTAGCAGCAATATCTACTAAATTTTGTGCCTGTGCCTCCTATGTAAAGAGAAACTATCACCCTGAATTAATCATAAAATACTGCATTTTGACATGAGTTAAATTCAGTTCATTAGTTCAATTCTTGCCAAATAATGATTTGATTATGCATATAAGCTTTGTTATTATGTAGGGTCAGCCTGCAGTACTGTTTAAATTTCATCATACAGACTGTTCGTACAGACAGATTTTTAAAATTCACGTAATTAGCTTAATACTCCTACTCAGTGAAATAAGGTGAAAGAGGTTTCTCAAACACATCTGGGGCTAATATGATTGACAAATCATTAAGCTTCTACCTAGATGCTGCTTATTAAACCTGCTTTCTCGTATTTTCGCACCTGTTCAAATGAGAAATATCTCTTGAAATCCAAGTTGTGGCCATCCTTGAGGTGCTATAGAAAAATTCCAGGCAATTTTCGAGACTGCTGTATAAAAAGAAGCCTTTCATATTCATTAATATCATCATTTATTATTAAACTCACCATCACTATTTTCCTGAATATATATTCATATAAGAATTAGGTATATATCAAAAGGTTTGTCGCATTAACAACTGTAATTTTTAGGTATTGTGGAATTCATGATCCTAACTGTGTTGTGATGTGTAATACAACAAAGAAATGGTTTTGCAATGGCCGTGGAAATACTTCAGGAAGGTAAACTGATATTTTATAAAATTATTTTTTCTTCGATCATTGATTTGCAAGGGCTGATTACTAATTTCTGGTTACCCTCAGCTGTTTTTTTTTTAACATGTCAGTATTTGATTAATGCTCCAGTCGATCGTGATTTAACATACCATATCATCCAGGTTTAATAATAGACACTTGAGCAATACTTCAAAATCACCATATTTGATATTTATATTTTGTAAGAAATAAAATTTACTTTGTTTTGTCTATTTCAATTTTATTTGTACAATTTTTTTACAGTTGTCCTTACTACTAGAAAAATGTCATACACAATAATTGCAATCAATTAGTGATTTTGAATGAGTTATTATTTCAGATTCATAATTGTTATGTGCAATCTCTGTTATGGAGTATAGATTTATCAGCTATTATATTGATTTTATGCTTACTTTTTGCATTATAATCTGTTGAAAAGTAGATTAGTTATTCTAATCAAATATGATATGAACAAGCAATCAATTTTTTTACTCTGATATTGTTTGTATTTGTTTTTCTGAAGCGAGTATTAAGTGATAAATTGATTCAGATATTTCGAGTCCATTTGAAATTTTTGGTGTGCTATGTTGCAAAATATATATGAGTTTGTCATCTTACCCTTTACTGCTTTAATAATGATCAAATAATTAAGGTTAATTCAGTATATCATTTTGGCTGAATAAGGCAGTGCCAGGGAATAAACTATCCCTGTGTTCAAAGGATATTAATGGTTTGAACAAAATTCAAATCAAAGATATTTTATGTAGCCTACTTCAATACAAGATTTATATTATTGAAATCCATTTTTTGTACTAAAATTTTAAATCAAAGGTATTTTATATACTTCCAATACAAAGATTTATAATATTGAAATCCATCACCTATATTTGCTTTGTTTACAGTCATATTGTGAATCATCTGGTGAGAGCCAAATGCAAGGAGGTCACTCTTCATCGTGATGGTCAGCTCGGTGATTCTGTGTTGGAATGTTATAATTGTGGATGTCGCAATGTGTTTCTTCTTGGATTCATACCTGCCAAAGCAGATTCTGTTGTTGTTCTTTTGTGCAGGTATTTTATTCTCCATATGATTTTCATATTTCATTTCAGAAATCTTTATAATTAACTATTGGCAGTAAGATAATGCATGGATATTTGAGGATGAAAACAAAGTAATCTACTATTCGAATAAATTCCGAAATAACATTAGCAAATATGAAATATCGAATTTGTGGTATGTTCAACTGAGAATCTGTTGAGATTATAGAGATTGCATTTGGCACTGTAGACAGGTAAATAAATAAATAGTAATTTGATTGGATCCCTATTTTTTAACTTAATAATCTACTACTTCGAATACATTCTGAAATAATGTTTTCAAATATGAAATATCAAGTATATACTCTAAATTTTGTTATGTTCAACTGAGGATGTGTGAGGATGAGATTATTGTAAATAGAGATTGAATCTCGCAATGGGGAGAGATAAACGAATAAATAGTATTTTGATTAGATTCTTATTTTTACAGTTTTCACAAATTAAATAAAGGCCTTTTTTGCTTATGCTGTAAAATTCAATTCAGAATTATTTCTGAAATTAAGATTTTTTTACCCTTGATATTATTAATTGCAAATTGATTTCAATATTTGATGGGCTTTTGACATTTGCTACCTTGCTACAACACAAATATAATTTTTGTTTAATAACTGTAATGTGAAACACCAATAGGTATAATGATATGCAACGTAGAATGAACTTATTGAATATCTTATTTGTCTCATATGCCTCATCATTAAAAAATATCGAATCTTTCTGTAATTAATACTTTGATTGATTTTTGAAATTGAATCCCAAGAGCGTCATGAAATCATGCCATGCTGTAGGCTTGAGATATCAGGTTGATGATTTGCACAAAACAATATAGTTTACCAGTCTCAACATGTTATTCAATCTGTCAGTGAACCAGTATTGTACCTTTTCAACTAGCATTGTGGCTCGTTTGAGCTCCATTATCCTTGTATAATTGGATAATTTTAATAAAGTCTGGTTTGAGAGTTTTTAAATTCACATTAACTGTGTTCCTTTTTCAGGCAACCATGTGCGAATCAGAGTAGCCTGAAAGATATGAATTGGTAAGTTCTTTCGTTTATTGAAAAGTATAATTGTTGGTCTATCTTGATGCTGTTGAGGTCGTGAAAATCTGCAACAAAATACTCACCAAGGGTTTTCGGAAAACTCTTTTAGATATTGATAGTCAGGCATGCTTAATCCCTTTTTTTATTCTTCTTACACTTGAAATTTGAAACAAAATAATATTTGTTGATTGAAATTATTATCTTAGCAAGAAAATTAAAATACATGGTACACTGCCGGTCTATGGAGTCTTGTGTGATCAGGAGTTCGGAACTGGTGTCTGATGATAATGATATCTCGGTATATTTTACAAAATGGTTGCCTTTATTAAGTTATATGCAATCAATGCGAGACAAATTAATTGAATTTACCATTTTCTAGGAAATTTGTATCAAAATGATTTTGTGTGAAGTGGATTCATTGGATTATAGTTTCTCTGAAGTTTATAGCAAGGCAGAATCACATTCCAATTTTCGAACTGCACAGATAAAAATAAAATTAGTTATTAGTTATTTATTCCTACCATTCTTTAACATGCACAGGGATGCATCTCAGTGGCAACCTTTGATTCAAGATCGTTGTTTTTTGTCTTGGCTGGTCAAAATTCCTTCTGATGAGGAACAGATGAGAGCAAGACAAATCACTGCTCAGCAGATCAATAAATTGGAAGAATTATGGAAGGTGTGAATAATATTGATTATAAATCTGTTGTATTAACATAATTTCTGTCTTGTTGTATGGAATGGGTTCTCAACTGGTTGTGAATTTCACCGGCCTGCTTTCTGCTATATAAATAGGCTATTGGTTTTATTTCATGATTGAATTGGTTGTTGGTTGCTAGTCTTCATAGCAGATTGCAACATCATAGGGATTTCAACATCCCGAATGTTATTGTGCCTAAATTTTGTTGAAAGCACAAGCCATTTCAAGAGAATTTTCAGGCGACCCATAGTTTAGGAAACACTGGATTGGAACAAACCATTTTCTATTTTTGGGTTGTAAAATCGTTATTCCTATTTATATCCTAAGTGCAATTAAAACGCATTTTCGTAACAGTTCAGATCTTCATGTGCTATTAGACTTGCAGAAATATGAACATGCATTTGATATATTGATTCCAAATTATGAATATTATTTTTGATTCTGATATCAAAACCTATTCAATTTTGGGCATATACATTTACATCATAATTATGTACATTTTAATTTGGACTATATTATTCTACATCGATTATCGACATAATTATTCTAAAAAGAAATGCAAAATAATAATGTTATGTATATGAATCACAGTATAAATACCAAATTGCTTATTGAATAATTTGACCATTGTAGTATTGCAAATTTATCCTTCCTTAATAAATACTTTTATTTAGGAAAATTCTGATGCAACACTCGAAGATTTAGAAAAACCAGGAGTGGATGAGGAGCCACAAGCTGTTTTATTGAGGTAGTGCTTTATATCAATTAAATTACCAAGTATTATTTATTTTTCTGCAATTATCTTTATCATATGGAAATATGGGAGGAAACTGCATAATATATATAATTTATAGGATTTGAAGTTATATTTGATAAGAATATGATAATATTTTCTGTAATTTACACATTGCTAATGAGTAGAACAAAGTATCGTGTTAGATAATAAATAGGAAACGGCCACATACACGTCCCTTTGTGACAGGAACCGGAGTCGTGAATCTGAAATTTAGCATGGTGATTGTGTATAGGCGGGAATTTATGCGCCTCGAAAACTACTGAAAATGTGTATATTTGGCCCACAAGTAGGCCTATGAGGTTTGATGAACGCCGATATATGAGAACACTTTTATTATGACCTCTGACCTTAGCCTCCATATCTTTGAAGCATTGCTCTTTTGTTTTATAGATATGAAGATGCCTACCAGTATCAAAATATCTTTGGGCCTCTCGTCAAATTGGAAGCTGATTACGATCGCAGACTGAAAGAATCTCAAACGCAAGGAAACATCACCGTTAGATGGGATGTTGGCTTAAACAAGAAACGTCTTGCTTATTTTCAGTTGCCAAAGACTGACAGTGGTGGGTGAAGTTTATATTTTTTAATGTAAGGCTTTGAAAATTAACGACGGATCAGGTAGTGCTTTATCATTTATACCTATGTCCACCTTGTGTATGGACAAAACCCAACATAAGCGATTTATTGACCTTATGGTCCATAAAATACAGTATTCTCATTATTTGAAGGCACTCCAATTCTTCTCAGTCCTTCATGTCCGTTCGAAGTAAAAGACGTTCACTTAATAATAGGGATATCTAAAAAGCATGTGAAAAAATGTTTGAGATGAGGGAAATCAATTACTGCTTTTGTCTTAAATTTTTCATTTCAAGATTTTGAAATAAAATTAGACTGATTCTCGGTATCTTGATCTTGTGTGTTGTTATTGCAGGTACATTTTTGTCAACCAGAAATACCATTTAAAAATGCTTGAACTTTTTTTTCATTTTTTTTTTGAACGACAGACATGAAGCTGATGCAAGGAGATGAAATAAGCTTGAGACATATGGGTTCGAACTGGGAAGGCAAAGGACATGTTGTAAAAGTACCAGATAGTATCCTTTTGAATCATTTTCCTTATTAAGTGGAGTTATTTATTCTTATGCTAATATGAAATGGGTGCAGACTGCAGAGTAAGCAAATAAACCTAGTATTGTGTACATGGGCATTGGTGGTGTGAGGTTAAATTGAATTGAGCCTGTAAATGGGTACTGGCATAAACATTATTAGCTATCTGTAATTGAAATAACAAGAATTTTTAAGATTTTTTTATCCTTGTCAGACTGTTGTTACTATTGCCCAGGATGGATCAGCGTTTCATAAAACTAAGGCCGTACTATTTTTGGACAGACTGGAATCTCTTGATTTCTTAGGAAAAATCGTTTTTAGGTTTCTGGATTAAATGCTTCTTTTCAAAGCTCTAGATATTTGAATTGTTTGAACTTAACCCAAACTGTATTGAAAAGATTTTGGTGATGAGATTGGAATGGAATTGAGATCTGCTGCGAGTGCACCACTAGAGAATACCAGAGGATTTCAAGTTGATTTTGTTTGGAAATCTACTTCTTTTGATAGGTACGAAACTTATTTGTGATTTTGGACAAGATTTTTGGAATCGTCATCTAGTCAGATACAGTGTTGCCAACAATTTGAATTGAAAATTCGAATTAATTTTTTTTTGATTCAAATACTAAATTAATTATGTGGAAATATCAACCCTTCTTGTGCAGTGTCTCGATTGTGTTTGTTAAGACAAATTTACCCAAATTGTGAAATGCGAAGTTTTTTGCACCTTATGGTGAATAGTTTTTCAATATGTAGATGTCATATTTTTTTGTTTTATCACAGGATGCAGAGTTCCATGAAAACCTTCGCTGTGGATGAAGCATCTGTTTCAGCTTACATTTATCATCGATTGCTAGGACATGAAGTAGATGAACAAACATTGAAAATTAATCTTCCCAAACGTTTCTCTGCACCTGGTCTACCTGAGCTGAATCATTCTCAGGTAAAGTACTAACAGTGAAAGCAAAGGGCAAAAAGTGGACCCTTGATTGTTGTCAGTATTCTTCTTTTTGTTGTTGTTGTAATAATCGCTTTTCTCTTTAACTAATGGACCAATTGCTTTGAAATGTTCATTGGTTAAAGATTAGTGTTGTAGCTAAAGGGCTATTACTTTAATTCATTTCAAGAATGAGTGTGGGATTTATTAGATTAGTTTTTTTGTGTGTGATAACATCATCAAAATTAAAAATTATGCGCTTTTGTGACGGTTCTGTGTTGGTGATTGTTGCAATCTAGTGGTCAGACAAAGTCTGGAAGACTGCGGTACCGGTAGTCTACTCTTGAAAATTTACATATCTGTACAGTACCTGTACTACGTTGTTTGTATATATTTAAGCATTGCTCTCTTGTTTTTTGTCTTCTGATTTACGATATTCTACTTTGTATACTTACTTTTATAAAATTTTATGCCTTATACCTCGAAATGATGAATTTCCTTATTTCAATCAAAAGAACATAAAATTTTTTTGATTCTGCTTTTTTTATTCTAATTTACTCAAAAATTATTTTCAGGTGTATGCTGTCAAAACTGTTCTGCAACGTCCGCTCTGTCTGATCCAAGGACCACCTGGTACTGGGAAAACAGTGACGAGTGCTACCATCGTCTATCATCTTGTGAAAAGCTGTAACCAGGGGTTAGAATACTTTTTTATGTAGCATGGGTTATTTATTCTACACATAAAGAAAATGACAAATTGAAAAAAAAACGAATTATTTCACGATAAACAAGTAAATAGTATAAAAATGCATATAACTAACAGCCAGACAAACAATATAAAAAAAAAAAATTGAGAACATGGAATATCAAAATAGGTGACTGAGGAGTTGCTAATTGAACAACAGACTGTCATAATTAATTATCTTATGCTCATAATAAATTATTTTACATTCACACTCATGCATCATAAATGGTGAAATGTAAATTGGTGAAAACTTGTTCCATACACAAATTGAAAATCAGCGTAATTAAACCGTTTGTCCAAAGCAACACATATTCATCGGAAATTTCATCGAGAACGTGGTCTCATCAGAGCTTCGAATGTTGTTATATTCCCAGTTACCTGATGGATCAAACACTGTCATCTGTTCGACTTGTTGATCCATTTTCCCGCGACTTCCCTTCCCAGTAAAACTCATAATTTGCTTACGATTTATTTTAATGGTTGGACAAAATAATCTTGACTTGACTTGGCTTCATGAAATAATATATGTTTTTCTTAATATTTTTATGATGTTGAATTTGTCCTCATAATGGGCCAATAATATAGTACTACAACGCTCAACCTGTTCTTAAAATGGCAGGTAGCAAAGTATAAAACAGTCTTTCTAATATTGTGTAATTTGCAGGCAAGTTCTTGTTTGCGCTCCGAGCAACATTGCTGTTGACCAACTGACTGAGAAGATTCACAGAACTGGGTTGAAGGTTGTGCGTCTTTGTGCAAAAAGTCGTGAAGCTATTGATTCTAACGTTTCATTCTTGTCTCTGCATAATCAAGTCAGAAGCATGGATAGGTCAGTATTAGCTGTAAAGAATCTCGCTTTTGCATACTATAGTATCTAAATACTATTTCAATTAGCGTTTGATTTTTCCATTTTCCTGTTGCTTAAAAGTTAGTGAGACAAAATAGGCAATTTTTTTAATTTTTTGTTTCTAGCTTGCCTGAACTGCAAAAGCTTCAGCAGCTGAAAGACGAAACTGGTGAATTGTCTTCTAATGATGAGAAAAGATATCGAGCATTGAAACGCAATGCAGAACGTGAATTACTCCAGGTAACTCTCTTACTATTTATAGGTGGTTGTTTTTCTGTCTCGTTTTTTTTTCTGTTTTACATATAATTGAAAATAGAAATTAAAGTGTGTCATTAAAAAATCCTCCATCTTATTGTAATTTATTTTTTTCAGAATGCGGATGTTATATGTTGTACTTGTGTTGGAGCTGGCGATCCTCGTCTTGTGAAGTTTCGTTTCAGATCTATATTGATTGATGAAAGCACTCAAGCAACTGAACCTGAGTGTATGGTACCTGTTGTTCTTGGGCCAAGCAGGTAACTTGATATTGCTTATCATACTTGCTACCTTTTCTCGAAATACCTCATTTTCATATAAACTTTTATATGGCAATATGATATATGGATATGGACCGATGCGATATACAGAATGAAATATAATATTATATAAGCCTATCAATTATGTAACATCAATGATTTTATCAATTTTGTACGAGTAGTTACCGTAAATAACCTTGTGTTACACTTTATTCTGTAACCTTTCGCCTGACCAAAGTTTGACTTCTCAGACAAGCAGTTTACAATAACAACATTCATTTGTTAGTTCCTATCTGGCTATCTGGCCAAGTCTTGAAGACTATGGCACTGATAGTCTACTCTGAGAGATTGCATACCCATACTAATTGGTTGCCCTTTGTGTCCATATATTTGAGCATCGCTCTCTTGTTGTATTAAATTATGATTTAAATTTATTTCAGCTCATCTTAGTTGGTGATCATTGTCAGTTGGGACCTGTTGTCATGTGTAAGAAAGCAGCAAATGCAGGATTGGCTCAATCTCTTTTCGAGAGATTGGTTGTACTTGGCATTAGACCTATAAGATTGCAGGTATGGGATTGTTTATTGGACCTCAGGAATCATTTTGTTAGGTTGTTATTGCGGTGGAAAAATTTGACTATGGCTATCTTAGGTTTATTTTCATTATTTCTATTTCTGCTAAATTGAAATTAACGTTTTTTTAATCTGATACAGGTACAATACAGAATGCATCCAGCTCTCTCTGCTTTCCCATCCAACATCTTTTATGAAGGTTCTCTCCAGAATGGTGTCACTGCTGGTAAGACATTCATTGACATTGAGTTTTATATGAATCCCTCCACTATATTGTTGTTGTTGTTTAAGATCACTTCTCTTTGCAAATGTGGGGTGATCGACTTTTTTGGGTACATGCAAATTTCAACTTGTTAGAAGGCAACTTTTTTTCTGATCTTCCCGATTCCTTTTACATTTAACCCAAACTTTGGCTGTTTTATTTTACCCACAGAAAACTTTTTTCAACCTAATTTATTGTTCATCTTTTATATTGTATTATTCTATGATGTTTCTTGGTAAAAATTCACAATTTGTAATTTTTTCTGATCCGCTGTGTTGTAAAATAATGACGAGTCTCAAAACATAGATAGTGAAATTTGCTAGAGAATAGGATTTTTGCCTGTTTTGTGCTACAGATTAACTAATTTACCGTAGTTGATGATCCACCCTTAAATTTATATATTGGCTCTCAGTTTTCCCATGGACTCTTCAATTAAATACCATTCTATTCTGCTTTTGTCAAATCAACGCACAGATAGTGTTATTGAGTGACTGAAATTTAGTATCACCATGTCATATATACAGGTGAAAGAATGAGAACTGGCTGACTTTTTCTTGGCCTTCTCCTGACAAACCAATGTTCTTCTATAAGACTTCAGGACAAGAAGAAATTGCAAGCTCTGGAACATCCTACTTGAACAGGTGCATTTATATATGTAGGCCTATATAAGAGCATTGCATCTCAAGAATATTTTTTTTTAATATTTCTGCTCTTTGAGTGTGGACAGTTTGTAAAAATGGTTATCATGGCATTCAATTACAGGACTTGTTGAATGTGGTCTTTCACTGGGCCAGTATCCCAGTTCCTGTTGTGTTACTAGAATTGTGTCAATTGAATCTCTTTCTATGCTATATCTTCAGTATCCAATTCCAGCTGTGCCTGGCATATCAGCTCACTTTCGATTTTTTGAAATTAGGTTTCCGCGCAATAATATTAACTAAAAAGTGATTTATATTTTGTTTTGAGATAATGACTAACTAGATTTTTTTAAAATATAATTGTATTTACTGTTTTAGCCACTGTAATTTGTTTACATGAAAATTATAATCTCGCTCTGTTTAATTAACCATGTTATACAATTTTGCTGAACATAAAAACATGCCATCTCTGCTTATATCAAAAGTTTTTTTTCTGCTTGAAAATACTTAATCTCTCACTCCTCGTATCATTTTTTCAATAATACCAGAACCGAAGCTGTCGTTGTAGAACGGATCACAACCAAGTTCTTAAAATCTGGAATCAAGCCTGAACAGATTGGTATAATTACTCCATATGAAGGGCAACGTTCATATTTGGTTCAATACATGCAGTATTCTGGATCTCTACATTCCAAGTTGTACATGGTAAGTAATTCTTTCATCATTACAACATGACCAGAGATGTTAAAATAGAATTGAATTTTCAAATTGATTCGAAAACAATCGCAATAATTCTGGGAATAAATTAGAGTAGGGATTCTCATACTTTTTGTGTTATTGAACCTGTGAAGAGGTTGACTATTATTTACGAAGCCCCACAGTAAATTTACAAAAAATAAAAACAAAATACACATTGTTAAGTACTGATTAATGTTCCTGAGTAAATTAAAATTACTTTATTCAATGGATCTGATGTATTTACTGGTTGTCAAATTTTATTAATGCCGTTATTGCTTGTTTGGACGGTTACAAAATTACCCATGCCAGTATCTTAAAAAGTTAAAAATAACTCGTGGAGCACCTATGTTTCTCACACAAAGCCCTGGGACTTTGAGAATCTTTGATTTAGGTTATCACATTTGAAATTTTGTTATTATGATAAATTAGACATCTGTCAACTTTTGGCTGTGTATAAATAGAAAATCAATCGAATTTATTGATTATCCCAACTATTCTGTACTTACTGAATTTGAATTCATTTGCGAAAATTTGTTGGGAGTTTTTTTGTGAAATATTCCCTAAAATATTGTTCAAAAATTAATTTGAAATAACTGAACACCAAGAGATATTGGATATATGCATTGAAGTCAATGACACCATTAGTAACTATCTAGAATTGTGGATGGTGTTATTGACCTTCTTGCTTTGTATTTGTTTACAGCAAAAACATGACAGTAGGGTGCATATATATATATGCAAGTTCTATTTTGAAAAATTTTTAATGAAATTACTAATGTCCATGTCAAATTTTTTGAACACTTATCTTGATTTACTTCTGAGCATTAAAAATGTTGGAAATGAACTTTGGCTCCAAGATCGAATTCTAGAAAACCAAGATCTTTTTATTAGCCGGTGTCCTTCTGTTGGACTTTCGAACTGAACAACAAAAAATATCGAGTGATTTTCATTTGATTGTGTTTCTGCTTTCATGTAGGAAGTTGAAGTGGCAAGTGTTGATGCTTTTCAAGGTCGCGAGAAAGATTTTATTCTTTCCTGTGTGAGAGCCAATGAACATCAGGGAATTGGATTTTTGAATGATCCTCGTCGTCTCAATGTAGCTTTGACAAGAGCCAGGTAATCTCTTCTACTATTGATTCAAAAAGTTATGTA